GGGGGGTCATAGCAAGGTTTTCAGCTTAATATTTTTAAAAATATAATGAAAACCTTGCTAAAATCTTGAAAAATATTGCTGCCTATACATCTGATGAATTGAATCAATGATTAGCCTCCGATAATGTTCTGACCAGCTACAATATCAACAGAATCAAATTATCCAGCGGATTTCAAAGACTTGATGCATTGAAGGGCTTATATGCACTTAAATATATAAAAAAATATTATTATTAAACCATAATTATTGCAGTAAATAACCTTACATCACTATAAAACATTTCAGTTTTTACAAGATGAATTTGATAAAATGATTGTATTCTTAGCAAACAGTTCTTGCGCAAAGTATTCATTATTAATTTTGGGGTTCAATTTGGTGATTGTGCATCCAAAAAGGAGGGCAAGAGAGGAGAGGATTCAAAAATCAATGTTGGAAATTTATAATAATATCACATTCCAACATTCTCGAATGAGCCGCCGACTTCATTCTGAATGTTGATTCTAAAACTTAAAAGAGAGATCAAAAGAAAAAGAAAAAGAAAAAGAAAAAGAAAAAGAAAAAGAAAAAAATATATCAGCCTGTCTCCATCTGCTTGCTCAAAATTGTTTCGAAGTTTGCTCTGATTAAAGAAATGAGTGAAAAAGATAGAAATACTTGAGAAGTTTTCAACTCTAAGACAGAGAGAAATAGACAAATTATTGAGAGGCAAAGGGAAGGCGAGTGACAAGTTAGAATAATACACACTAGTTCCCTTGAGATAAAATTTTCTTATGATGAAAAGAGAAATCCACAGTCAAGTTACCTTTTAATAGCAGACAAATATCCTTTAAGATGAGCTTGATAAGTGGGTTTTTTTTTTCATTTAAAGTCAGAACAGAGTTTATAAATTAGGCATTCCTCAATTCATATCGATACTTGAAAGCAAATGGTTGAGGAGGAAGTTTTTGGAGTTTTTGTTTTTTTGTGAAGCTAAGGAATATTTGAATTGATATAAATAAAAAATTGATGGAATAGTCGTCTTGAGAGGATAATTACATTTTTAAGAGGAATATTTCTTTCACAACACATGCTAAAAACAACATAAAGCCACAATTTCAATTATTTCACACTTTCTAACTCGTGGAATCCCTGTAAACAGTGCAGTGAGAGTCGGTTTTTCTTTTTTTAGGAAATTCTGAATTTGAAATAATTTTAAAAGGTTTTTAATTAACTCCGATGAACCATATAAATCATTGAATAGGTACCTCCGTTTGTTCTTCAATCTCTTATTATTTTAAATGAAGATTTACTGTGAGGAAGTTCTAGGGAACTTGCTTTTAATGGACAGAGTTTAATTATTTTGGTCTCTCTTTTCATATTGTCAGTGGACACAGAAAAGTTTGCGTTTTCCCTCAAAATGTAAGCCAATTAAAGAGAGGGCATAATGGGTAAATTAAAAGTTGAAACAAAGACATAAATATAAATAGACTATAGGTTTTCAAATTACTGACTGAGCATGAAGAAACCAAAAAAGGAAATACAATGAAAAATGTCTCCTATAGCCTGGATAGTAAATAAAGTTACAGAGCGTAACTTCAGAGAACCTTAAAATTCTTAAGGTCACTGGCTTTACATCTTCAATAGTACCAACATTATTACTAGCATTAGCTTTTTTACCTCTTCTTTACTTTTGAGAGTTGAGTACGGGACTGAAAGTTTATTTTCCTGTAACTTCAGGAATGGCAAGTCCTTCATAATTTGGCTTTGCACTGTTCAAATTGAGGAGCTTTCCGGAAAAAGGCCCCACATCAAAAAATTGCGTTCAGAAAAATGCATTTGAAGTCCTCATTATTACTTTCCAACTACTGACGGTGACTTAAATTGGAGTCCAAGCTCCGATGTAGGTCACCAGTAGTGGCCAGAGAGTAATTACAGAAACTTCCACTGCACTTTTCTTGAACGCTATTTTTTGCTGTCGGTCCTCTTTCTGGAAGGCTCTTCAATTGTAAAAATTCAAGCTACAAGTATCAAAAGGCCAAAATGGAAAGGAAGAATAAATGATGACAGATTTGATGAGTGGACTATGAGAAAAGAATGGTAAATAGACAGGTTCCAGATGGAGAGAAGAAACAAGGGAAAAAGCATAAAGTAAATGAGTAATATAAAATACCACTGCATGACTAGTGATCTGCGACAAAAGTAAAGAAATAAAACAAAATTAAAATAATCTATTTGAAGATAATGAAGTTACTCAAATATTTAACAAATATAATTTATCATTTCCAACACTGATGATAAAACTATGAGCTGTAAAACTAGGGTCAAACAGGAAAAATATCAATGAAAAAAATCGGAGACTCAAAGCATTAATCGTGATATGAATGTAACAAACTAATTAAATTGAAAAAAAAGAGAAAGAAATGAGTAAAACCTCTTTTGTCTTATTTTATCCGCATTTAAAAAAATACTACCTCTTAAAAATATATCTTAAACCATAAAGATCTGTCCATATGCATACAGATTCGTGCAATGCATCTACAGAATAAGAAACAATGTCCGTACTGTTATGGGGAGATATGCAAAAAATATTTGTTTCCTTCTATGTTACCACTTATGGTTTCTTTGTTTTTTGGTAAATGAATAAAAAACCGAAAAGCTATGTTCGTTCTCTTGCAAAAAGTCTATGAAAGATTTTAGAGCTAAAAACTTTCCACCATCCGACAGGTTACCCTGAATTGACACCGTTCGCTTCATTAAGACAAGACCTGCCTCAATGAATACACTTATGGCAGAAATATAATATAAAGAGTCCTATTATTACTTTGAGAAAAATTTCTGGTTGACATATGCCATGTAATACATAGTGACAGTAATCTAACTTTCATTTCTATTGACGAGCAAAGAGGAAAGTAGTGATTCACTCTGGAATCTTCATGGAAAAAATAAAATTCTAATTTTATGAACCTTTAATTTCTTTATTGAGTTCATAAGAGTAAATTTCAAGTTTTTAAGGATGCGAAGAGCATTTCAGAAACTGACCATTTAACGTATGGTATGCAGCGACAGCAAAACACTTTTTCATTCTTCTTCCTTTTATTGCTGCAAAAAACTCTTAGACTCTTCTCCATAAAATTTCCTGAAATGATGTCATTGCATGATTTTTGCAGGGTTTTTTTGTTCATTTATAAGTGCACTCAGTATGATGAACCATCTTGTTCATACTCCATCATACTAAGACTATCAGACTTCAGTCGAAAAATTCATCCAAGAATCCTGAGATGGTAGATTTTGTTTCTTAAGAAAATAACTCGAAAATCTTTCCGTAATTTCAGCATTTTTTCCTTTGTCTGAATTTCACAAAGTAATAAATATTTCACAATCAGTCTGTGAGCACTCTGTTTATTCACTACTGAAAATTTTTCTTAGCAAACAATTCATAAAGCCTTTCAGTAGTGATCATTATGGACTAATTACATATTACTTCTCACTCGCTCATGACAGTACAAGACAGCACTACGTCTAATGCGTAGAAAAATCTGATGCAGAAAGACACCCAGATAGGTGGATTAAGATAATGAAATAACAACTTAGATTCAAAATAAGATGATAGTGAGGAGAATGAATATGATGGATGATAAGGATGGAATTTGTTTGAAAATTTAGCGCTTGATAGCTACAGATGACAAAGCCTTAAAATTTCGTCTAGCTAAAAAATGTTAGCAGTTTAATTTCCTACAAACCTGAGATATGCACTCATTCTAATATTTATCCTGCTTTGCAGACTTTCTTATTTTTATTGTTTATTGGTGAAGGTCCTGCATATATACTTAAGAATAAACAGGAAACCTATATTTTGCTAAATCATTAATAGATTCATTTCAATGATACATTCCGAATCTGCGCAAATATATTGATGTAGGTACAAGATACAAGAGGGGTCATTTATAAAAGACTTCTGTTTACCTAAAATGTAGAACCCTTAAAAATTAATCTGATGTCTTCCATCTTTTCCAAATATTGCAAAACAGGATGCTTTTGAAGTGATGAAGTTAAAATTCCAAAAGATACAGATTTCCTAGAGAAGTAACTGCTAACTTAAGATTGGAAAAAATTCTTGAAGTACATCACCATCTGATTTGCAGGGTAACTCCAGGTTGATGACTAATTCTAAATCAATCAACCGCTTCAGAGGGATGCTTCGATACAAAATACATTGTGCTAAATTTGTTCTATAATAAAAGATCTCACATAAATTTAAAAGAAAGTAACTTCCACTACAGCTTTTCTCAGGAACTACCAAGGGCTAACTTTTCTTCAACAACCTAAACGTAGATGACGACTAGCGACACGGACAGGGCTGCCAATGATGGAATGGAAAATTTCAGGTTCTTTATGTTAAAAGAAGAATTCATTTTTTTCTTTTAGAAAAAAATATTTTGGCATACTTCATGGAACAGACCTTGTAAGAGCAGAATATTGCTTGTGAGTAGTCTTTGTTTGATATTACCTACTATCATAAACAATTAACAATACTTTCTCTGTCCAAGAGTTAAGTTTTATTACCCTCCAAAAATTCCTTGTATTTCATGAGAACTTAAGCACTCCACTGATTCTAAATGCACCAACTTTCTAAGACACATACAGAACATCTTCTACCCTCATCTTATTGTGACATCATCCTGTTATCAGAAAATGTATCCCTAAGTGTCCAGTTCTATGACAGAGAGCGAGATAGTGGGCAGAAGGTGACCTACTCCTGGGAAGGCAGGTAAATTCAAGATTCCTAATGAGGGAAGTCCTAACAGATGGCAGCCCTGGCCAGGGCAGGGAGCGTTGAATTCTTAAAAATAAATGGTTTTTGAACTCCGAGTCCATTCTACACACGAACACATAATGGACCGTCGTATTATAGCACAGTGAACAAAAATGAAGCAAAAATATCTACAAAAATTTAAAGAGTGGATCCTACGTTATAATTCCATGTCTTGTGCTTCATCCTCGCTAAAGTCTGACATTGATGATTCACTATCTGATGATACAGCTTGATGCTCTTGCTCACGCAACGCTTCCTCTGTTGCGTATTTTCGCACATACTCTGTAAACATAAAGATATTATTAGTGCATCTTTAAGACTTCAGAAAAACACTTTACAGACACATATCCAAGTTTTTACCATTATTGAACCAGTTAAAGGGAGTTTGAATTGGGTTGAATGACACCGAAATTTATGAAAAGTTAAGTTAATTTTTGAAAGGGAGAAGTTACTCAGTTTCACTCAATTTCACTTTAACTTTGCCGTTTGGCTTGTGTAACATCATGGATTCATGACTGTTGACGTGAGAACCTGGACTTGAGTTGTTAATAATTTTACCAAAGATCCCTTCCTCCCTTCCTGAATAAAAAATAAAAAAAAAACGAAAAAAAAAGAAAAAAGAGGAAAATTTTCTAATTATTAATCTTCTTTTTCACTTATTCTGTACACATATTCTGGCAGTTGTTACGATAAAATGCTAATCAAAATTAATCGAATTTTTGTCATAACTTATATAACTGTGCGTTTTTCCAGTACTGTAAATTAATTTTACACAACATTGCACAACACCAAGGATGCTGAAAATTCTCCGAAGCTAAAATCAGTCCTGATCTCCGCTTTAAAATTTCCTAACTCTCTAAGAACAATTAAAGTACATGTTAGTCGAAAAATTTCAAATATCAGCACCCTTTCAAGGTTTTTTCCTCATTTTTTGCTTGATAAAGAAAAAAATACCCATTCTATCGAAAACAAATTTTGTGAACTCACAGTGTTCCTTGTCTCACATGCAAGCCTGGCTCGTTTGCCCTACAATTCAATAAACACGATCATGAAAATTCTACATTTTCCAACTTATCATGAGAATGCAAGAACAAGAGGGTAGTCTCTGCATGATAGTGGTGTATGTATGAAGAAAACAAAGCAGGACACTGACAAATGAATTATTCTAGATCCAAAATTTTCTTGTCTATCTTTCGTAAGGCATTAACCCTGTTTGACAGCATGATAGCCAGGGCTACTTGGGGCAAAAAAAGTCAGTTCCTTTGTCAACCTCATAGTGCCTCCTCACCTTCAAGAACGCCTTGGAAAGGCATTAGATGTCACTTTTAAAAGAGTACTTGTAGGTATAACAAAGCAGGGGCCACCTGCACACAAGGATATAGGCACAGAATTTGACAAGGAGAAGACGGAAATCACTGAAACACATCTGAACAATAACTTTCAATTTAAAAAAGCGAAGAAATCTACCATACCGTGCACTTTCTTCTTATATTCATCTGGTTTGTGTAAATACATTGCTGCAGCATCTCCATTCAATGGATCAATTGGATTAGGATACGTTAACAGCTGAGGCAGAAATGACTCAAAAATATTTGATAAATCTAGAAAATAGATAAATAATCACTTAAGTAATTGGGGGAAAAAATAATCACTTGTTTGGGACATTTAAAAATTCATGGAAGAATTTGACTAAATGATTTGAAGTATACCTTCGCTGCAACTCCTATTTCCTTATTTCATACGAACAACTAGAAAATTACCTGCACTAGAGATTTTGTCCTTGATACTAATACAATACCTAAATGGAAAAGTTTCTGACTGAATTTTTTCTCTATGGCTAAAATATGAAATTATCACAACTAACTTTTGATATTTCCTTAGAAGAAAACAAATTAATTACATGAAATAAAATAATTGAAACAAAGAAATTTCGTAAAGGCAAATATCTCAAATACGAACTGAATACACCACTTCTCAAGGTATGAATTTGACCATTAAAATCTACGATGCCTCTTCAGGATTTTAAACAGAACACAATTTGCGCAACAAAAATTACTGCAATTAACTCCTAGACAAGACGTTAATGTTTATATTCAGCACTGATCATAAAAAAATAGAATTTCCCACTAACAAGAAAATCCAGAACAAACGTAAATTAGATTGTGCATTACAACGGTTATGGTAGGCTTCATGATAAAGTGATGTTCTTTCCCTGCCCTGGGTTGTTCGAAATGTAGAGACATTGTCCAACAATTGGGCCAAATTGCCAAAACTAAAGTTGCTGTGTTTTCATACCGCAAAGACCATAGTGGCTACATTTAGTGGGCACTTCAATTCCAGCAGTTTGTGGTTTTCTTAGGTGCAGAATGTTTATATTTATGCATGGAAAAACGTTTATGTCTTCGTTAAGAGCTACTTTCAATAATTCTCATTGCACAAATCTTTTGTACAGAAAAAAGATGGGAACACTTGTATCACACTTCTTGAATGCACACCTTGTCCCTTGTCTTGTGTTCCATTATTGATTTTTCCGTCAAAGTAAAGAAAAAAAAGAAAGGTATGAGAACAGGAATGTTGATATTAAAGGCGGTTTTCAAAGAATAAATTCTTGCCCATTCTCAGGAGCTGAATAAAAAAATAAGTACTCCTCGAAGCACATTATACTACCTACACAAAGGTCAAAATTATAATACCTTGCCTCTTTTGCTAAGAAAGGCTTGATCTGCAACCTCCGATATAAAAATAAATTGCTCTATTCGTACAGACCATACAACATCAATTTCTATAATTTCATAAATTGGATCACATTTAGCAGAGGGAAACTGCCGCAATTACAGTGTTTTAATAAAAATTGTGCATCTCCTTGACTTGAATAATGCCTAAAATAGCAAATCATTTTTTTCCTACCAAAAATTGTTAAATTGGAAGGAAAACAATCATATACTTACATTTTATTACTATGCATTTTTAAAAGTAAAGAACACGGTGAGCAATTATAAAAACAACAAAATCAGAGTTGGTTTTCTTCTGCTAAATGTGATCCAATGGAATTCCATTAAAAGAGTTAGCTCTTCTTTCTTTAATTCCATCCAACTAAATGTTATTATGATTTCTCACAAGATTTTATAAAATGAAAGTTGACATAGACAAACCATAAAGTGCAGTCCATGCTTGATTGATTACATCTAGACAGACGGTGCCTGAGACTTCATCGATGTTTGGATGATAAACTTTGTTCATAAAGCCAATTGACGGTGATTTGAATGGGTAGTGTTCTGGCAGGTGCACTCGCACTTTCCAGATCCCACCTTCATAGGGTGCTGTTAAAACAGGGAAAGAACACAGAAATATGAAAGTAATCCTTAAATTTAAACAGTCTATACTGAGCGATAAGAGGACTTAATTATGAAAGTGGCATTAGAGGCAAAATAAATTAATTTGAAATTTGGACTAATTTTAAGAGTGAGACTGATTTTGCTGAAGATCGTACGGCCACTGTCGCACATGATGGAAAAAAATGTCGTATACATAATGTGATATACATCTATAATGTAATTATTATATAATGTGAAAAATGTTCAGTTCCTGGTCTCACTGTCATGATCGTTGCCATTCATATGAACTCACAACAGAGGTCTTCAGAGGTGCTAAGAGACTTGTATTTATTATATGTATTAATTTTTTTAACTTTATTTTATTTTTTTAGGTGAAAGTGAACAACAACATGAAATTTAATAAGAACTCGTAAAAAGACGAATTTAAGCGGAATCAACCCAACTGCACCAAGCATTGCCTCATTTCCTCAGAGTTTTAATTTTCAGAGTGAAAACTATGCAATACTGAAATTTGGATTTCAGGCGTACATATATTCTCCTTAATTTAAGGTGAAATCACGGACAGTTTAGAGGCATTGAATAGTTTAGTTCTATATTAAATAATAAAACGCCGGAGAAAGTAGGCAATGTAAAATGCAATCAGGCTGCTTCTAGGTAAATCCATCTAAATATAATGTGAAAGTCAGTACATACGTGCATTATTCTCGAGAGAACAACAATAATGTGTCATGAAAAAAAAAAAAAATACTGCCAAGTTTTAAATATTAATGTGAAGAGAAATTTATGCGCAAAAATTTATGTGTGAATGTGCGAGACCACATATCTCCGTTTGTGATGTTCAGGACTTGCAATCATACTGTATTTTTTCTTTGGAAAACTAGTCAACATAATTTCTTGAAAACTTCATTGATTTTTCTTCTATGTTGGTAGAATGTCCTGTATAAATTTCAAGCTATAAAGTTGACTAGTTCCTCTTCGAAAAAATAAACTAGGAGCGGAGATTAGGAAACACTGCAATGGAGATACGTGGTAACACACTTTAGCCACCTTTATAATATGAGGGCACTGAATTATACTTACTGCCTCTGGGGCCATAAAATTTAACACAGAATTCGTTTAGTCCACCTAAAATTGTAACTTCGTGTTTGCTTTCAATACTGAGGACCAAGTTAAGGAAAAAAAAATTTCTGTGCAGTGAGAAAGTCTAATCAAATAAACATGAAATTCATCCTGATAAGGAAATTTCCCTCATTTCCTCTCGGAGACTAACACAAGAGGCATCCTAGGTAGCTTGATAGAGACTAAGCATGGAAATGTTGATAAGACTAGAGCAAATGCTGATACATATCAATACAGATTATCTACCCAAGGCAGTTATTTTCATAAAAATGTATAATACAATAATGTCAATAGTATCAATAACTGGATCAAAGTATCAATGCCACCTGGTATCAACTATAGATTTCTAAGGAGATGTGTGTGATGTCTCCATAAAAAAAAAAAAATTGGAATCCTTAAATTTCATTTTTTTTCAATTTTTTTTTGTAAATCAAACTAATTGAGGGTGCCATGCTCCACCTTGCAATACTTAAGTCGGTGGGAGCAAAACATTTTCTGGAAGGCTACTTTTAGAGACCAGAAACTCTGCTCCTGGTGACTGAAAACAATGGCTTTGGGGGTAACTGATGGAAGTTGAGCGCCGCTTTAAACGATAGACAATAATAATTGAAGGTTCAACTTTTGAAGAAATAACTTGTCTATGCCTTAAAGTCAGTAAACAAATTCATATTATCTGGGTAAGAACTGTTGGAGGAGAAAATTTTCTTGGACTTATCATTTAATTTAGCGAAAAATATACATTACAGACTGGCAACAAGTTTTCCTAGGATGATTAAGCACTGGTTTTGCAAGGGGAAAATTTGATGTGAAAAACACAGGGTCTAGGTTCTAAATAAATTAGGTAACTGTACATCTCCAAAGGATTGGTTACACCATACTTACACTTGATGGTTGGAAAAAATTTGCTCAACGCAAGAAAAAGAAAAAATGAGCTATTGTCAAACAGGAGAAAGGGAGATAGGATGAGAAACTGCATCGACATCCATAGCAAACTGAGACAACTCAAAACATATCAAGGTTAGCACCACAAACCTAAAGATGACTAGAAATTGCTAAAAAAGTCATCATTGTAGCCATGATATATGTTACAAAATTATGTTGCTTGAAAATAAAAGAAACCCTATTCAACGGTTGGGAGGATGGTAAGTTAGGGTAACCTAACTACAAAAAAATGAACATCAGACAGGAAATTCAAGGACAAAGATTGAGGCGTTGGAGCGGCAGAAACAAGGTATATTAGCAGCTTGCGAGCAATTTGAAATAGTGAAAGGTTTGAGGGGTAAATACGCAATAATGAGGGGATTTCAATCCAAAGGCAAATATGATCTGCCTTTCTCAAGGATAACCTGAATCTAATAACTAAATCATAGGAATCAGTGAATATGAAGAACATTTACCCAGAAAACTAAGTGGTTTCCAATTCTATATACTAGATGGGAAACTACTTGACAGAAGTTCCTCTGATGCAGCATGAAGTTTCTGTACCACTGATTAGGGACAGAGAAATGGGGATGCAACAGTGATGATAAAAAATCATTTTTCATTCCTAAGCAACTTTAGCCATTCATACAAGCAGAAGACAAAGTAAGATGAATCAATGACCAGTATTTGATTCATCAGGAATAAGAAAGTTTCTGCTGGGAGCATTTCTGATAAAGGAGATTGATCAGAGCTAGAAATTGTCCAAACAACATGTGGAACAAAGAACAGCTGACAAGTCCCCACTTCAAAGCCAAAATCCAGTTGCAGGTCCATCTACATTGAACAGTGATTAGAGTATGTATAACAAAGGATACAGCTTGATGACATCTGTGTCCATTCGACGCTTTCCAGCACTGGGGGATGACATTGTTCCGAGAGCACTTTAAAACAGCTAATTAGAATGAAAGTTCGAGATGGGTTATGAATTTAGCATTAATCAGATAATAAGGCGAGAAGTACAATAAAATAATTTCATAATGACACAATCGAAGACGACAGAGTACACATTACTTCCACACAGGTCAGCTGTTGAGTGAACACTGTTGTCATATTGGCCCCGTTCCCTTCATCGCATCGACGTGCAGTCTGAGAAACATAGCGAAAGTGAAGACACTGAGAGCTTATTCAAAACTGCGTTTCGACTGTTCAAGTTCAAAATTTCCAGTCGCCGAAAAGGTATTTCTTTAAAGCTGCATACAATACAAATCAATTGCGTAGTTCTTTAAATAATGAGAGTTTTCCATAATTTTTCTCGAGACAATACAGGAAAATTTTCTCTAGGTTAAGGAACATGCGCAAGATTTAAGTACTAAAATGCTGAGGTTGTTGCATTGTGATTACTGATTTGAACAATGTTGTCAAATCAAAATTAATTTCATTTGTAATGTTTTTTTTTTTGCCAACGCGATTCTTGTTTACCAACACACCGCGAGAGGTTAGAAAAGAAGATGCGTTCGCCTTCTCCTTTTCCGAGTACATACCTGAAACGAGGGAAATTTCTTAGAAAGGCCTGCTTATCTATTTTATAACTACGATTTTTTCCGCTCGTGTTGTATCTCCCTTTATAGAAATCAAAGCATTGATCAGCTTCCGTTTTGCTGCCACGAAAAGTAAGTACGCCACATAATCATTCCCCTTATCACTTATTATCTTTGCTTGCTCACGTCCACGAAGTCCAAACCCGACAATGAATGATAGGGTCGACTTAGAAGTAATTAGTGCAGCAGTGGAATACTTACTTTGTATCATTTCAATCCTCAGCCAAATTGTCCAACCACTCCCAATGAATTTCTCTTTTCAGTGTATTTTGACTTGGCCCTTGCTGCTGAGCGTTCTTGTGGTTGTTAAATAAGATCCCAACCCGGTGTATCAACTCAACTGGCCTTCTTTCAGTTTCTATCACCCGAAGGTTTTTGCAGAAGTGAGTTGGGAGATTACGTTTAAAAGACCCCCGAGACTTTACGAAACCAATCACAGAAGAGAGGTATGTATTCCAGTGGATGTGTAGGTAGGGATTGTGAAGAAAATGAAATCATAATAATCATCAAAAATGCATTTCACATCAGACGTTGAAACAAGCAATGAGGATCTGTTATTGTTAAGCTTCTTACTCATGAATTTTATGAAAATAAGGAGTAGAGAACTTATTCCTTGGCAGTGGCATTTTTAAAATTTCATTAATTTTGTGTAGACATCGTGAGGGGACTCTGATGAGTATTTGAATGATTTTATATCGATAGCCAAAGTGCAAAACAACGTATCTCCATTATTGTGTTCCGTGACTCGGACAAATGCCTCTAGCTTCTCAGGCTCAGAAGGTGGATTTCTCAATCGCCTCTTTTCAAACGTGTATCGTTTTTCCACTTGTGCTCATCGATACTAGATAACTTTAACCAGGATAGTAACTCCTATTTTTAATCTTCATCGTGAATATCCTTTAGGTGGATTTATAGGAGGGCCGCAGGTCACCCACAAGCCAGAAAGAAAAGTGAGAGAGCGAGAGATGGAGAAAAGGAGTGAAAAAAAGGAAGGAGGAAGAGCAGAGAAAAGAAATGAATAACTTCCTTACAAACAGGTATATTGATCTCACACCCAAGTCATTTTTTCTGTTCGACTTTTCTCTCTGGAATTTATCTTCCCCGTAATTGATGTTTTCTAACAGATATTTTGGTAAATTCAGTAACTTTTTTTAATCGTGTAACTCAAATAAGTAATACTAAATTCAACAGATCAAACTGCTCAAAATTTTAATGTTCACAGTTTACTCGCATAAAAATTTTAAAGCACCAGAAGCTAAAGGGTGTCCTGATTGTCCTTTTGGGATGAAGCCTGAAAGATTGTTGTTAAATCCGCCCTCCCCCCTTTACCTCTCCCTAGATCAACTGGTGTAGTTTTTACATTTTGAAAAGTTATTTAATGGGTCTTGCGAAGTAGTAGTTGATAATGCTAAAACCTGTTTTGATGCCATTCTTTTGTTCATAGGTAAAGCTTAGTCAGATTCCTGTCGGTGTGGTTGCCAACATAAGTTAATGCCTGAAGAAGACAAAGAGTGTGCTGCAGAGTGCCTACCAGCAGAAAAAGAAACCATGGTTCAACGTACGTATTTCTCGCCATCCGTAAAGCATGTCTTCCATTGCAAGCTGGTTGTTTAAATTCTTTCTATTTTGGATTAAAAACCGATGGTGAAATTCCTTAACCACGTATCTTGTTTTCGGTGTTTCAAAATCTCCATTCCAATTTTATTTCCTTTAAAAGAGAAAGAATCAATTATATCCCTTGAAGTTATCACAGATTTCTCCTTGTGCAGAGGAGAAAAATTACAAAAATGTATCGAAAACGATACTGAATAACAAGAATCTGAAGTTAATGTCCACATTTTTTATTTTCTACTATGTATAGGTAATTATATCATCAAGTTCAGATCAGTAAATTCATGGAATAATGTTCTTAACTGATCACCTTTATTTTCTTCCTATATTCATGACCTATACCATTCTGTTTTTATGATCATTTACAGAACAAAAATTGAAAACCTTCGAATAAAAATATTTGCTCGATTCCAGGAATTCCCTCTCCTCAGTGAAAACTATTGGAAAATCGCATCAAAAATCTTATTTTTCTTTTTTTTTCTTTCTGTTTTTTCCATTCAGTCTTAATTTAGCCATTTTTAGTGGGGTTCCAGAAGTGCCTGATAAACACGAAAAAAAAAATAATTGACTTCATTTATAGCCAGCCCTTCCATTCCTTGAACGAGCCCTGCAAGCTGCCCCAGACTTAGTAGCTTTTGGTACATTTAGATGTTTTAGTAGGTTATCATCAAGTTTGTCATCAGACTGAAGCCAAAATATTGGGTGATTTTATAGTGTAGGAACTGAGATATTAGCAATTAAGCGCTCCTCCGCCTTTCATAGAGTGTTATAAATTTTAGAAGTCTTTCTCAATGTTTCAGGTGGAAACTCTAGAATGCTGAAGACTGTTAGTCTTGTCACTCTAACAGCTCAAAATGCAATTTTGAGTTTGAGTATGAGACATGCAAGAACAAGGGCTCCGAAGGAAGAACTCTTTCTGTCATCAACCGGTGAGATCAACTATCAGCTGACATTTTTTTGCATTTTTTCTCTCCCTTTGCACTTATTGGGCGGATAAAAGTAAAAACAAACTCCTGCCAAGGACAGGGAGCAGGCCAGGAAGCCTATGTTTATATCCTAAAGCTTTGTAGTTGCTTAGGTTCTTCTTGATGTGCCGACATAACCGAACGGTACAACTACAGCATTAGGAAAACAAGAGGTATGGATAAGCGCCAAAAGTCAGGCAGGGAGGAAAAGAGGTGACTCCGCATCAGTGCTAGGTGGATGCATGATGGAGCATTGATGGCTGCTGAGTGGAGTGGGAGCACACTGCTCAGGCGCTACAGCATTTCTCTTATGATTTTATATTATACCTAGATTAACTTGAATTAATTTGTTTTTAATTGACTGTTACATTTATTTTTAAAGAAAATGAAGATCAGCTGGAACGGTTGCTTGGTTTTTTCAATGCAGCGACAGTCCTGGTCATTTTAGGCCATTCGTTGTTTATGTTTAAATTCTCATTGCATCCCTCTCCTTCTATGCAAGAATTGTATCCTTTTTTAAGTGTATTTTTAAGTTTTTTTCTTCTTAATTAATAGATGATTCTGATTAATAGTGTCTCCTACTAGTCTCCACTACTAGTGTCCAGCTGATGATCTTCGTTACTAATCTCATAATTTTTCATATCTTTCTCAGCGGTTGTCATGTCTGAATTCGTGAAGCTCATCATTGCCCTGTATCTAGTCTTTCAAGAAGAGGGAAGTAATATTAAGCGATACAAGGACTCATTGCACAATACCATCGTCAAACAGCCCATAGACACTTTGAAAGTTGGAGTCCCATCACTACTTTACATCCTTCAAAACAATCTTCTTTACCTCTCAGCATCAAATTTGGACGCCGCCACTTATCAAGTAAGAAGAATAGATTGGTCCTTCAGATAAAGTAAACTTAAAAAGAGCATTGCGTTTGTACTACTAAATTTTTGGTCATTCCCGTGTGACTTTTCTTTAGACTCTTTCCTACTAAAAAATTCCTTGACCTCATACCGCATACCACAGAGGAGTAATTCAGTTTTTAAATAACCAAATAATGTGTTGTTACAAATTAGTAACATCATGGCATAGAGGGTTAATTTCGCCATTCCTCTATAATCTTTGGAAGTGACCATCATAATCCAATTTTTTAATCTCTAAGAGCTACCATTGTAGTATAGTGAAACCTCCCATAAGCAAGCATCTAAGAGGAATAAAGGATCATACTAAGGTGCTAGGCTACCATAGATTTCAATGAAAATGAAATGTTGATTAGAAAAAACGACACTTCTAGTAAATGAATGATGAAGAATGATGCTGACAAAAGCTCTACACACACGTTTATACTGCATATTCAAGCAAGCTCATTCTTAAAAGTTTTGAAAGTTACTTTTTCTTTCAAAAACTAAAATTTACATTTGTTTTGTTTCTATGCTGAATTTACTTTGGGGTTTATCTTTATTGATTACAGAGTCACTGATTTCATCAATACTTGAGGTTTATTTTTAATTCATAGAATAATTTTAATATTTAAAGTTCTGTTGTGGCATCCTCCCTCCTGGGCTGTCTTTAAATTACGTAATGCTGTATTCCAGATATAGTAACTCTTCACCCCTTTATAGCGCACCTGTAATGCAGGAGTTGCATTCTCATGGTCTATTGTATTCTTTCCACTTTTCAGGTGACCTACCAGCTGAAAATTTTAACAACAGCAGTTTTTGCTGTTATTATTCTCCGCCGGAAACTAATCGTCACACAGTGGCTTGCCCTAGTTTTTCTCATCGCAGGAGTGGTCACTGTGCAATTATCTGATGCAGAGGAAAAACAAGTCAAGGTTGCTCAAAATCGTCTTCTTGGCATCTGTGCAGCTCTTGCTGCTTGTGTTCTGTCTGGCTTTGCCGGTATCTACTTCGAAAAAATCCTCAAAGGCTCCGACATATCTGTTTGGATGCGGAATGTTCAACTAAGCTTCCTATCAATCCCTATTGGTCTAGGCACCGTCTTGATAAAAGACTTTAGCGCCGTCACTCAAAATGGATTCTTTTGGGGCTATGATTGGTATGTTGTGTACATTGTTGTATTGCAAGCAAGTGGTGGGCTTTTAGTGGCGCTGGTTGTCAAGTACGCAGACAATATTCTGAAAGGTTTTGCCACATCTCTGGCCATTATTTTTTCATGCATACTTTCAATAATTCTGTTCGATTTCACAGTCACATTTCTCTTTATTTTAGGAGCTGCACTAGTGATCTGTTCAATATTTCTTTATGGATATCAACCAAGTGCTAAACCTAAAGCATTACCCCTTGCCCAAAAACTTTGAAAAGGAAATGTATGAATATGTTGCTGTCATTCAGGATGAAGTAAATCATTCTCTGAAGCCCTTGAAATTCCCTTAAATCTCTAAATGAAAAAGCGGATTTTTTATATCAACTTGACGCCCTCAAGTGGTTATATCCTGGTTGATCCAAGAATTAAAGAAAGAGAACTAAGCTTTGTTTTCTCTTGTTTAAGGTGAAAAACTACACCCTAATTTTGAATTTTGCTGTCAGGCATGATTTTGGCAATTATAATTCTTAATTTCTCCAATTAAACGGGTTCTATCCATTAGTTAGGTCATCATTTAGATCCCCTAGAAAAATTATTCCACAAAGACAAAAAATCCATCAGGGAAGGAAAGCTTCTAATATTTGTTAGAGGCTCACAGAAGGGCTCTTCTGGGATTGAGTTCTGATCTTTCTCGGTCAGAAAATACTTAATTCATTCATCGCAATGAAAAAACGAGGATCCAAACAAGAAAAATGTTACTTTGATGAAAGATGCTCCATTTTTTGCTCTTGAACTGAACCAGAACCGAAGTGACTGAAAAATGCTATATCATTGGTATCTTTCTCATAAGAAGATCTTCTTTCTTTATTCTCTTTCGTATGTTTCTTTTCTCTTTTGTTTCTTTTTTTATCTTTCATTTTTCAAAGAAAGAACAATCAAATGCTTTTGATACTGCAGAAGCAAAATATCTATAAAACTGTAGTCTTTCTGTCTTTAAGGCTTAAAAGAACTAGTTTTAGCTCTCTTAACTTTGCTTTAAGAGTTTATTTTTCATAATATTCTCCATTGCATTCATAATCTGTGATGTATTCTAACATTAAAAACGTTTTGCAAAAATCAAATGTTCCTATCAATTTCAAAACTTTACAATCAAGATGCAAGCTCTAACATAAGAACTAGGTATTAAAAGTTCAATTAATTTCACCTGTTTCACATTTAATCTGTGTTAATTTGACTTTCTAATGTCTTGTTCAAAAGTTATGCTTTGCTGACTTTTTTTTGGTATGCATTTTTTTTTTCATTTAAAATTTCAAAGAGATTATGAATGGAGTGCTCCCTATAATTTATAATAAGTCTACCACCCTATTTTAACTTGTTGGCAACACATCAGGCGCTGCTGGGTGACAATGCTCTCATTTTAGGATGACTTAAGGTCCTAGCACCTAACAGGAGAATTTCAAACAAATGTAACTGTAAAATTAATTTAGGTTCTCATTACTTGACAGAAAGATTCAAGTTAGGTGTTCGAGTTGAAACAGGAATATGTTTTGGAGTTATGTCATGTTTGGCCTCTGATGTCATGCTTTTATGTGTACATGTTATGAAGATTCTAGGAATATGTTATTTGCCCACTAGAGTGGAGTAGACACCAAAAATAATTTGAACACTGCCAACAAAATATTGCAAAGACAATTAGTGTATTTTTCCTTCGGAAAATACACTAAAAACAGAGGATCTGCCATCATTATTCTTGCATTTACTTTCTATACCAAATTGAAGATGGTAGACTCTCTGTTGCAGTTTAAACATGTTCAAACTTATTCTTTTTATTGACTTTTTAGTGCTAATTTGATACTTGAAAATGTCCACTCCATGTTCTTTGCCCAAAAAGCACCTGCATTGCCAACTTGTCAAAAACAAATGTCAAATGAGTCAAAACTCGTTAGGGATGTCGATACTCGGTATCGATACTGGTATCGACTCTAAGCATCAATACTGGTATCGAGCATCGAGCTGAAGTATCGATACTTATGAGGTATCGATACAATCGATACTATTTCTGAATTATGCCGTGATTCTGAGTGTGCGTATGTCTGTCGGCCGTTAAATTCCGCCAGATTTACGCCTCTCTCAAAAAAGCCCTGTTCGCGTCCTTAGTCAACTATTATGAGCCCTTAAGTACAGTTATCGAACTGAGCTTTTGACATTTTTATTGAAGTTTAATCATCTTGAGAAACTTGTTACTCCGTCATTTGTCACAGTGCATCATGAAGGTGAAATAGTGGGGAGAGAATTTTTTAAAAAAGAAAAAGAGGCCTTCTTCATGGCCAAATCACGTCGATACTGGGGTCTTGGCATCGATACTGCATGGTATTTAAGTATCGATCGAAGGTATCGATACTTTGCAAGTATCGGATAAGTATTGACATCCCTAAAGCTCGTGTTTCTCTTCTAATACTTGCCACTGACACTGTTCCGCTCCAGAAAATCATTCTGTCAATATAAATAATTGAAAATTTTTCCTTAGAGATCTGTAAGTATCGCTGTATTTTCCTCTAATTAGTAAGTCTACTTTTTTATACCAAATTATTTGTGAATAATTTTAGATTTTAACTTTTTATACTATTAAATATTCTAATCTTATCAAAATATACAACTAAAACTAACTTTTATGATAGGCTGTCATTATTTCTGATGTAGAATCTGATGAAGAATTGTGTCGCTTTGTTCTCAGAATGTAGCTATAAATTAAGTATTTTAATAACAGTATTGAAGACTGAATAGCCTGGGTCACACTATCAAACTGAGCTATCAATCTGAGGAGGTCAGGGTTCTGATTGGTACTGTGAATATTAATCAGAGATCTCTATGCCATCAAATTACCGCGGCCCTCAGTAATTGATAGCACACTAATCTCTCATAAGCATGTGAAATCCTATTGGGTAGTGACCTCGCTAGTTTGATAGCATCAGTTTGATCACATGACCCAGGCTAATGAAATGGGAGTCTGGTCTTTTTTTGAATTGTGATGAAAGCCTAAATGCCTAAAAATATCCAATCGAGAAATGGTGCAGTTTAAAGTCTTCAAACTTGCTACGACTTTATGTATGAGCTGTGTGGAAAATCGCCCAAACCGATGCTTTTAAATTTTCCAAACTTGGCTTTTGGTTGTCAGGTGAATGTAGCCCTTGATCTCTAAAGAATTATCTCGAAGTTTCGGAAAATTACACATATGATCCGAAAATTTTTCCAAAAATTTATTACTGTAATTGAAAGAATGGGAATGTAGAGGATATAAATTCAAGAAAACCCATTGGATGCTTCTGAATAAATTAATATCCCTCCACTCTCTCATCTTCGAAAAGAAACGTAATAATATATTTCATAATCATAGTTAAGCAATTTATTATCAGTTCCTATGTTTTTCAACGATCAATTCTCGCAATGTGAGTGCTCTGGAAACTTTTTTTCATTGATAAACATTTAAGTATAGTACTGTTTTGAGACATAGTCTCTTTTTGACAGGCAGAAAGTAATCTAATAACAAGACAATTTAGAGCAAACGAACCACAAACAGAGTAAGAAATTAGACTTCATTTTGCAATTTACCACAATCTTTGGCTTTTGTTAGAAACAGAATATTTGCCATTAGTTTCCCCAGTTTATGGGCCAGAAATTGTAGGTCTTTAATACAAAATCGAATCTAATTAAACTCTGCAACACATGTTCCCTCATCAAAATCTCACAAACAACATCGCACAAACATAAAAAATTCCCAAATTCAGCTGAAAAGCAAGGAATCAGCATTTCCTGTGTTCGTCAATTCGAACTTTAGGCTTACCCCAAAACCAAAATTTACTTATGCTAAATTGACCGCCTAACTAATTTAGTATTTTGTCTGATTAATTTACTTTCTATGTGTGCTAAATTTTTCTTTACTACTCTACAAATATTGTGCACTAGAGGAAAAAGGAAACTTCCTGAAATTTAACATTAGTCGTTTGTCAAATAATTAGTTTGTTTTCAATGGCTGATCTGGCCTTTATAAATTACAGCCATAAGCAGGAAGTTTGAATTTGATAATACTGTTTTTATTTAACAACTCTAATTTCTTATTTTTCAATTGATTCTAGACTTTTTGAACACTTAATGTACTGTACATGCAATCTTTATCAGGCAATGTGTCTTGCGGTGCTTTAACTCTCATCCTGTTTAAGTGATCCACAATCAAGTTCCCAAGTAGCATTGATATTTATAAGTTGTAATTACGTACTAAAATTATTGCTACTCCAATGATGTGTTGTGTATGTTACCTATCTAACTGATCGGAGGAGCACCTCGTCATTGAAATGTATTGCAATGAAACTGAAATAGGTTGCAATTTCTCATTGCATCGCAAATTGCATATCGACGGTGAAACTACCAAACCACGTATCTCGGTTTGCGACGTCGCAGACTTCCTGTCATACTTTATTTTTTAAAAGAAAAACCGCTTAACGTCCAGTCTTGAAAATTTCTGTGATTTTTCCTCTTCGTGCGGAGAAATTTCTGTGAAAATTTCAAGGAATGATATTGAATTGGTCGACTTCAAAAAAATAAAATGTGACCGTAGATTTTTAAACACCGCAAACGAGATACGTGGTTTGGTAGTTTCACCGTCGATATGTCTCTGATAGATGGAAGTCATCATGCTGATTGTCTAAAATTGGCATTTATTGACAAAGTGATGTAAAAATATTGCAATATCATGGGAAGGAAATTGCAATTTTATTTTAATTTTTTTATTGTACTGTAATACTTGAGTTACATGAATGTCTTAAAATTTCACATTAGTTTTCATTGTATTAATTCTGATGAGTGCCTTTACATTTTAATCTTAGGAAATGTTTGATTTGAACATAACTGCGTATAATTTTCTGATATTTTGTTTTTCATTCAGTTAATGAGAAAGAAACATACCTTCTGCACTTCTAAAACAAATTGGAGCCTTCAAAGAAAATTCTACATCATTTCTTTCAGTATTTATTTTACATTGTAAAAATAGGTTGTGTTAATAATGCGAAATTCCAATCCTCCCCGTTCATATTTTAGTTTTCATCAAGTAACCATTCAAAGTATTTCTTAAAAGTTTTGTAGAATATGACAAGGTATATGAAAAAACAAAATCAAAAATTAAGAAAAACATATTTCCGCAATCAATACTAAAATGTGAATCACAAGACTTATCCAAATAGGAGCACATGTTTGTCAACATCCCATCTCTGGTTCGAGTATTTTTAAATTTACGTCCCCTCTACTATAATTTCATATTTCTTGCAGTTTTTCTCCCAAATGAATCCACACTATCAGGTTCTGCCTTTCAGTGCATTTTCTGAAGGCAATTTTTAACTTTAGCTTTATCTTGTTTTTGTCTCTCTTTTGTATGATTGTTATGATAACAGCAACCGAAACTATAGATTAAAAGTAAATTTTTGAATTCAAGAACTATTTACATTGTCATGTTGTATTTAAATGTAGTTTGTTATGTTTGAAAATATTTTAATTCATAGACAAGGATAAACCTTGAGTCATATGCTATGTTGTTTACCAATTTTCTAATCAAGCTTTAAAGATGATGGATGCATCAGAAGTGTTTCTTTTTAATAATCGTCTTTTGAGTAATGAATTATAATGTGCAATTTTTTTAACTTTTAGGTTAAGATGGACTTAAATTAAATCGGTCTTTGCAACTATCTAATCCTGTTTATCAGTATCGTGTAATTATTTCAACTTTTTCGGATCATAAATGATTCTTAAGTTTCAGAAGGATGAAGTTTATTACATGAAAGGCCACACGACTGAATTTCCAAGGTTTTTTATTTTTAAAGCTCTGCTTTCATTTTATTTTTCCAGTCAAACACATATTGGACGGCTTCAAGTGGAATAAGTCTAAATGCTTTTCATGTTGCTTAATTTTTGTGTCTTAATTCTATTTTTTGAACCGAGAACCAAACTACCCAACGCCCGTCAACTACCTGTGAATTTATGCTATATTAGCAAGATTATAGTTGCAAAATTTCAAGTTTCAGTTTTCTGTTCGAAAAACGAAACATCAGAGAATATTAATAAGCAACCTCTGCTGTATTTAGTTCCAACGATTCTGACTAAGTCTTTCCAATTATTATATGACTAAAAGAATTTTAGAAACTAGTTATTTCAATGATGCAAAGTAAGTTGGAATCTTATAAAATGAATTTCAAGAAAAAGCAATTAAAAAGAAATAATCATGAGTAATCCTAGAGAGGTGATTTTTTTGTAATTCCTCCCCTCCCCCCTCATCCAAAGTCTAATCACAAATCTTCTACTCTTCCAAACATAGCGCAATTTTCTGTTTCTCTATCAGCATAATTAATATTATACTTCACTCTAAGGAAATAAAATGTCTGTTTAGATATGTAAAGCTTTCACCTGAGTAACTTAAGTGCACATTTTTTATGTACGTAGGTAAAAAAAGATACCTACATATCCTGCCTTGAGGTGTGAAAAGTTCTGGGGTTAACAGGTTATCGTTTTAATTGTACAATTTCATATCTGTTTCATTAATGGTTGCTCTTCAAAAATAAATACAATTTTGGGCATGTTTGGTATGGAACGCTGTTTTTATGCTCATGGGGCAATTGCTTCATTGTTGCTTTTCAAGGCATTTGAGGTATCTCAACTCTAAAACTTACCCATTGTCAGGGATTTCTGGTTTTTAGGTAAGAACTTTTCTAAAGGAGATAATTGAATGAGAATTTTAGCATATTGCTATCAAAAAATTAAAAATTAAAAAAAAGAAAAAAGAAAAAAAAGAAAAAAAAAAGAAGAAAAAAATTCAAAATTACTCTGATCTTGTTGAGGCAACTCATGCATCCTGCATATTTAATCTATTTTGAAGTTTGGTCGAAGGGAAACTACTAGTTTTGACCTCTGAAAAGTCCCAATGTTCTTGATGTACCTAATATGGGTACCTATTTTTTAAATTTATTAAATTCATGTTAAAAAAATAAGAGAGATCTAAAAAAATATTTTCTCAAGTCCGTGAGCAGGCGCAATGGAGAAAACCTACAGTTCACTCCTGTAGTTATCTCTTGTCAGTTTCCAACAAAACATAACCAGGGAAAGCGGTCACTATGAGTGCTTATTTTGTTTATATTCTCAGGAAAACAGCAGACCTTGGAATAAGGCCACGTTTATAAAAGTTAGAACAGAATCCCCTGACCATCCCTCCTTCTCTCTGTGCTCTGTAAAATATCTCCTTCTAAAGTCAAATCTTAATTTTCCCTGAGCAGGAGTCTATCAAGTTTAGCAGAAAGGAGTCAAGTTTTTGTAAAAGAATAGGTAGTGGCTCATGGCTCTACTTATTAAAAAAATTATTTTAACCTACCAAACTTTTATTTGCAATAAACTGCAGGAGCTTCTTTTGTTCAATCAACATTTTGACCTAGAAAGTCAAATTTACCGCAAAAATCGTTAAGTACTCTCTTATATTTTTTTGTAACTCCATTTCCCTCTCTTTAAAACAAAAAAAGCCACGATTCTAAGATGAGAACTAACTAAGTATGGTTGGCTCTCTCACATATTTCCTATTGGTGATCGATGAAGAATTCGGAGAAAGAAACCAACTACATGATAATGTTTATGGATTTGCAATTAACGAGCACCCCCTTTTATGCCCAAAAACTTGCCTCCTTCCTTAGCACCTCAATCCCTCATTGCAAGGCTCGTCACTTTGTCAGCGCCTTAAATGAGCGCGAATACGCAATTTGCTCTACACTCTGTCGGCAAGCAACTGACCGCTTTGATAACAGTTTATTTAAACACAAGATAGCAGCACCTGCGAATCTTTTACATTGTTGTCATATCGACGGTAAAGCAAATGTACCTAATGTACCTATTAATGCTCAGTAAGTTTTCACATAAGACACGTACTCAGGGATGATTCATTTACCACACTGTGGCATCAGTGTGTGATAAAGGCTTTGGTGCTTTGGTACTTACAAATTTGTTGCACTTTGAAAGTTAGTATGAAATTTTCTAATGAAGTGCCCTACCATCGGTATTCTTGACTGAATGTTTGGTTCATCGGTAAGTCAAATGTCTCAGAAGAATTTTTTCTCCTCTTAGTAAATCTGCTATAATGAAATTCCTGATAATCTACCCAAACCTCATAACCCAGAATCATGGTCATTTTTGCTGATGACCTGCATTTACGTTTACGCTCTATGTTTACTCATTTTTCATAGTTCTGTGCACTTTCAAAATCAGTTTTTCCCCTTTCCCACCTAAACAACTGAGCCCCCAAGCGGAATGATGAAAATATCCTAGCCATAGCTCCTGATCAATGTATTCAGGGACCCTGTATATCACACAGTCATGCGAATTCCTGTGCTATGTACCTTCATGTTTACCAAAATAGAACTGGGGTTATGAACTCATTCGAATTGATGCCGTGTTTAAAAACCAGATCTGTGGCACTGAAAACTTCAAGAATTTCTTGATCGTCATAAACAATTCAACTGCACAGTTAGCGACCAGAGTCAGTTTTTTTAGGTTATCCTCTTTTGGCAATGTTTCCAGTAAGTAGTCCTGGATACACCCTAAATGATTCACTTAGCCTCTGTGTCAGCTAATTACTAATTACTTGCCCTAGTAATTTTACCACCAACTGTCTGCTCTCAATAATCAAATCAGGACTCACAGTTTCGGAATTTTAATTTTGCTATGATGTTATTTAAAGTCTTCTATTTAGTGACCGCAAATCTTGTGTATGTAATTCAAACTCTCCCTAGCGGATAATCTATGCCTCTAGTGAGACTTTATTCAAACCTTACATTGCAATTGCTTTATCTCACAATTTCTGTTTTGATGTATTGGCGCGAATGGTGCATGTAGTGTATGAAAATAAGAAACTAACCAGGGATCCGAGTATCTTAAGGTTGCAAATGTTTCTTCTGACTTGGAGAATGTATAAACTTTTTTTTTTCTTTATCTCTCCAGAAATTTTAAATTCTCCCAGGTTTCTCACTTAATTTATACAATTAATTGGTGGCCAGTTTTACCCCAGCCAGATCTCAAGACGATTCCCCCTTAGATATCTTGCAGTGTTCCAAATCCACAGGTGGCATTATGTCGAATGTTCTGCAATAATCTCTGCCATCATAATTTCTCTGACTTGTGATTGTTCATCACAGCAGGGGACAGAACTTATAGGGCAAGCAGTTGCACTTGTAGCACTACAGATCTTGCTACAAACAGAGAATCGGTGCAGAGCCAAGTGGCAGGAGGGGTAGTTTGCATGTGATGATGTAGGCAAAAATTTAACTTTGCTCCGGTTTGTTTCTTGATCATTTAAGTGATTTGCAACCTTGCAATGAACTCTAATTTCTCAGATTTAATTATTGTAATCATATGTTCACCTTTTTTCAGTTGTGCAGCAGACTGTCTGGAATCCTTGTTAATTGAAATAGTTTCTTCATAATTTGAAATGGAAAATCAAGCCAACCCACCGATATCCGACCAAGAAAAGGTACATAACAATTATCATTCACAAATGAACATTCCAAAGATTTCAATTTCAGCCTAATTCTGAAGTAACAAATTCCCATCTCCAATCTACCCATTCCATAAAGTATCAAATGATCTGCTATTTTAATTAACAAAAATGGGACTGTATGTGCAGTTGACTTCATTCTATCAAAACCTAGAATATTATTTTCAAACTTTGGGTTACCTCAGTTTTGTCTTTTAGTTCATTTAACTTTGAAAATTATTTGGTTTCAAAACTAATTTTCCACTCTTTAAGAGTGTCAAACTTATAAGCTCTCAGAGGAGTGCATAAACCTGAAATACGATCCAGACTGGGTAAATTATTAGAATGACTGCCTTTTTGATGAGATAATAGATGTGCAATCCAGATTGCATGTAGTACCAGAAAATTAGTGAAATCAGCAACAACTACATGGGCGAACCAGGGGTGCAGAAAGTTTTTAGCCTTCCCCGATTTGTAATTATCCTTTCTCCAAATTTGATGTTTTTGCCTTAATTGTACCTCTACATGAAACAACATGCTGAACAGTTTCCTTCCTCTAAAGTAGCGTGAAATCAATATGCTCCACAGTTATCTTCCCAAAATTGATCAAAATGGGTAGGAAAAAAAACCCTCCCCAATTTTTATAGTCTTCTCCAATTCTCTTTGCGATTGGTGAGGCGATCACGATCGCGTGATTAAGAACATTTTGCAATCCCGGAGTGAACAAGTGCGAGGCATGCATAGCTATTAACGATAGTGCTTTATGTATACCATCTTGCTTGCGATCAAACATTATTATACCCCCCTCCCTCTAGCTGTCCTATGTCTCCTACCCTGATCCAAGCCTTATGCGAGGCCTAGTATTATAAGTCTATGGAGGAATGTCTCAAGATTTTTTGTGTTTTCTTCCAGCTCCGAATTGTGTCCGATTTCATCCTACACTCCCCTCCGGGTGAATTCAATGAAGTTTTTAATGGTAAGATGAGTTTCGTTTTTCCTCTCTTTCAACTTTTTTCCCCTTTCAATCTCTCTATTATCAAGTTCAGTCGTGAAAAATTTGTTGAGCTTTTCTGATACTTTGTCCATACCATAATGAAATAGAAAACCCAGAGATAAAGAATTTGTCATGCCTCCTTTACCCTTTTTGAAAAAATGAAAATGTACACCTTGAAATGAATAAACATGAACAGAAAGAAGGAAGTTCCATTTAGAGCTAAGAAATGTTTCAAATTGTAAATTTTATCCACTCATTGTTTTAATATTGTGGATCCAGTACAAGAGTAAAATCTAGCTGTCTTTTTTCCACCTTTGTGTGTCTCTGTAAGGATTTGGAAGTCAAGTTGTGAGTGGCTCTTTCCTTTACTAAAATACAATTTCTCACTCTTATCATTAACTTTCAAGTTCTCAATCTTCAAAACTGAGCTGCTGTAACAAATTTAGAAGGCCTTTTTTTATCCGTGGAGTGCATTGAATGCAATGGATTGGGATCCTCTACGGTTCGGACCAGTTCCACCTGGTTTCTCAGAAAAAAAATACAAACAAAAGGGTGGATGTACGCTTGTCTATGTTGGCATGTAATGAGATCTTGTCAGTTGAAGGAGAGTTGAGTGATTCCAGTGTTCTATTTAAATATAGCTAGATATTGGTAATGGATGAACAAATGAAGTAATTTTAATTGAAGGGCACCTCAAAAGTTCAAGTAGAACTATAAAGATGAGCATGAATAAGGAATGTTGGGATTTGGCGTGACTACCCTTTGAACTCACATCGTAAGAGCAAGCCAAGTCTTCAACTGGAACGCAAGAACGGACTTGAACGCACCAGTGGACCAAGATAATAAAGTGACTTGAATCATCAAATTCCATTGCTCTCCTCTGCTGTCTAGATGAAAGAAAACCCTTAGATTTACCAGCCGTACAATCCTATAAGGAGACTTGTTCATTTATTCTCCTGTGGTGTAATTGTTGTAGAGCTGTCCCTTTGACCAGGAGATCCCAGGTTTGATTCCTGGCCAGGTGACCTGAGTTTGATGGTCTCAAGCAATGGTCACCTGGGATCAGGTGTAAAGGGACCGGGGAATTGAGTGCAGGATTAACCCCTGGGCTATTTGAAAATTGGCACAAAGAATGTAGAACAATACACAAAGTGAGAGTTCCTAAAATATTTATAGGGCCATCCAATTCCAGTAGCCTTTTCACTATTTGAGTTTATTACTTAGCTCCAATGAGCCAGAAATCACAGTTCTGATGAGCACCTCTCCTTACCATTAGACTGGCTCGTACTGTCATAAAGCTCGGATTTTTTACTATTAAATCATAAAAGTATATTCAACTCTAGAATTTGACTTAACTTGTTTTTTTTTTCCAGATGTCCGTGGTCTTCTAAACAATGATGTACTATTGAAGGAAGGTGCTTGTGGGTATGTAAATAAGTTTCCTTTCATATTATTCAACTCCAGGTTTCATACTTCTAGCAACTTGAGCTCAGATCCTTAGTATAAAAATTAAGAGGTCCGTGGAATAGATATAAGTTAAGCTCAGCTTTAGTTTCACATGAATAATTCCATTCAGCTTGTTATCCCATGTTGGAGAAATTGTTTGGTCACAAGTTTTGAGAAAAGAGCAAGTGTATGTCAGGGAAAACTTGTAACCCTGCATACAGTAAAGAAGAGGGCTGGTTCCAGAGAGTTAGGAACAAAGTATATGTCTCTCATCAAAATAAAAAATGTGCTTTTCTGAAAATGAACTTAAATATAATATAGGAGAGAGTTCTTTCTTTTCGTCACAGTGTTTCAGAGGTCTAACTCCAGTTTTAAAAAGATAAAAGCCTATCATATGATATATTCTCTGAACGTCCTCATTGCACTGGAATCTCTTTTAAAGCATTCTGCTCCCATTCCTTGATATTCAACCATTAATTACTGAAAGAATTTTTTTAATTAGTACTCTCAACCCCCTGTCACAACTCTCCATAACTTTTGATTTAGACAGGATATTATCTACTGATTGAATGGGCCAAGTCTTAAAAACACCTGCTGTGAGCAGACTTAGACCTGGTTTTTATACACCCTTTAAACAGTATATAGATGGAGAAAAACTAAAGTTGAAGAACCAAAGATATTTTAAATTCAACAATTTCTTAGCCACTCCTCCTCTCAGAAAATTTTCCCACTTTTATGAGTTACTCTCTCCAAAATAATTACCCTCTACTCGTTTTGTGCCGGATGAATTATGGTTGTTAATATTTTCTTCTTAGATCAATATGACCATCTCACAATTTGCTCACCAAGTAACCAACTAACTATCCCAAAAAAAAAAAAATCACCAGCTTAAAATAACAAACGGTAAGAATTTGGGGTTGTCAACGAACATGGTACAAGACTAGTGATGGTAATGATGTTTTCCTCATCAACGCTCTGATCAGTTGTTTCGATTACGCCATTGATTTGAAAAAAAGAAGTCATCGCTGTTGCTACTTGTTGCTCTAGTTGGAAATTGAGAAAAGCATAACCCGCAACAGTCTCCAGCCACAATTTGTGATAAGCTCACATTTTGTTCATATTTTGGTAGTTTATCAGATGACGGTTAATTATCAATCAAAATGGGGACGATGATGGAAGGAGAAAATATTGACAACTGTTATTCACTAGATGAAAATGAGAGGAAGGTAACTATCGTGTATCCTGACCAAGGAAGCTACAGAATTTGTAATACAGACAATAGCCTCAAAATTTGTTTCTTGCAGAGGACTTTTGTCCATGAACACATCACACAGCATGCGCACTAACATACTATGTAACACTTTAGCTTCAATAATTTTCTCTTTTTTATTCATATTTAATCTTTTAATTTCAGGGCTTTTGCTCAATATAATAAGGATCAATTCACCCCAGTCAAAATTGAAAATAGTGATTCATCAGTGCTAATTACAGAACACAATGATTTAGGTAATGGTCGGTTTTACGACCCTAGGTCCAAGCAATCATTTAGATATGACCACCTGCGGAAAGAAGCCTCTGATTATGATGTAAGTAATATAATCTAAATAATTTGATCAGTCAAAAAATTATTTCGTACAACTTCTGTTCATCTAGATAAGGCATAGTTCTTGAGAAGTTGGAGAAAGTTTGGAAATTTTTTCTTTCAGACCAGGAATTTATCAGTTTTGTGGAAACCTTTGGACGGCTTTGATGTCATCCATGCTTTTATTGGTAAAGGTTTAAGTTGGAACTAAATATGTTGCGTAAAAAGCATGTCAAAGGTTGTCATCCGTCTAAAGTCAGGAAATTTTTTGATAGAAAACAGTAGAAAGTCTGTAATTTTTTTTATCCAAAATATTAAATAGCTAGAAAATTCTACAGTTAAGGGAAATTTATGACCATCCTGCATGAAAACCTTTTTCTTGGTGACACTTCTAATAACGTCAGAAAAGTAGTTTTTTTTATGTTTGGGTTAGGGTTACTCAGAACAAAAGCTGGTACTCACATTCTCGTCTTACGCAGCAAAGCGGTCAACCAATCTATAAATGGACTATCCACTAAATACATTCTGGGATCGCTGTGAAGAAACCATTCAAGCTTGATAGTCCATTTAGTGATTGGTCACCTGATTTAAAGCGTGAGAGAACATGTCCATAAAAAAAGCAAGGTAAATTTCTCAAAAACTTTCCTCTATAATCTTGCCGGAACTTTAAAAATCTAAATATCAGAGCATCAAAATGCTAATGAAATCAGTGAAACCTTAACAATGGACTAAAATTCAAGGAAAATCAGACTGACATCTACAGCACTGCCCATTTAAATGTGCGTGAGTTTGAACGATCAGAACAAGCAGCTAGTCCATTTTCTGTGATGCCAGAACCCATGTTTGCTGTAGGTACCTTAATTCTGTGTCACTTGATGTCCCATTGTCACCTTAGCATTGTGTTTAATGTAACTAATTATCAGAAGTTTGGAAGCGTTTTTAAGTCCCTTTCTTTTGGCTCTATTTAACTGTCAACAGCTTCCTTAAATGTTTAATGATAAGTTACTTGATCGCCTCAGCTTGCTTGGCTGACTACTTGACGAACATAACTTATGGGAGGTGCCCTTAACAGCCACAGAATGCTCCTCAGAGGCTCAAGATGAAAATCATATCTTTCTCCTAGAAAGTGATACTAAAGATGAATAATATGCTGTTCTAACATGTGAGTCTAAAAAGACCCCCTTGAAGATTGAACTGCCTGACAACCAAGAAACAGATCTTTCAGTTGATTTTTCCAGTCACTGATTTTTAATTTATGTATTTTTAGAGTTATGAACTGGATCCATCAACGGAATCATGGCGAGCGGCAATAGAAGCAGAGTTTGACAACTACACAGTCTCGCATTATAAACATGGATTTTGTAGCGTGTTCTCCAAGAAGCAAGGTCCATCGATCACTTTAGTTGCTTGTATCGAAGATCATCAGTTTCAGCCTAAAAATTATTGGTAAGTATCTCATTAGTAGAATGATTTGTCATTTTTTTTTTTTGCAAAAAAAGAATTGTTCAATATCCAATTTCAGAAATTCGTGTTCTCAGCACATTGGTTATCTATTGTGCATGTATTCCCACTGAACTAATAAATTTTGCAAAAGAGGTGAACTGTATCGGTTGTGAACCATTATTACCTAAAACTGCAGCCAAGTTGCTGCTACCTCTCTGTTGTGTCTGTAATACACACTTCATGATTTTGAGCTTCATTTTAGAAGGTAACAGTCCTAAAAGCAAAAATTGAAATAGTCTGTAGAAAAGGGAGGCTTTCCTGATTGCCTGATCATAAACAAATAAACAGTGGTATCTTTATATTTTGGTGGAATTTTACCTGTTCAACTTACCATCAATGGCAATTGTCAGCATTTTTTCCGTCCATAGAAGAGCTTTCAACGAAAGCGCCTTTTTCATTCAATTCGAATTGGTGCTTGTTGATTTTTGTACTTAGTTTTTTTGTGTTATTTTGCAATCTAGGTACCGCAAAATTTTAAAAAAAAATTTAAAAGAAAAAAAATTTAAAAGAAAAAATAAAAGTAATCCTGCCACTTCTTAAACTTTCGAAAGTGTCATCTTGGCATGACTGTATTTACCTCAGTTGTCTGCAGGAAGTATCATATTGACTGATGAGATTTTCATTCAGAAAAATATTTTTCATATCTTATAAACTTTCATGAATTTTTGGTAATAACATGAACTTTTCCTTTGAATAAGAAGATTGAGTTTCCCTGCATACTTTTTGTTAAGTTTATCTGCCTTGCAATTTGATGCACCTGAGTTTTACATACAGCTATTATTTTCTCAGGAATGGACGGTGGCGCTCTCAGTGGACCATCACAATATCCTCAGGAACTGCTGAATTAAAAGGTGTCCTTAAAGTACAAGTTCATTATTATGAAGATGGAAATGTACAGTTGGTTAGCTCGAAAGAAGTCAAAGAGTCTGTCCCCATTTCGGTATGTTTCATATTCTTACAATTTCTACAGAAATCGGAATTGCTTTTTTAACTCTTTCATTATTCGCCTCATTGAAACGCTGATGATTTCAGAAATGGAGAGAAATATGGTAGTAAATAAGGTGCGAACCTATGCACTTGGTTTTATGTTTCCTCCTAAAAGTTTTGATCAACCCAGCAAGAAATTCTATAGTCAGCTCCTGTATAAGATATAAGTATCAACATTTGACATTATCGTAGAGGTGCAAAAACTTCCAGATACTGCGATCATGATTGAGTGAAAAATGAGAAGGCTGCAAGAATTCAGTAGACCAGCTTGCAACAGCTTCAAAGCACGTGTTTTTTTTTGTCTTTTTTAAACTGAAGTGAATTTTATCCGATGAGTCCTGCATGAGTGCATAGGATCAGCACTTCATTTCATTTTTGCTGAGTTTGGTTTGGTTGTTCATGAACTTCCATAAAGTTTTCAATAGTCATTAATCAATTTTTACTGAAAAGTATTTGTGTGTTATAACAATTTTATTTTATTTTTTTCAGAGTGAGGAACAAACTGCAAAAGAGTTAATCAAGCTTGTCGAGGATGCTGAGAATGAATATCAGACAGCCATTTCAGAGAACTATCAAACTATGTCAGACACAACTTTTAAAGCTTTGCGTCGACAGCTGCCTGTTAGGAGAACAAAGGTAGACTGGAATAAAATTATATCACTGCAATATTTGACTGTATCGTTAAAAAATCACAATCATAACGAATGAAAGAGAATCATCCTCACTATCGACAATATGTGTATAAACATACTTAACTCTGTATAGATATCTAACATAATGTAGTACCTATCACACATCGTGTAGCACACAAGTACGTGACATTATGTGGTGCATACCTATACTGTATGTATTCATACATATTTATCCTCTCATCCTGTACATTTTCAAGAGTTTTATTCATCTAATTTCTCTCGCCTTTTGCGGGACTTTTTAACATAATTGTTACTTTGTCTTTTTTGGAATCTATTTTCCGTTATACTCGATCATATTTTTTAATTCGCTTTCAGCTAGCTAATTTGATAATTTATTCATTAATATCCAAGTGATTTATTTTTATCCATCTTAATTATTTTTATGTTTATTTATTATTTTTTTATTACTTTCTTAATTATAATTGGGTCTTTGATAAATTATTTTGGTTTTATTTTTTTCCATCCCTGCTTTCGCAAGTGTCAGTGAACTATGTTGTTCTCTGTCAGTGAACTATGTTGTTCTCTGTCAGTGACCTTTTGGCTCAGCAGTATTGATGTTATCTGCATGAATAAAAGTAAGAGGCATCGTTTCAGGCTGTTTTTACTTGTAATGAACCTACCCTGTTCAAAATCTTTCTTAAGGGTCATCACTCTCAAAAATCTCCAATGAGGGCACCCTACTGGTAATTACGTCAGCTCAGTCTGTCAGTCCTATATTTCAGTACATTGAACTTTCTCCGATGTTAGAGCTAAAAAATTGTTGAAAAGTCCCAATGGGATGATGAAAAAATCCCTGGTCATAACTCCTCTATTGTCTTCGAAACATAGAGATTACAGCTTGGAGGGTTTTTTTCTATTTTTAGTTTTTCTAGAAAAATCAGATTTTAAAAAAATGTTGCATACAGAAAAAGTTCTTCCATTCATAAATTTTTATATCTTCTACACATCCTTCTACTAACACACAGATTATGATTTTCTTGTGAGAGAGAAGTTTGAATGAGCATACACAGAAAATAAGCAATTTTATCTTACTTATGAGCCAAATTTTAAAACTTTTGATATTCTACACTAAATTGGACCATATTTGCAATTCAATACTATTTTTTATGACTCATCTGAGAAAACACTCACGTACATAGGGAAACTAATGATACTGACGTTGTTCTTGAACTGAGCCAGAAATAATAGTTCCAAATTACGAAATGCAGTCCATTTATTCTTGACTGCTCGGCTTGAGCTGAGTGAGAGGACCATTGTTCGACTTTTCGTAAATAATACGTCTGTCAGTACTTAATTCGTTCTGAAGATAAAAAGGTCATCTATTTCGCAGAAAAATGCCAAGTGAACATGTTAATCTGCTACGTACTCGAATTTTTTCAAGGGTGTGGGGGTAGAAACTTTTCAAATCATCAGTAATTTTTCACAGGGGTCTTTAATGATAAGTCCACCTATCATCCTTCGCAACACAATTTAGGCCTAGTATTATGAATAACCCTAGGTGAACCAATTCTTTTTATGCTGTCATGAAAATTTTGTAGAAAATATAAGATTAATAGAAATTTAAAAAAGTTTCTATCTGTTGACTTTTATATTGGCATCAGTCAAACGAAAAAGGGAGCTTGGGTGATCTAGCATCTCATAATCAATCTTTTAATCCATGATGAAGGATATGAACCTGAAGTCTTAGGATTGATATCCACATTTTTTGAGTATTATTGGGCAAATTTAACCAGATTCAGCCCGACTGCATTTGACTATTGTTCTATTTTTGTAACAGAGAGCCACAAACTATGTAACGACTTTGACCTTTCTGAGGAATATGCTCACAACATTTAATGTTTCAATGTTACTCAATTTTCTGTTGGAAAAATAAAACATCAGAGAAATTGGGCAGCGTCTGACATAGTCAGGCTGATACTGGCTAAGTTCGATCTCACACCCAGAATTTTGGATGGCAAAATGTGCATTTTTTCCCTACCCATGTTAAAGGAGGATATATCCTTAAGTTTTGTACTTTTTGAAGTCTAAATATTTAAGACCGCCGCTGGGCATCTTTTTTGAACGATCTTCCTCCTTTTAGATTTTAGCACCATCCCATTTGCAATGGTTTACTAGACATACCGCTCCTGAAAAATATCCTAAAATTAATGAACCAATAAACCTTAGAAAAATACAATTTTCATTCACTTATGGTGAATATTTGGTTCAATTAATACATATGCTCCTAAAATCTCGATGAACATCTTCTTACATTTACCCCTTCCTCTTAGTGTATTGATAAGAAGTTGTAAGAATGACTAATCAGTTGCATTGAAGAAATTGTGATTGTATACCCTCAGAGAATGTACTTGCTTCCTTCCCCTCTCCCCCTCTTTAAAAATATATCTATTTTTATGACAATTCTCGGATTTCTGTGTTGATTTGTGATGAGACTTCTTTGGCAATTTTAGAAATATAATACTAGTTTGGTTCATGAATTTAGGTTTTAATTCTCATTTTCTCAGTAATGAGTTAACCCTAATGAAGGACTAATTCATTCACAACACAAAAAGTTTTAAGGCTAATTTTCAATGAAGCTTTCTGAGCTGAGGACACATTCCAGCTAATATTACAAGTACTTGGTCTTTAGTTAGTTGAGTTGACTTGTGTTATTGATTCATTTGGTATTAAAATAAAGCCGATCAACAGCATTAAAGCATCAGCAGAATCAGAACAGGCAGAAGAGTGGAAGTGTTCCAAGTAATGGCTCCTACGCTGTTCATGGACTTTCTGAGTTCTTCATTTTTTGCAGTCCAAATTATTCAATTAATTTTAAAAAGTTTTTGTGAAAGTTTTAAAAATTTGGAGTGAAAAAAGCAGAAGAAGGAAGTCTAAAATCTTCGGACTGAGCTTGATATAATTTATGATGGATGCCATTCCTTGTCTCCATTGAACCATGTCCTTCTTGAAGGATACTATTTTCAATCTGTGAAGAGCAACTTCCAATTAAGTAGAGCCCAATTTTCAAAAAGTTTCGAAGAAAGAAGTGGATGACCCTCAATCGGCTTGAAAATGTTATTGGAATGAAGTTTTCTTTCGCCCAGGAGGAGATCGATTTTCACTCTGTAGTTGTAGGCTGACAGACTTACCAGATATTCATGAGTTATAATTAGGTATGAATCTAAAAAAAATAAATCTTTACAGAGAAAACAACAAACCCTTCATTACATATTATGGCATCCAAAGCAACAAACAACCTAAGACTGATTCTTAAGGTAGTAAAAGTTTTATCCTGTCCTCTTTAATCGTTAATGGATCAGCTTCAAGGATATGAATGCTAAATTACTGACGAATACTTCAGAGCATAGATTAGAAAAGATAAGAGCCATTCACGTATCCTGCATTTTTAAACTTATGTAGGTAAATGTAAGATGTAAGAAGTGACTGAAATACTATATGTATGGCAGACAAAATAAATTTATTCCAAAAATCAAGTACAAAATCCAAGGTTAAAATCGTAAACTAAAATGATAATCTTTTCATCATGCTCATTATCTATGTCTCCCAGAAAAGGGAAAAATCTTTTCATCATGTTCATTATCTATGTCTTCCAGAAAAGTGAAAAATCTTTTCATGCATTTTTGCGTCGGCCACTTGACCCTATAAACTGCTCTCTAAAGATATTAAGTTTACTCGGGGTAATCACAATTTTCAGTAAGGCATACGCAGAATCATTAGGATCAACATCAGATGATATAATTGCAGCTTCTTGTTTCAACCATTGTTCTTCATCACTGAAAGCCCTTACCCGCACTGTCAATTTCTGTCGATTTGTTGAACTCAGAATTAATTGTTCTACTCGACTAAGTAGCTGATTCATACCAATACCCTCTGTCGCGGATACTAACATCACCTCGTTGGGTATCTCAAGGAGCTTCTCATGAGGAACAAGATCTGACTTGTTGCCGACAGTTATTACGTTTTCTTTCAACTTAGGAGAGAGGTCTAATTTCTCCAGAGTATTTATGACTTCATCATATTGTAATGCATGATTTGGATGACTAACATCCATTACATGAATGATCACATCAGCCAGCATAGCATCCTCTAATGTTACTCTGAATGGCTGGATTAATTCAATGGGAAGGTCTGCAATGAAACCAATGGTGTCAGCATACAGAACTTTCAAATTACATGGAAGTGAGCCTTCATGCATTGTGACATCTAATGTCGCAAACAGGACATTCTGAGGGGTTAATGAAGAATCTGCTGTCAACGCTTTTATCAATGAGGTTTTACCAGCATTGGTGTAGCCAACTACAGCTACTACAGGAAACTCCAAGGCTTTGCGATTTTTCCGTACATGCGCTCTGTGCTTCTCGAGCTTTGCGAGGGAAGCTTTCATTTCTTTTTGGTGCTTCATTAAAATTTTTTTTGTTCTATCATAGTGTGGTGAGAGAAACCTACCGACAATGTAAGGAAGCTCCGCAAGGGCAACTTGCAGCTTGGCTTCCGAAGATTTTGCATGCTCCTTGAAAATCTGAATTACAATGGAATAACGATCAAAAACTGGAACTTGGAGGCGATTACATAAAAAGAAATACTGCTCATTTGAAAGTTTGTCTATACTTACAAAAACTGCTGTTATTGGTATAGGAGCAATGTGAATCTGAGAGGCAATGGCATCTATCTGACCTGTGCCGAAAACTTTGTCAGTACAGATGTTCATCACTCCTATCTTACGCTTGTCAGCAATCGTCCACTTCGGGAGTGACTTCACTAGTGAGACAGCTTCAGCTAGCATTAAGTCTGGGTTGGTGTTTGTCTTTTTGTTTGGACCCCATTTAATATATGGTTGAAGGACAAGTACTTTATGTTCACCAGCGCCATCCCAAGTAAGATTATTATCCAGTAACTTTTTCAGTTCCTCTGTTTCAGGGTGGTCAAAGCTATCATGTAGCATTTTATTCCCCCCATATTTCAATTTAGAATTAGTAGTGCAGAGTGCGCGAGCAATAAGACTCGAGACTTTTGCATTACAAACAGAGTAGACTTTCTTTTCTATTAAGTTTTGATGTGCATTTTTGGGGGAGTAAAAAATGCTCATCATCGTACGTCTCTGACAAAAGTTTATCCATCGAGGGGGGGCTTCCAGACATAATTTAGAAAAACAAAAACTAAATGCCATTTTGAAAAAGTTAGAATGTCTAATATTAGTTTGTTTTGAAGTAGTATGCAGGAATTACAGGTCGCTAAGATCTTCAAGTGCTCCTGAGGTGGGAGGTGATTTCCTTCCTTCTTCCTCCATGAAAGCAGCTTGGCACTCTTTCATACCTTTGGCACCAACCTGGTAGGCAACCCCTGTCCCAAAGAAGAGAGTTAAGGCTAATCGAATTTGAGGAGAATAAGGCAGTCTTTCTTTAAAGGCAAGTTGCGCTAGATGAAAAGATACAGCACCGATCCCAAAGAAAGCAACTCCTGTCATGTACGCTCTAGAAATGCATTCAGCAAAGTGAGCTGCAGCTGGACGATCCTCCTTGTATTTTTCGATGAACTCCTTTCTGCTGAGAGCCATGTAGGAGAATGCAAAAAATTAAGCTTCAGTTTTGATGAATCCTTGCAACATTGTTTACACAATGAAATGATGACAAACGGGGGTTATTAGCAACTTCACCAAGTGAGAAAAATGTATTATATTCTCGTAGGGTGAGAATGATAAGAATAAGAGACGATAACACTTTCAAAGTAGCAGAATGTACACGGAATCACTTGACTGATTTTCAATTTTCAACCGCACTACTAAAAACTGTGATAATTCTATGAGTTAATAAGTAATCTGTGCTGACAACAAAGGCTGATAAGTGGTAGGACAGGGACGAGTTTTGCTGTTCTAGAAGTTATAGAATATAGATCTCTGGTCCCTGGATAGGATTGATAACCATTGATAACATTCAAACATAACCTCAAATAATGATGCAGAACCAGAAATCAGGTTGATCCAGGTCCTATCACAAAAAAAAAACTCAAATGAATCATTTTCCTCATTTTCTTAGAGCGCAAAAGAGAAGCGTGGACTTTGAAATAATACAATATTCTTCTACAGTTCAATAGTGCTTTATTAAAAATTGCATTTCTTGAAGTCTTTTCTGGAGGAAAGTTGAATGTAAAAATTACTTTAAAGGATTATTAAATAGAAGCAGCAGTGTCCTTCGAGCTTTAGGCGCTGGCACACTGCTATTCGGAACCAGCCACTCATTCAAGGTCAAATCAGTGTTTATTTATATTCCGAATTTCCGACGAAACTTTCAACAACTGTATAAGTTGCGGTGGTGACAAGTAAAGAGAATTCTAAAACCTCAAGGAACAAGAACTTTGAATCAGTGTTCCTCACATGCCTAGTTTACTCTCCCTTCACTCATTTAAATTTCACCCGTCTCCTAGTTTTTTATCAGTAGCATTACTTAATGAACATCCACACAACAGGGGAGGAGGTGCCGGGACCGATTTGTCAGCACATCAGCGTTCACAGCAGTAGCAGTCATTATTTCGTATTTCCGACAGAAGTTTGAAGTGAATCGGGTCTTCGTGCATTGTGAATTCTCCTCACATTTGTCTGTTTGCCAGAGTAGATTCTTTGTTTCGCAAAATTTTAATTTTCAGTGCTCATCCTGTTTTGTGTTTTTTAGTTTATCACTCCTGGTGGGTGTTATTGGGACATAAATTCAGTGAAATATGTTGTGTTTACTGCTGCCTGTTCTTTTTTAAAGGATTTCCAAAGCAACCTGCATAAAGTTGAAATGTTCTCTGCCAAACATACAGTTCTTTGGTAAAGCAATTCCATCATGCCTAATGTTCCCTTCCAATGTTTTACCGAATTGAAAGCCAATCTCTCAAGGAGATCCTCGGTATCTTTACCGATAGACATTTTAATTTTTGAATCTGCCCATAGGAGGATATGTTTCCCTTGCATTATTTCACATTAATGTGATAATGAAGTGCCATAAATTTTCTTGCCTTCGGTAAACATTCTACACCTTTCAGGCTTCAGGATTATGAAAACCAGTTGTTCGTTATTTTAGCATAAAATGTAATTTCAGCCAGTCTCTGTCAGAAACCATTTAGAAAAGTAGCACATACTAAAATAAAAATTTTGACAGTGCGCCTTCATCAAGGGGATTTGGCAAGCTGTCTCTATCACACTTTTTTTGTAATGAACATTTTTTCCCTCGATTTTATAGGTTATTAACCTCCCTTTGTTGAGGAAGCAGTCCTGCCAAGAACCGCTTTACGGTCAGGGAGGCCTACTGAATTTCACCAATCACTTCTGGAGATTCCATTAATTCCTCAACTTCCAGAAAAGGTTTGTTTTGTTCATTTAGATAGAGAGAAGATGGATTTAAAATCATGCAGTAAAGTAGTATAGTGGTAAAAAATGGGTAGTTCTCAAGACAATCATGGTACCAAACCCCAGTGATGGTGTCTGGGTAAAATTAGAACGAAAAATAATTGGTTATTCTCAATCACGTAAAGGCCCAAATGAAATTCTAATCATAGGAATCACCCAACCTAAATATACTTACACCACTATGAGCCTGTAGCTACGCTGCATTATCCAAGCAATGCATTTGGAAGGCTAAAAAAAAAAGCACAATCCAGTACTTGGAAAATTTTATTGACTTAAATCACTGTCAGGCAACAAGTAAACACAAATATCCAGAAATAACTGGAAAGTATAATGCAAGTGCTGCTCTATGAATCATTAGCCAATTCAGCATGTTGGCAACACTGTTTTTTCTCCATCTAAACCTGCGTTGAATCATCTACCCTTGGTGGAGCACCTGGTCCCTCTGAGAAGGAGTGCAGAATGTTCTTGATCAGCATGAAAATGAAGCACATGAGCACAGCGCAAGAGAATTGGGGAAGGCCCCTTCCCCCCCCCCCCCCNGTTTTTGGGGAAAAACAGGGAAGCACATTAATTTGTGTGGTGGATGCCTTTCAAACGTGCTGCTTTTGGGAAAGGAAACTGTGAAGCAAGTTGTTTTATTTGCTAGAAGTCTTTCAAGCGCCCTGCTTGTGGGGAAAGAAGCTGTTAAGGGTGTTGTTTTATGTAGAGGCAGGCCCGCCACATCCCATCTCTGGCCCTGGTACCAACTTTCTGGCCCGGGCCCCTAGCATAGAGGGGGGGTCCGGGGGGCCTCCCCCGGGAAATTTTTGAAATTTTAAATCTATTTGGACGCATTATGAAGCTCTTATGATGGAGATTTTCCATCAATTTCTGCAGAATAATTACGCCTTTTTGTTTACTTTCAGCACCAAAAACTTTCGAATTTTTGCATTCAAAACATCTATAAATTTTTTTGAGGGGGCAGATGATAATTTTCAATTCTATGAGGAGCCAGGCCCCCCTGGACTCCCCTTTCGTACATCTATGGCAAGGGAGTTAAGCCATTGAAGTCGAGGATGCCCAGAAAGGAGCCTCTTAGCATCCGACAACGGAAGAAAATGAAACACAGTTACTAAAAATATCATTCTACATATACTCAAAATCTTGAAAATCTCTAAAAAAGTAAGAAAAATTTTATAGTGCCCTAGCGTGTTTTGAAACTTTATTTACCTTTTGCGGAATTTTTAGGGTAATTTTTTCACTTTTCCCTACGAGACAAGAGTTACACATGAATTCGTAGTGGTTTGTCACCTGCGTCACGGGCCCCTCCAGGGCCCGGGCCCCGGTACCAAGGATCCAGTATCCCCCCCCTTGTGGCGGGCCTGTGTAGAGGTGAAATTATAGTAAAACAGCAAAATTTGGCGAAAGCAAATTACAAAGTGGGGAAGGTTAAGAGCTTTCTGCACCCCTGCCTTCAAGAAACGATAGATTTCCAAAGTTTTAAATGGAGAGAAAACAATTTCGTCAACTTCTTAATCCGCCAATGCCAATGACAATGTTTCTGAATGTTAAAAAAATGCAAGAACTTGAATTTCAATGGTACAATCGTGTTGCAACAATACTGATGGCAAGATCACCTACAGACGAGGCTCTGACTGCAACGAAAGTTATATCTTGGGCAGATCAAGTACATCTGTCCCATGCCTGATGCAAAATAAGAATTCTCTCTAGGTAAAGCTCTAGATGTAGTTTCATTGAAATTACAACCTTCTTTATTTTGGGTTCTATTCATTCATTTTCTCCTACTTACCTTTCAGTTCATCGCATCATGAGTCGATTATGAAGAAAGTCATTACCTCTCTCTTTAGCAATGGATAACAAACTTGGAGATAAGGGGTCCCCTGATCATAGTGGTAAATCGTCCTTTTGGAAGAAGAACATGAAAACTGTGCCCGGAATTGCCTTGCGGTAAGATTTGATTATACATTCATTTTTAACATTGATTTAAAAAAAATATGAAGCCAAAGTTTCATGATTAAGTAAGAATGCAAGTGTAGAAATGCTAAATCCAGCACCATGGAATAATTTTTAGAATTTTAAATATTGCATAGGTGTTAAGACTGATTGTTAGGCAAACATTAATCACAAATGTTTTGAAAAAGCTGTTTTCTATTCTGAAGAAAGTAAGGTTAATGGAAAAAGTTAAACAGTGAAGGAAATTTTAGAGACAAAAAAGGTATCCAAAAAATTTAAAAAAACTGATCTGTAATCAACCTTTGAATTTACCAAATTTGTAAAATTAGGCACAGCGTGCACTATACTTTCTATCAAACTTGCTGCTGAAGCCATAGATCAATTTTTTGCTCTATTTTTTATTATTATCCAGGCCTAGCCCAGTGAAAGAATCAAGAAGTTCCCACCACCACTCAAGCTCATCAACAACGATGTCATTTCAAGACTTCCAAGAGAGTGTGAGTGATGCCTGGGACTTAGGTGATGAGGAAACAAATCAGTCATCCAGTAAGTTTCATCACTGAATATTAGTGCATATCATCATTAAAGATGTTTTAATCATTACAGATTAAAAACATTCCTAGGGGTTTTTTCAACCCCAGAACTTTAAAATAATCATATCTAAGTTTTCCATTATGGGGGAAAAACACTAAAATATGACATGAATACTGTCAGTAACCGGATGGTAGAGTAATGCTGAGTCGGTATTATTCTATGGAGGAATCAAAGGCAGAATAAAACAAAATTTAGAATTAGAGTCTCAAATTGAGCTGTACTTAATGTGTTTTAGTGTTTTGTGACTGAGAGTTCTTTCACTGATGGAGTGTGACTCGCTGATGAGGTCAAATTAGATACAATTCGATACAGATCTCTCAGCATGACCCCAGCTCAGTATCCCAATGCAGATCTGCCTGAGCTGAACTTTCTGCCACTCTCAGTTTTGCACTGAAATTCATCAGAGTTCATTTTAAAACTCTAATTTGTATGAAAAAGCAGGGACACAATTTCACATTTTTGCAGGGCGAGGCAAAAGTGACAAGTTTTCTTTTCCTTACCTTTTTTAAGTGATGCAATGTGTACCAGCAGTCGCATAATCAGGTGAAATCATCAAATAATGTAACCCAGTCCTTTTGTCAATTTGTCCATTCGCCCAGTCAATTTGTATAAAAAAGCAGGGGCTTAATTTCAGATTTTTGCAGGGCGAGGCAAACAGTGACAAGTTTCCTTTTCCCTACCTTTTTCAAGTGATGTAATGTGTATCAGCGGTCGCATAATTAGGTGAAATCATCAAATAATTTAACCCAGTCCTGGAAACGTTTAAGTTCCTAATTACTTTTAACAATTTTCCTGTTTTCTTTTCCTTCCTCGTTGCTGTGCCAAGTGGTCTCCCTTGCCCCCTCCCCTCCCCTCAAGTGGCACCCTGCGGTAAAAATAAAAAAAAAACACCTAAACCTTTCTGTTCAATTATTGTTCATGCTAGCTAATTTTAGATGCAATTTTTTGGATAGTTGATCAGGTCACCTTTTATTAATCCATTTATTCATCATTCTCTCTTCTTTCCATCTCAAGACGTACACATTTCTAAACAAGCTGCCCAGTCAGCAGCTCTGGATGTCATCAACCATCACAAAAAGTCTCACGAATCCCAGTACCTGTACAGCAAGTCAAATTCAGTGCCTGCAATATCATCTGTGCACACAAGTAAGTAATCTGAAGTTCTCTTCACCTTGCTGCATCAACTGTCAGATTTTCAAGAGGGCTCTGCCTGACCTTTGGAGGTAAGCCTTTTGTGACCCAAAAATCGCCAGAGAAATAAAAGAGGATTTATTATGCAGTCGTCAAAATTACTGTAGCCTACCCACTAATATGAAGATTGGCGGATGAAATAGCCAACCCAGTAGATTTTAGAGGCAACAGGGATGGATTTCTGAAGTAGATTAGCTAGTATTTCCAGAAAAAAATTGCATTAAGGATGAGATGGTATGGAAGATCCTGGATACTCCATGCTAAACAGACTATTAATCATGACTTTACGACGGAACAACTAGTATGATATAATCATGTTCAAAGAATGATAGAAATTAGGTCGCCAAAAAAGGACCCAGATTAAGTTTCTCCTGGGAGTAGCTATAGAGTGCGCTCAATGAAAGGGTATGTAATCCAAAATGTTTTTGTAAATGCATCTCTCATTGAAAGATGATCAAGTCCAGAACTGCGCAGCGCTCAAAAATGAGTATTCATCGTATATCAAAATATTGCTATCACCTACCTCAAAACTAATGTTCGCTCATTTGTTCCTTTGGATTTGTTGCAGAAATAGTTTCAAATAGCAAATCTCAAACCAACAGCTCTGATTCCTCGAGTAGGCGTCCTCTCAACCAAAATCACAAACTCAACTTTCAAAGTAAGAATTTTGAATCAAGAATGAAATTTTCCAGTGTCCAATTATCACAGTACTGTGTCACAATAGAGAAGCTGGGTGTGAGAAGGGCATTTCCTGGTCGCAGTGTTTCAGAATCTCCGCTCATGTTTCATTCATCGTCAGAAAAGTGAATGTGTGCAGTTCATTGAAATTTTTACAAAATGCCCCTGCAATGTTCTTTATAGAAAATTCAGGAAACTCACCCATTAGATTCCTTTCTGAGACATAAATTAGCGACTGATATTCTGAAACAAGGAAACCAAGAGTGCACATCTGGCACCCAGCACCCAAATTAAGGATGGAAAAATAGGGTCTGCTGAACATTGCTATAATCTGAACATGAGCACTGCTGTTGAAATAAGCCTGTAATTTTTAAAATTATGGTGTTTAGGACCGGGAATAATCAAAAAAACTGCGATTTATGAGGAAATGAAAAAATTCAGGAAAATCAGGGAATTTGTTCCAGAAACCAAAAAACTTTTCCTCTATCACTCAGAAATCATTTTATTTTCAGGTTTGGCGTAAATTTTAAGTACTTATTGTACTAAGGTTTATGTTATTGCACCTGAGTCACCAGTATTGACCTCTTGAATGATATTTTTTAATCTTCAAATTATCATAGTAATAGAGGAGCTTTCATTGACTAGATAATCATCGCTTTTGGTATCACGCTTTTGGTATTAAAAATTTGCATGTGTGCCGAAGAATCAGCTGAAAGATGAAAAAATTTTGATGTACTTTCGAATGTTTGTATCCAAAGTTACATTACGATCTACATTCAACGTTAATGTCTCTCTTTTCTGAGAATTAAGTCCACCAATCTCCCAATCTCTATCAGTCTTCAATCAGGCCAAAGCTAATATTTGAATTGCTTTTAGCGGAAGAGAATTAACGCGATTACAGTCTTATGAAAATCTTTCATCTCCGTGTTTATCTGGAAAATTGCGTAGAATAGCAAATAGTTTTTGCTTTTCTTGCAAGATATTGTTAATTATAAAGGGAATCAATCAAGTAAAGTGTATTCTGAAAACACTGTAATTGCACTGCTTTGGTCTTCTCCTGCCTAATGCGTTCCATTCCATGAATTGTTGCATCTTTGTCATGTCATGCCAGGCAAAAAGATGTTGGTTTTTACAAAAATACTGACTGAAATTTACTTGTACACGTAAGCTTAGGTAGAGACGTTTTGTCGTCTCTAAAGTCAGTCAGGTCACTTAGCAAAGACCAGGCCGAAAAGTAGGGATTCAACTGGACTGCATTTCACCATTAGAAACTACTAATTCTGGCTTAGTTTAGAAATAAACTACGTAACATTGATTTCCCTACGCTCATAAGTGTTTTTATGAATGAACCAGAAATTGTAGTTTCCAGTTGCAAAATGTAGTCCAACCAGGTCCCATGGACCAAAGCACTACAGAGAATGTAGAAGGTGAAATTCAAATTTACTTCTTGTTACTTTTCCTAAGAGGTCAATCATCAAAAATTTAAGCCTTTTCTCTGCTTACCTTACTTTCTCTTCTACTTATGATCCTTTTTTCCACCCTCCTGTAACAGGGTTTTAAGCTGGCATAAATCCCTTTTGCCTTAATACAGTGCGTAATATTTGAAAGGCCCCATAAAAGTCTCATAAGCTTAGAAATACCACCTTTTATCACATTATTTTCAGATAGCGAAAGCAATACTTCCAAATTGGCCAAATTTAACACTCTCTTAGAATCTCCATTGCTAGACCTAAAAGAACTCCGCAGGCTCAGCTGGTCTGGTATTCCAATTGAAGTTAGGCCAATGACGTGGCGTTTATTAGCGGTAAGTGTAACCCAAACGTTTTGTAGTGGAAACTTCTCCCCTATGTGAGGAGTATATCTCACCCCTTCGTTCAGTAAAAAAATCTACTTGTTGATGGAACTGTATAAAAAACTTATCACTAAAATATATATTGCAAAAATACTATTTAATTAGTATCAACGATAATTATTTAAGTAATTATTTCTATCCAGAGAATAATAAATTTGACCAATGAATCTAATCAGGGAGCAGGCTTATCACATTGATAGCTAAAATTAAAAAATATGTATCTCTATTGTTGTGTTTTAAAATTTCCAATAATGTTTTATCTTTATAGAAAAATTCACCAAAATACATCTTTGAAACTGTCCAAAGTGAAATAGTATCAACTTGTTTATTTTAAGCGACACATCTTGTTGACTTCATGTCCAGTTTTTTTGTTAAATGTAAAAATCTTCGTTTTGTACAGGGATATCTGCCAGCCAGCACAGAAAGAAGACGGCCAACTTTAGAGCGCAAACGGCAAGAGTATTGGAACTTTATCAAACAGTATTATGACACAGACAGGGATGAAAATTATCAAGACACTTACAGACAGGTCAGTAATTTATTGTGTTAACCATTTTCAAATTTACAGGTTGTCTTTGAAATCAAGATCTTCAAGATAATTTGTTTTAAGACAGTTGCATCGAAAGGGAACAAAAATGCAGCGGGGGAAAAAAACAAAAGTATTTCATTCAATACAAGAATCAAATGCTGAATCAAATTTGATGCTGTGTTTCATAAATAAATCCAATTTTTTTATTTTTCCGACCTTGACGCATGTTTCTTCAAGATTCATGAATGAGCGGTGATGAACATTTCTTGTGATCAGCCGGTTTTATTCCATGGCAAAAATTTCAATTATGCAGTCTCTTTTTTTGAAGAGGTCATTTTCCCTCAGATTAGCTCTCTCCACAGCTACCAGGTTTAATGAACTACCTAATTAGCTCTTCCATTGCTCATGACTTTGACCGTATAACTCTAATTTTTTAAAACTGAACAAAAAAATTTTGCAGTTTCAGATCAATCTATTTTATTCCTTTACTTCTGTTGTTAAATTTCAGATCCATATCGACATTCCTCGGATGAGTGCTCTAGTTAAATTATTTCAACAAAAGACTGTTCAAGAAATGTTTGAACGTATCCTATTCATATGGGCGATCCGACATCCAGCCTCTGGTTATGTTCAAGGCATCAATGATCTTGTAACCCCATTTTATGTAGTATTTCTGCAAGAACTTCTACCCCCAGGTAAATAAATAAGAACCCATTGAAATGTGTTGTCCATCCCTTCCCTTTTTTGTCCTTCCTCACATGTTCGGACCTGCAGTTCACCCTAAAACACTGGAGAGCTCTGTCAGCAGCAAAGGCGGCCGGTCTTCTGATTGTAACCCTATTTTTTTCTTTTTGATCAATTCAATGCCTGATTATGTTGAAAGCATGTGAAAAAATTCACCTTTTGATTCTATGTTCTCAATTTTCACCAACATAAAATTTCCTCTCCCTCTCCTCTAAATTTCTTTAAAATTTTTATTCCATAGGTGGTGATATTGATGCATTAGAAGTCGACTCTTTGCCAAAAGAGCAGAGGGACAATGTTGAAGCAGATTCATTTTGGTGCTTGTCAAATTTTTTGGATGGAATTCAAGACAATTACATTTTCGCCCAACTAGGAATTCAAACTAAGGTCAATCAACTTAAAGAGCTTATTCAACGAATAGATGGTACGTCTCTTTTCTTTTATTACTTATCAACTTTGTATTGATTGTTTGCAGCATTTTTTTTTTTTTTTTCTTGAAGATACAGCCAAAAATTCAAGTTTTGCTTCCAAAGCTGCAATTTTTAGTTTTCCTGACAAATTACAGCGGCGCTTTTTGACAAAATTAAAAATGGACCAATCACACTGTTAAACGCTAGCTCCTGATGCATCTCCAAACCATGTTCTTGTTTGAGCTTGAATCAGAAGCCATGCAACTGTTCAAACTTCAGTCAAAAATGCTTCTAAAATGTTTTAAAGTGCCTTAAGATTGCAACTTGTAGACAAATATATTTGATCAATTACATATGATCATATTGTCTGACATTCACTTGGCAGTCGCCAGCACTTAGCTCCGCTGCAAAAATGAAAATACCATCCAGCTTCGACAACTGATGATGTAGCCAACGAGGTCAAAATCATAATTGGACCTTATTTTGCAATTGGGAACTACAATTTCTGGCTCATCCATAAAAACGCTTATGTGCATAGAGAAATTAATTGCACATACATTGTTTCTAATCAGAGCCAGAATTCGTAGTTCCTAATTGCAAAATGCAGTCCCATTATGAGGAGGGTAATCTGCAGTTTAGATTTCTTGAGCTTCCATTGCAGTTTCTTTTTTCCCATGTCTGTCAATTCAATGCAAATGATTGTGGAATATGCAATAGTAGCCAAGGATGAAATCATTTTGCCACTGCTCCGCTAAATCTCGTTTGTTCAAAGGAGATATTCATATTGGCACACGGTTGTCACCAGAATACCTGGGAATGTCAGAGAATTTTAAACAGTCAGGGATAACCCAGAAATGTCAAAGAGAATGACAAAGTAAAAAATTGTTCAATTGCCTTCATTTGCTCGCTAGAATGGGTTTGATGTTTTGAACATTGAATTTTGCCCGAAAACTTCTTCAAATTATGTCTTATCAATCATCTAGCATATCTTCAGTAGTTTAGGAATTTTATCAAAATGTGTCAGGAAATTTCATTTTCTAAATTCTGTGGCAACCCTGTTGACAGGGTGAAATTAGGCGGATTTAACAGAATCAGCCTAACTATTCTAAACCAATTTTCTCTGATGTTTTATTTTTTTAACAGGAAACTAAGTAACATTGAAACGTGAAATTTTGTGAGCATATTCCTACAAACCTAGGGCAAATTCACAGAAAGTTTTAAGGCCTTCCGTATTTTAGCTTTCCATTAAAAAAATAAAATATGAGAGAAGATCAGGCAACTAGAAATGAAGTTATTCTGATTCTAAATGAAAAATATTTTTACTTAGGACCGGTTGTCCATCAGTATTAGCTTTGGATTTTTCCAAGACAAAGGCAGTTGAGGAGGGCTCAGAAGAAGGGCTGATATCAGTTCAAGTTTGCTTGTTACTCAGAGGAACAGCTACCTAGACAAAAAGCAACATCGCTGAGACCATTACTACCTGTTCGTCCAAAAAAGGGAGTTTGTAGAAATAAAATCACCCATGTTTGATGGCCCCTATTTCAGAACTCTCCCCAATCGTTGATCAAATATCTGCCATTGGTTTTATACAAGAAGTTCAGGTTCCTCAAGATTGCTTTACTTTTCAGGTACACTCCATGCACACTTTCAGAAACATGGTATTGATTATCTCCAGTTCTCGTTTAGATGGATGAACAACCTTCTAACAAGAGAGCTCCCTCTCCGGTGCTCAATTAGATTATGGGACACCTACTTAGCTGAATCAAGCTCCTTTGCTTTATTTCAGTTGTATGTATGTGCAGCATTCCTTCTCAATTGGCAACAAGATCTGCTCGCAGAGCAAGATTTTCAGGTATACTATTTTGCTTCCATTTTTAGTGAAACATTGCAACAAAGTAGTAACTTTGTAGGTATCGAGTAGTAATGCAGGATTAAGTGGAAGTCCTCACGTGAGTGCAGTAAGGTCTTAGCCCTCCCATTTTAGAACCTCTTTTTCCCCAAAATTGTCAAAGCTATGACTTGATTCTGTCCAGGGGTGCAGAAACTTCCAAGGGTTCCCCCAAATAAATTTAGGTTCCACCATTTCAAGTTTTCGCAGAATTTTGCACGACACTTAAAGTAATGCGGTCGACAGTTGGGTTCCCTCTAAACTAGCGTGCTTGACGGTTAGGTTCCCTCAAGGTAGTGTCCCTCAACAGTCGAGTTCCCCCTAAAAAAAAGAAAAAGGTTCCCCCAATTTTTTCGTGCTCACATGGGTTCCCTCATTTTTCTCGTCCCCACATGGGTTCCCCCATTTCACGGGAACGGCCGGTCGCATGGTTGGGAAGTTTCTGCACCTCTGATTCTGTCCTATTCTCTCAAACTGTTGTGATTTCGCGATAAACATGAAAAATGCCCTGCAATTATTAAAAAAATACATGAATTTTACTGCTATTTTCAAAAAAGCACGTGATTTTAATGCTAGAGTTTACACTGCTTTAGTTTATGCACTTTTAGACTGCAACACAGTTGTGACGTCAGTTCAACATTGAAAGCAATTGCAAGAATCAAGATGCTAATACTTATGTCGCAGTCTAGAAGTGGGTAAACTTATTTCACATGAACTCTAATACGAGCTGGCTCTACCATTTCTTCACATATGAGTGATCATTTGATGATGATCACGTTATTGGAAGTTTCTGTAGTCCTGAGTTCATTGATTTGATGAGATTACCAAAAGAAAACACGAAACCAATCACTTCTGGGAGTGTTTCGCAAGTTTTGAGTAGCAAATATGAAGAAAAAAGCGTTAATATGTATTAGGATCCTCGACCAATCAAGAGTATTATCAGGAAAATCTAGGGAATGTAATTAAAAACCATCCAACCTTGTAATAGAATACCTCCTGTATACTTGAAGACTATACTATGAGAATTAACTTTTTGGCTGTCGGCAAATACGCTGTTCGACCCAAAATGATCTGAATTAAAGATATAATTAAAAAACCAAGCAACTTATCGAGTTGATCTTGCTCTCATTTAAAAGGAGACATTACAAGGAACTGACCATGATCAAGCTGAGCTTATCCTAATAACAATGGCCAAGTTATGGCATTGAATTAAGGGATGTATGGTAAATACTAAGGTTTTTCTGTTTTTAACAGTTAAAACTTGGAATACATAAAGTAATAAAAATTTTCCGATACTGTGTTGCTGACAAATACTGCTTTGCAACATCTAACTTAATTTGTTCGTGGTGTCTAGTTGTCGTGGGACTTGAGAACTAACCACAGTAACAATGCAATAATCTGTACATGAATTGGTTTTGCAACAACAGTTGGCAAAGTTCCTGCGTCAAATGTTTTGAATGCGAAAGGTCTCATACAGATTCTTATTGTTTCTCTTGCTACATGAGCATTTCAGGAACTTCATTAAGGAAAGAAATATAGAGCAATGTTTCTAACAGTCTTCAATGAATCAATCAGTTCCCAAGAACTTTAAATACATTTCCGCATTTTCCCAAAATTGAAGGATGTTTAAGGATTTAAAAATTCACTACATGGCTTTTAATTTTAATTCAAGGTGTCACTAACCGTAATCGTTGTCATGTATAAATAACATAGTGTTGCATATACATCTGTCTAATATGTTACACTTTTTCTTATAATCGGCTGATGAATGTTGTAAACATATTTGCTTCCCAGGGTCTGATGTTGATGCTACAGAACCTGCCCACAAGTAACTGGACAGACTCTGATATTGGAGTATTAGTCGCAGAAGCATACAAACTGATGTCACTTTTTGCAGATGCACCTAATCATCTTCAAAGTAGCACCTCAACAAGGTGACGTTCTTCCATGAAACTTCCTTAACTCAAGTACAAAGACTTCAGCAGCTCGCTCTCTGCCAATCATCATCTGTGAGTTTCTAGGTTATCCATTTTAATTTGAATTGTTTTTACCTTTCATCGAACTTTTTACGGTTGCCTGTTAGTTTTCTTTACAACGTATGTACTTGTTTATTATGTAAATTATAAAATATATATTATTATTTTTAAAAATGAGTTTCTTTTTTTCATTTGGTTTTCTTACCACATCAAAATTTGGCAATAGTTTCAGTTGACTCAAAAAGATCATTGCAAGGTTCTGCTGACTTTGTCGCTAGGCCCTAATTTTGCCGGCTACGGTCAACTGCAAGTTACGAACCCTCATCTCTGGGTTTGACTTTTAAAATCTTATTCTAAACTCAAGCTGTACGTGCGATGCTTTTTTTCCAGCAGGCTTGAGCCATCATTTGTTCCTTAATGGTGCAAACCAGTAATCAACAATCTAATGACAAAGTTGACCTTCTTGATGTTTTCAGCCGTATGTAAACTGGCCGACAAAATTCGGGCGAAAACTTTCTCTCCCAAAGTTTTGTAGAGCAAAAATATGATGCGAGCTTTTACATTAGTTTTCTACTGGCTTTTATGTTATAGGTAGTAGTAAAGGAGAAGAAAAAATGACACATTTTTTGACCAACACTATGGAACTTGTATTAAGATTCAGATAAAAATAATAACACAGAAAGTAAAACAGAACATTTTTTTAATACTGAGAGTTTTTTGACGATGAAAGCTAGGCGCAACCATATTTACGGTTATATAGTGATTAAACCAAAGTCAACTTATGTAGAGACAACGGAATTAACTCTACCACAAAATTGAGTAGCTTAAAGACAGATCAGGAAAAAAGACTGAAAGTCTTCATGTTACAGGGATTGGATACCAGTCACGAAACAATGGCAATGATAATGAAGCAGTTGTTATGACAGAGCATAATAACAAGTTAGTGTCTATTTCCAGATAAATGAAAATTTGAAATGTAGTTAAAATTATATTAATTTATTGATAAACTTTACACTGATTAACCTTTATGGAACGACAAAATAATTTAAAAGGGAATACCTAGTAAATTCTTCTCAACTTAACGTGATTTTCTTTTAAAAAGTTTCTTGCTTATAAATTCAGTTCGTCTTGGATGATCGTTTTACTCTTACATTACACGGAAGTATTGCAACTAAGAAAATTGAAACTCAATTGCATAATTTTCATTTTGTCAGTTTTAAGGAATGGTGACAATCCAACGTGCAGGTAAAATTCCAATTTGCTTTGTTTGGAACCAATTAAATGGTTTTAATACCAGTAACTGAGGCTAATGTCCGAGGCCCTTAACAGTTAAGAACTACTGGGGATTTGAGTTCAATTAATACATGAGTAGGCAAAAGCAAAATGATTACCACAAAATTTGATAAAAATATTAAAAAGTGTCATTGTTTTGATTAGTAAACATTCCAACTGACATTGATTTGCGTGAATTAAAATTAGAAGATTCACAAATTTCATTCATCTTAAATTTGAAACTGTTTATTTATCAAGTTCGAATGCAGATTCGTGGTGGGACTACATTTTGCAGTCAGAGACAATCGTTTTTGTCTCATTTTAGAAACGACCAATCTGGTTTCCCCAACCAGATTGGTACTTCCACTGATGAGCCACAGATATGTAGTAGTTCCTTATTGCAAAATGTACTCCAGTCCATGACGACCATTTTACTTTTTTTCATAGGAGGGAAAAAACTTGGGAGTTCGCCAAATAACCATCAGTATTGCGTAAAAGAAAAAGATAAATATCTTCTCTTTCAAGTTGATGTGCAGCAGAAAAAGTTGACACCTAAATTAAAACACTGACAGATATTAATTGTGAATTAATGACACCTAAGGTGGCAGGCTTTGCTTTACTTTGAATTTCAAATGTAGTTGAATCAAGGCGGAGTCAAAAACTATACCGAAGGATTAATGTACAAAACTAAGCTAAAAAATGTTTAAACTCAATTAAAAAAAGAAAAAAAATGGAGCCTTTTACCATTAATGTGATAAAGCATCATTCAGTAAGTATTCTTTGAATACTCGACAATTAAGGAATTAAAAAAGAGCTTCAAGGTCCTCCATCAGGAGGCTATGATGTTCTGACATTTGGTATGTTCTGAGAGTTTTATATCATTAGAAATGTATTTTGATATACTGAGTTAATGATAAATTCTTGATGAAACATGACACAACAATTAAGCTTAAAAATAGATGGAAGCAAATTTGAAAAATGACCCGGATAAAAAAGTAGATCTAGGACTGGGGTCAGAATCTGAATATGTAAAAAGCTTTGCTTTCTCCACCAATACTGCTAGATGTTAAACGGTGGAAGGGAGGGGGGAAATATCAGTTTTTTGGGAGAATACATACAGCATTGTTGCAGAGTTTTTGAAAGAGCATCTCACTTTTGAGTTCTCTATTCAAAATTTGAGAGGCCTGAATATGTGTTAAGGATCTTGAAAAATTGTACATCAATCCAATGGTGTCTCCCAAAGGATGTATGTAGAAACCAGAACACTATTTCGAATCCATCTCTGAGCACTTGAGAGTGAATGATGACTGGGAGAATCACCTCCCGGTTTGAAGAGGCTTGAAGAGTCAAATTCTTTAAATGTGGGCTCTTCAGAATTTAGTTTAGAACTCTCAAATTTATGAAATGCCCTACTTCTGTTTCTACCAAAAAATTTCAATTTCTTCAAAATGTTGGCCATGATGTATGAAGTTCATTCATTTAAAGACCCAAATGTCCTTCTCCTTGTTATGCCCAGATAATTCATGGGCCAAAAATTCCTGACGAAGATTTACATTTTTTTTTTTTTTTTTTTTCTCCTTTTTTCTATTAATAAGTATATGCAATCTTATAACATATCAATTTCATCTTAAATACTGTCGTAAAGAGAAGGTTCACTAAAAGTGCTGGAGTGTCCTTTGATAAAAAAAACACTGCCGGTTAAATCTCTGATAATACGAGAAATACAAATTTAGCATAGTCCACAAACACTACAACTAAAATTTAATCTTTATGACATATTTCCAAAGAAATTAATCTGTCCAACTAAGTTAGAATTCTCTAGACTCATTGCTTAAAGAGAGTTGAGGGTACTGTACAAACTGATTATTTGAGGAAAGATTGCTGAGAAAGTAGAAAAGCTTATGAATGATGTCCTCTCATAAAGACAAAGAAGCATTATCAAGAGACCTCCTACAAGTTGATGTACAAATAAACAGAGTAATGCTGTTCACTGATGATTAGGATGATGATTAGTCCACTCAAGCATGGCTGGGTCATGCTGTTGCTGATGATAGTAGTAATTGTTGTAACTGAAGCCAGGCTGATGGTGCTGCGGGACGAGGAAGTTCTGAATGTAGTTGAAAGCCAATGCTAAAGTGTCGTAGTCTTTTTTATCTGTTGCATTCTTCAGGGCTTCATAGAAATCTTTAGCTCTCTTCTTGAGCGCCATCAACTCGGGTGGAAGTGCAACAGGCGGCTCATGATTAGTCTCACTTACAGCTGTTGTAGAAGGCATCTGTACTGTAGGAGGTAGCTGCGCGCTTTCGTATGGCTGATTGGTTTGGTCCACCGCCTGTGGCTGACCAAACTCATAGTCAAAGTTCTCCTTGAAGTATTGGTAGTAAAAGCTGTACTTAACTTTATTCTGCAGCTCGGGGTTATCACGAAGGAACATGTCATGCATTTTGACAATGTTAAGTCCTGGGTCAAGGTACTTTTTCAATCTGCCTTCATGGAAGATCTCGCGAACTTGGAAAGTTAAAATGTGACTGTGGATTTTTTCCCGGACGTCTGGCTCGATGGTGTTGACGCTACGGTTCTTGCCACGAAGATCACACGGGATTTTGCTGTGGACAAGCAAGTCACAAATGCGCCGAATTCGACTTTCAGTCACACCAAAGACTTGCAGAAATGCATTCTTGCAGATCTGAGTAATTCTGCCATTCACCCGTACATTGTAAATGAAAGTGTAGTTTTTCCGAAAAGTTGTTGGACTTTCAAGTTGTGACTCATCTCGTACAACTAACTGACCATCAGAATCAAGTAAGTTTGCCGGGTGCTCCCGAGTGCAGATCGATGCTTCTTCTTCTTCATCATAGTCTTCATGATCTTCAGTCTGGTCAATGTTGACCTCATCAGCTTCACTCTGGTCGATTTCACTTCCCAATTTAAGTTGCTGAGAGCCTTCGACGAGGTTGATCTCTAGAGGGATACGCTTCTTCCTTTTCCTCCTTTTGATTTCCCGCACTTCAATCCAGTTTTGAAGGTGAGTGTCTTGAGCGTTCTTGTTGTCAATCGAATAGAAATGATTCCACAGCTCATGGATATTTTTCTCTTGAAGCTTGGAATGACACTTTGAGCGGCACTTACAGACAATGACTCTTGGAATGGTCTTACCCTCAACAAGCTTGCCGGTGTAGGACACATATGGCTGTCCTTTCAGCCGAGCAATGCGCACTTCATTCCTCTTGTAGAATCTCTCATTTTTAACACCTCGTTTCCTTTTCTTCTTGGGAGGCTCTTCACCATTTGGCCCAACTTTGGGTTGTCGTTTTTTCTTTGGGTTGTCCTTCCGTGGCAGTGATGGAACATTGGGCCGTGGCATGGTTGGAATATTGGGTCGCGGCAAGTTGGGAATATTGGTTCTTGGCAAAGTTGGAATATTACTCCGCGCCAGTGTCGGAACACTGTTCCGCACCACGGAGGACATCATTTCCGTTAGACTCATTTCTTTAACTTAACAGCACTTCAAGAGAAAGGAGTCTATGAAAAACTTAAAACATACCCACAGCATAGCATAGCTCGGATGATTTCATTTCAGAAACGATCAAAGCAATATTTTCACTAATTTAAAAAAAAATATTTTAAAAATGTACTTAAAACGACACTATGTCAACACAGCTTACTAAGTAAAAAAGGCTTTAAAAAGTCTTTGAGAGTTACTCTTCGATAAATTAAACTATACACAAGTTCCTGCTTATTAAAGAGCCACTGATACTATTATGATCATGGATTTATATGTTTAAACACGGGTAAATTTATGCTCGATATTGTAGATTCCGACTGGTGAACCTAGAGCCTCATCATAATCACACCATTCACCATCAGCGAGTGATACGTCTTGAAACTTGGTTCCTTCATCAGAAACGGCAACCCATCCAACCTGAAAAAAAAGGAGTCAAATAAACAATGATGAACACTTATCTTTGACTTCATTTGGTGCACAATTAAAGTTGTGAAGAGAGTATGCATGAGAGACTCATCTGAGTTCTTGCTAGAAGTCCAGACACAGTGAATAATAGTCTAAACCATTTAATACCATTATAAACAGAATTTGTTTAGTAAACCGTTAAGGGCAAGACAAATCAAGCAACATTTTCTTCTGCAAAAATGTAACTGGTGAAATTCATGGGTATATGATAAGCTGCATGCTGCTTCCTTAAACAAGTTTTACCTTGGGACCATTTTGGTCAAATCTATAGATTGGTTTTTGTTTTTTTTCTTTTCTTTTCTTTTACATATAGTCGTACTGCATACTGTAAAATAGCCTAATTCATTATTGTGGTCAATACCTACATCCAATAATGACTTTAAAAAAAAAAAAAAAAAATGTTTCTTCATCAAATTAAGTAATTTGGTCAAAATCAGTTTAACTAGGTACATCAGATTTTGTTTCATTTCTCCTATGATTTATTTTTTGAACAGAAAACCAATCAACACTGAAATTTAAATTTTTCTGTGTATATTCTTCATAATAAATGGTAAATGGAACTCTTACATGTAGATTTGTGTTTTAAGTACTTCTCCTCATGTAAAGTTTCTGAGAAAACCAGCGGCACCGTCATGTTTCTCTCAAAATTTTACACAAGAAGTACTTAAAACACAAATTCCTGACACATGCAAGAGCTCCATTCAAAGAAAGCTAAAAGGTATTAAGTAGTGTACTGAATGTAGTTCTCTGCGAAAAAATAAAAAAATGAGGGAAAATTATACAACATGAAGTGCAGTGAGGCTGATTTCAATTAAATCTGTTCAAATGTATCTTGGACATTAAATATCTCAGTTGGCGGTTGTACCACATCTTACACTTACCGCAGGCTGAAAATCAATCGGTTCCAGTCCACGACAATCAAAAGCGATCAGGGGAACAAAATTCTTTTCCTCAGCAGTTAATTTCTTGGCACCTTCATGAGAAATAGCTAGTCAACACAAAATAAGCAACAGGTTACAGGTGTAACAAAGCTATAAAACCTTATGACATTAACAAATCCTATACTTTAATGATCTTCCGGGGCAGTAAATTAGGGCAATGTTTACTTGGTTGAGAAAAACAATTTTCAACTATTGAGGATCATCACATAAGTTCGGATGAAACAGGTTCACCAGAAAATGGTAACCGTCTCAAGGAGTCCGCGATGAATAAGCAGGGGTCTTGAATGTTATGAAGGCTGAACAGAGAGTAAATTTACACTTGCAGATACCTTAAGAATTCACTTTGATGGCCAAAGTGCGAAACCACTTATTTCCATTCTAATGTTTCAAAAATTCCGCTTCTATTTTATTTTTTTGAGGAACAACAAGCCAACTTCAAAGCTTAATATTTATAAAGAATATTCTGCCAGTAGAAAAGGAATATCTCTTTGGATGATGGGGTTGCAAAAGGTGTCTTTAAGAGAGGACTTGAAATCATTTTGCTGACACTGTGAAAAACTGACTCAACGTTAGAAGTGCTGCATTGCATTGGACGATAGTTGTGTTGAAAAGCATTTTATCATTTTAAAGATAATTGAATATACTTTCATATGCTTTTTAGTCTCAGAGGAAGTTGTTAACTTTCCTAAAATGTTTACAAGTGTGCATTACTTTCTATTAAGCCTTCGTCGAATTAAGAGCATAATGCAGGAGACACATTATTTGACCATTTTGAACACTAAAAAATGTTTCGGAGAAATAATAGATTAAAAACTACGTTCTCTTTTCTCCTTATCCTTTTTTTGTAGCTTGTTACATACATGCAGTTACATTAATCTGGGGCAACTGAGTGTAGAATAACTGAACCCCTAGGATAACAAAAATCTGCTTTAAGATGATTTGATGGCCACCTTGTTTTGTGTCAGAATGAAATGAGATATATCGCATCGATTAGTTCCATGTTTTCAGCTTCTTGTCATTTTTGTGGCATTTTGCTATCGCATTTCTGTTGTCATGAGACTAAAGAATTTATTTACCAAATTTGACAAACAAATTCAACTAAATAAAGGCAGGGTTTTTTCAGAGGAGAAATATCGCATTCAATACTGAAATAGAAACTGCACTCAAATGCTATATTTTTCCTCTAAAAAAAATCTGACTTTTTTCGTCGAATTTGTTTGTCAAATTTGTTACTCTTCACCTTAGAAATGCGATCGTAAAATTTGATAAAAATGACAAGTAGCTGGAAACATAGAACTAATTGATGCAATGTGGTGCATCTCCCTCTGACATAAAATATGGCGTCCGTAGAATCACCTTAATCTCCAATTACATGAATAAAGCTACAGGCGGAGGACAAACTGGTGAGTTAATAAAAAAGGTGCTCTCCTGAAACCTCGAATTGCGGAGGAAAGTTAATACACCAAAACAGCCAAGTCAACTGGCAAAAATGTACTTGGAAATTTCGTTAGAAAGAATGAGAGTGAAGCATACTGGAAGAATTCAACCTAAGAATTAATACATAAAACACAATTTTGTTCTTTGACACTTTGGATCCACTATATCTGTACTTACTTTAAAATTGATTTTCTCACAGTTAATTAGATATATAGTATTAAAAGGAATTTTCGATGAACATACAAAATTTAGGGGGCAATTAAAGAAGAACAGAGATTGTAAGCATGGATTTCAGCAAGACTGATGTGCTCTGAAAGTTCATTCATTTTTGAATTGGATTTATTTGTAAGTCCAGGGCAGATAAGTGAAAAAAATGCTTGAGAGACAGTGACACAAACTCACCTAGATAACCTACTCTAGAACAAAATTTACACTTGAAAGAAAAATGGAAAGTTCCTTTGTTTTTAGAGTCGGAGGTAATTTCGTTTTTTTCATTAATATCGTGCCACTTCTCAGAATCAGTGTTACAACCTGTGCATTTTACTTTCACCACCCAATCAAAATTGTCATTTGGGTAAACCTCCGAAATTTGTTCCAAATCAGCTTTTACCATTAAATTAAACTTCTGGAAAAAAAAGAAAAAGGAGCTGAAGGATAAAAGAAAAAGGACCTGATACTTATAGCGTTGGAAAGGTGATTTAAGATTTTGAAACAAAAGACCAAAAAAAGGACCAAATAAGACTTCTGAATCAACAGCAAAAGCTTAAATACCCACTTTGAACATTCTTTGACCTTATTAATGCTGAAATACCCCCGACGAGGTCTTTTGTGAGCTATTTTAAACGTGAAATTACTGTGGAAATTTCCCGATGAAATAGATATGATAGTACCCAAATAATGTAGTGGCCTTTATAACGGTTTTATATTTTGACTGGCAAGTACTTTAACAGTTGTTATCACAGAACATAGTTGTCTCAATTGTCATTATTGCTGATTTGCAAGTTTAATTTTATACCATTAGACTAAGGCTTTATGGCAAAATATTCACCGCTGTGGCTCAATGAACACGGCTTACTGATCGGTGTTACCGAATCCACCTGCGGATGCTCCACCGCTTATGACACCAGCACTGACCAATCAGTATGAGAAAGCAATTGAGGAATCAGTGGTACTGCCGCTCATGATCGGTGATGATAGCAATAATTTTTTATGAAAACAAGTCAAAACCATGGTTGTTGATACCTTTTAGTCATGTAGATCCTGTTCATTGTAAAATTACAAAATACATTGTTGAATCTTGATCTAATTGATGATCCAAACACCAATAATGTAACAAAAATGCTTGCATTTCATTTCAGTTGCAGTTTAAGGGCATTAGACTGATAGTTTAAAGTCTACAGAAAATAGTCTGCGGAGATGAGTTCCACAATGAAGGGTGCATACTGAGAATAGGGACTCCTGTAGCTTAATGCAGGGCAGTAAATGATGAAGCCTAGATGGAATTCCCGCAAATTCTTCTATCAGTTTCTTGGAAGTCTCTTGTCACTATCAATGAGTTCATACAACAACATGCACTGCACTGAATTAACTAAGCACAGCTGCTTCTTGCAATCCTTACTTAATTGGCTATTCACAGGCTTAAGACTCCTAGCAAACTAACCTAAGAGCCTGGAACTTGGTATGGACTTTCTTAGTAAAGATATACTGTCTCAGAGAAATCTAATGGATCATACCATTAGAAAAACAATGTACTTACTTATACTACTGCCGTCATCCGAAAAACTAGTGAAAAATGAACTGACTACAAAGCTTCCTTTGCCTGTAATGGCTAGACAATTCTGGAAGGATGGAGGGGTCCAAAAAGTGAAGCTAGTATGAGGAAAAATTGATGAGTACTTACGACCATATCCGAAATTTAGGAATCCCACACACTACTGCAGATGAATGTGCAATCGAAAATTGCAGAGACTGAGAAAAAAGTGCAAAAAATTAAATAATAGTACTGATAAACGTGGTGTACCAGCAATTAGAAGGCTTGGTATATATTTGTTTTGAAATGGCATCCTGAGGAGGTGTCAAAGGTTTTGAAGTGAAAATTTCTCTTAAAAATTCCCTGTAGAACTTATGTAATGTTTTTAAGAGTCAAATTGGGGCAAATAATTGATATCATATCTATTATCATTTGACAAGATATACATTTATTTTTTAATTCGATAATTTTACTTATATAAGATGTATAATTCTTTGTATTAAAAAGAATGCAAGTAACAACGAGGCTGTTGGGAAGTTTACGTTTGAGTAGTGGTATGAATGAATAATTCGTGATAACCTGATAACGCAGAAATCGCAAAAACGTGATACACTGGTGATACACAATGTGACAGATAGGATAAGTAGATAAGTACTAGTTCATATCAAGTACATACACAAGTCTGTGGCCCCAAAGAACATTCATGTAAGAAGTTTAAAAAAATATTTAAGGTATACTCGTTGGTTTGATTTATTGTTAAGTAACTGTTGATTTAAATCTTTTGAGCAAGTGTGGCTCAACATGTTCAACATAACTCTGGTATCAACTATGTCCTGGTTTGCACAGTTTTTGGCAAGAGCTACATGAAATTCATCCTACTCCTTTTCTTTTCTAGAGCTAAATCTCCTGCACGACACATTTTAGCAAGCTATCTCTCTCTTACACGGCAATTATGTCAGAAAATGAAACAGCCGAAGGTCCCCTGGCTGAAACCAGAAATCTCATCTATGAAGAACCCTGTTACAGCAATCTCAGTGAGTGGATTGGAACCCTGTCAAAGAGTTCTGATTTTTTCAATACCCATTTTGAAAATTTCAGCAGGAATGCCTTTTTATATCTCAGTAATCATAGATCAGTCTCAAAGGATAAGGCCCGGAAATCAAATAATGAACAGACCTCAGTGATTTTTCACCTTCAACTGCAAGCAACTGATGTTAATAGCAAAAAAATCATCCTTTCCTCCATCTTAACCAAAATTGAGGACAGGAAAAAAATCCTGGCAGAAATTGAAGCCCTAGAATTTGGTGTCAGCCTTAATACTGCGTACGACAGAATAACTTTGTGGATTCAACTGCTTAAGGGGTTGCTGTCTCTTGGTAAACCAAAGTCTCTGCCACAGGGGATGCACCGTATATTTGATGAATTGATCGGTGTCCCTGACAGTTTTCTTGAGCTTTGCTGGTGGGTTATAATTTCTCTTCTGGATGGCCTCAGTGTCAAGCTGTTCCAAGTTGTGGAACCTGCTTTATTGTCTGCCCTTCTTCTGAAAGAAATAATAGGTGAATGCACCCAAAATTGTAGAATATCATTTGAACTTGCACCTGAACCTGCACCTGATCCCGATTCCCCATCAACAACAGAAAATTTCACTGGCAAAAGAACCCCAATGGTTGTATTTTCCAATGCTGACATTAACTCCGCACTGGACGCTGGTGTAAATGCAGCATGGTTTACGGAGGGACTTGTCCCTTGGGCCACTTCATGTATTTTGGTCCAAGAAGGTATTCATTCAAAATTCATCGCTGCACTCAAAAAAAGGTTACAGTTATCAGCAGCGACCATTTCCATCACCCACTCTAGCCTAAATATTAATGAAGAGTATGAAAACAATATGAAGGAAATTTTATCCAGAGCTAAGGAGATGCATTTAGAAATTTTTCAAGTAACACCCACGAGAGGAAACCATCAGTCAGCCACTCTAATTATTGGCGATTTTCTATCCGTTCCTACCTCTCTCTCAACTCGGAGTATCAATACGACACTTCCAGTCTTGTTTGTGGTCCCGTTTCGTAAAATTCAAGAAGGTATTGCCATGGCTAACAGTAGCACTGATAAAATAGCAGCATCAGTCTGGAGTGAATCTTTCAGCCAATGCTTATCCACAGTGACTCAACTTGATTTTGACACTATTTGGGTTAATTCTCACGGAATCTTTGACAGCGTTGTTCCATTTTATAACCGAGTATCAAGCTGTGAGCCACACCTCCCTACCGCCCTAAAATATGTCTTCATGTTTGATCTTCGCTCTAAGTCAAGCCTCTATTTTGAAAATTCGAGACTTGGCGATGGAGAAATGCAAGTAATCCTGAATGCAGCTTATAAAGAGTGCCTCAACTGGGGAAAAAAAGATTACGATGATTATATTGAAATCTTAAACCAAGTATGGGTGGATGTAGACCCAAAAACTGTTGCGCCTGATTTTAAACAACAGCTTGTCGATTCTTTTTGTGGCCAAGTTACAAACACTGCAACTGTTCAGGTCAAAAATTGTTTTGTATCCTCAACTGTCAAGGCAATTGGAGTCATCATCTTTTTTGTGGAATCAAAACTCGTGACTAAGCAGATGCTATTGAAACTTATATTAAGTGCAATTTTCTCCAAGAACACAGTGATAGTCTTGGGCAAAGAACACAATTTTGATACATTGACATCAGCTCTTCCGGAAGGTGTTCTTCAAGTAACAGAACGATATCCTTGGGATGCTCTCTGCTCAGTTGTAAGTGAACACAAACAGGGAGCCAATATGAGTGTTTGGAGACTTGGCGATGATTATTTTGATCTTTTTGAACGACAGGATGGACATCTGTTCAAATATTATACATTTTTGAAGGATGTTGACATCAGAGCTCACGTTGTACGCAAGAAAGTTGTTTGGATGCCTTTCAGTTAAGGCTACATCTGAATTTCTGTCGGAAGTTCTCTCATAATGTGAGCAGTCAAATGACTTAACTTTTTTCCTCTTGAAATGTTTTAATTAAAATTTTTATGTTTCCAAACGTCCAAAGTGTTTTCTCCCGAGTACTTCATTTTAATCACTGTTTCCTAAGTTCTTGAGAGATTTTTTATTTAACATCTGTAAGTAAATGTTTTTCTCTGCCTTTTCAACCATTTAACTGATATTTCTTCCTGTGGAGTGTGCCTGTCATCTAATTCATATTTCTGTAATTTTTTCAAGACTGATTCTTTTAATATCCTTAAGTACATAAATAAATGTAACTCTTTAGTAGATCCAGGATGAAACATGAGTTTTTACCGCTTGGGCTTCCATTTAAGATAGCTGTTAAGCAGTTAATTAGCCCTTAAACTTGATGCATCTCTGAAATTGATAGATAGGTTATCTCCAATGGTCTCTTCCAATGTATGTAGACTTCCTCAGCACAAATGAAACTAATTTTTCTATCATTTGTGAATTGATTGAAAAACTTCAAGATATGTACTCTTTTTTAAGAACAATACCTAACACAAGTTAAAGACTGTCAAGGGATAAGCTTCTTAAGCAGAATATCTCCCAAATTTGAAATTACTTCACAAGTGTAGGATATAGATTTAAAGAACACATGATTCCTCTACCAAAAAAGACTGAGTGATAATTTTTTGTTTGCTGTTTATCCTCCAAATAAATCTGCAATTTTACATTAGAATAATCAGGTCTTCTCAAAAAGTTTTTTTAGATTAGAATGAAAATTCTATGTATTTTGGCATAGATAACAGTCCTATCTTGCCTTTTCAAGACCACTATTACAGGACCCGATGACATGAGAAATATTCCCTTACCTTCTGTCCCCTCACGATTTCAACTTCTTTTCTTGATATTCTTCGGTAGTAAAACTAGAGAAATACATTTCATGGTTTACTATTTCATTAATTGTCCATTCCTTTTCATTTTTACCGACCGGAAACCAATTTATTCAAATGGTTCCATCTAAGCATAGATTGAGCTGGAATTCATATTGAAAAAAAAATTCAGGGCTCAATCCAAGACTCTAGTGAGCATGCTATTTGTCGTATCGTCACTGAGTTATACATTATTTTCAAAACATTTTCCATTATCTTTTTACGAACTAGAGAGTGTCATAGTGAAAGCCTTTACTTATAATGCTCAGTACCAACTTTTTTTCTAAGCATGTGATTGAATTTCTTTATATTTACGATGATTTTAGGTTCAATTTTTAGAGGTAATATTGTATGTAAAGCATACACAACATAACATTTAAAACCCGTTCTTTGAAGGAAATATTGTAATCATCTTAATATTTTTGTAATAAATTTTATTTTTTACTATTTTCACCGATTATGTTTTGATTTTCCTTTTCTTAAATTCTTCATTATTATCTTTTCTAATGAGCATTAATGCTTCAGTGAATTGGTATCTAACCTTTCTTTTTACTGAAAGAGGATTGCGATCAGCATACTTATTAATTTCTAAACTAAAAAAGGTGCCTGGGTTTTGTTTAGGTATTTTTAAAATGGTTTTCTTATGTTCAATTTATAAACTAAAATATACCACTTGGCAAGATGCAAATTTGAGCATAATGATACAAATTTCCTCATCATTTCATGTAGAACACAATTAGTACAACGAAAATTACTGGCAGTAACTCCAACCAAAATATTGATGTTTTTCGATGCATAAATTCAAGCTCCCTTCTTTTAAAAAAATTCATAATGCATTAGAACGCAAACTGAATGTTACCGTAACAGTCTTAGCAATATTAAAACTAACAATCTCAAGGGGTTTTGACTTTATGAAATTAGAGCACAGAAAAATATAAGGGAAATTGAAAAAATAACAATATATTTAAATCTTATGTGAACAAAGATGTGTGACCTAACAAGTACATTAAAAAAATAAGTTACTGCTAGGCCTTAGGAATATTCTTGCCAAACAATAGTGCCTCAAAAATCTGCCAGTGCATTTTAGCTTCCTCTAGAAACTCATCTTGTTCATCATTGTGGCTTTTTTGTGGAGTAGCAATTTAAAAAAAAACATTAATGATGGCATATTGAGATGTGTGGATAAGAAAAAATTTAAAGTTTCTAAATTCGAGGATTTGAGAAAAGGCAAGCTGACCGAAACAAATGTCAACCTTATTGGATACTTATCATTGTAAAGAAAATTTTCATGCTTATGAAAACGGAAAAGTGTCCAACAGAAAATATATACAAAACCTTCCTAATTTTTACATTCCCTCTCTTACCAACTACGATCAGCTCATGCGAAATTAACTTGTAAAGACCGATTCGCACATTAAAAAGTAGTCAAATTTGTTGCTAAACTGAACTCTTGCTTTACAAGACTTAACTTCTTAGGTCCTTACACACAAAATGATTTAGATCCTAAAAAGAGACAATAGAAGTCACAAACAAAATAAATCAATGAAATTAATAAAAGGTTCAATTTTTTCAAGATTTGCGTTGGTGAGGACCAACAGCTGTGAATTACTTAGACACATTTTTAATACATTTTCAGAGCATTATCATCCAATTTATAAAAAAGCACCTCAAAAAGGCACTGATTGAAGTTAAGAAACAGTCTGCTAAGAACTAGACTGATTAGTTCAAATCAATTGATCATTGTAAGGATGTTTAATCAGTTTTCAGTAAGCTATCGAAACAGTCCCGTGATAAAATAGCAGGGATGCAGAAACTTCCCGATGATGTGATAATGATTGCATGGCCGCAAAAAAATGGGAAGGCTGGGAAAATACACTAGAACAATGCTTACACTAGGAACTTACACTGTTCCGATAGTGCTGTCCATTTAAAAGAAGAGTAGCTTGACCGGAGTGTATTAGCATTTCAAAACAAACAGTACTGATTGCTTAGCAACTAAAATTTGTTTAAACACCCTTGGATCATTGTGGTTTTAAAAGAACATTTGAGCCATAGCTTGGAGTTGGTATTTACTTTAAGGTATATTATTCTCAGAATAACAAAATCATTCCACAAAACAAAGCTACGTTCTTGCATTAGTAGAATTTCTTGAAGTAGAACTAAGTAATAACATCACAGATCCCAGCTTAATATATATAATTCCGGAGCTTTTATACTGAAAAAGTAATGAAACAGATGCAAAATTACTTCATACCATGGTAAGCATTGAGGGGCTAGAACACTATCAAGATATGAAAATAAGCTAGTACGGCATGATTTAATTTACACTCAAGAAACCCTAAAAAATTTCAATTTGAAACTTCTTACAGGATGAAAATTCAAAAGTCCATGTTGTCAAGGGCATCGGATTCAGAGTCTGATCCGTCCCTGTCAGAGATTGTATCATCATCCAACTCCTCATCACTGAGCCCACTTAGAAGGTTGATGCTGACAGCATCTGGAAAAAGAGAAGAGGTTGAGTAAGTGTTCCATAATCCAAAATAAATTAATGAAACAAATGCAGCTTAACTGAGCTCTGCCTAGTTTGCCGGGTTGTGAAGGGCAAACAAAAAAAAGATGCTTGAACTTTGAACCTGATGTAGTTTCAAATTTTGACTTCTCCCGCACAAAGAAACTCGATTGCACTGTTTTAGTGCTTCTAAGAAGATTTTATTCTTTCATGGAAAAACTGTCTCACAAAGGAGTCAGCCTCACTGGTACAGTGGTCAAGGCAGTTCGCTGCCAACACTGAGGTCCTGGGTTCAATCCCCGGAGTTGACTGATATTCGAGGACACTCAAATATCAGTCATTGTGATGGTGGATGACTAAGCAACTCCAATACCCTGACCCTTCGAGGTAACAGGGTGTGGGAGGGACATAGTCACCCAGTAAGTGATCCGTCTGCACTGTTCGACTGGGTTGTGAAAAAATCGGTGATCACTCGTAGTGTACATGACTGCCAGCGTTACCTATTAGTGGAAATTGCAACAACACAGTCCAACTCGGTGGAGGCATGGCCATGTTCCAAAATTTCGTGCTCTGCAGGGTCTGCCGCAGTCTTCGATAAACCTATTGTTGGCTATCAGATGGCCGCTGAGCCTTGCAGGAATAAAGAGGTTTCACAATGCGTCAATAGTATGAAGTTAAGGAGCACGGTCCAACTTCAGGGTGCACGACAGCAGTTGCCAGTATTCTTGGTCCCTTGAGGGCGCCTCGCTGGTGAGTCCGGCCCTTACTTACTGTCATACAAAGGATCCTGCACATTGATTTATTGCATTCAACTCGTCTATAGATACTGATCAAAAGAGATGAGCTACGCATTTTTAAAGTTGCTGTTTTTTCGCGTCAGCAACGCGCTCAAGTTTAGCCTACTGTGCACCTTTTAATTCGATCTGAGCGGTAGGTACAACAAGAAAGCCAGTTGGCCTAGTGGCAGCGTACTCGTCTTTGATACTGATGGTCCGGGAATCAATGCCTCATCCAGGAATGAGATTTTTATAAGTTTTTTCTTTTTTCTTTTTTTTGTATGTTGTTTTAGGCTTTATATCCGGGGGATACTGCGGCCTTGGAAGGACATTTTTAAAAGTAATTATTTTCTTTTATAATCGCTTTAGCACAGCACATTGTAAGTCACCTTGTAAACATTGTGATGCTAATTATTTTTTTTATGGTTGTTTGACGACAGATATACAGAAAATAATTAGTAGCATAATGTTAACAAGGTGATTTTCAATTTGCTGTGTTAAAGTGATTAGGAAACAAAATAATCACTTATAAAAATTATCATCTGAGTGAGGATCAGACTCCTGACCACCAGTGTTGTAGACAAGTACTCTGCCACTAGGCTAACCAGCTTACAGGCCTCGTCTGCCGCTCAGATAACATTAAAAGGTGTGCGCAAAGTCGGCTAAACTGACCGCGTTGCTTACGCAAAAAAACAACTTCAAAAATGCACTACTCTAAAACAGCTGGGCATTGGAGCAAACAAAAAATATGGGTTCTTATACTTCCCTATTCTAACTCCCTGCCAAATTTGAACCCGATCTGAGGAGGACAATCGATAGCCTCTCTTGTCAATGTTGCCGTCAACATCTTGCTTAGGTAATTTCGATCAAATGTGATTTGGAAGTTCCTGTAAGAGCACAAGTTTTTTCTCTGCTGGGAATATGTTTTGATAAATTTAAATAAACTCATAATTTTTTCCGTTCCCATGATTATTAAGATCAACCATTTGCCGACAAATCTCTTGGAGCTAACCTGACTCCTGCGAAGAATTACTAACTAGCACCACAGCAGATATTAATTTTATGTTCATGGCTGTCAATAAAAAAATTGTGAAAAACAATACAAAAATAGGAGCTCCACAAAACATCTAGATAGTGGAAACATAAGAAAAAGAGAAAATACCTGCTCCTTGGTCGTCGTCATCATCATCATCATCGGAGCCTGAACCAGAATTATCCAAGTCGTCTTCCTCTTCATCTTCAACCTGGGAAAATATAGAAATTTAGCTTCAATATTTCTCAATAGCTCTAAAATGTACTGAACACAACTGGAAACAAGTCTCAATGATTTAGGCTTTCTGTTACTTACTTAAAATGTTCTTTACAACAACTCGCTAGAAAAGAGCTGTAAACTACTGTTACTTTATCACAATACTATTTGACAATAAAACTGTAGGAATGCGTATCTCATTTGAGGTGTTTCAAAATCTCCACTCCCATTCAATTGTTTTGAAAGAGAGCAAACCAGTACTATTGCTCGAAGTTTTCGCAGAATTTTCTTCACCTAGAGAAGACAAATCCGGGAAATACTGAGGAAATGATAATGAGTCTATTTTCATTTGAAAATTCAGGAAAAGTGGAAAGTCAGCAATATCGAGAATTGTTGTTAGATAACTAAATGTCAGTTGAAACTTGCATCCGTTATGCACGATTTCTTTAAAGGTGCACCCGAAGGCAGATTCTCATTACTTGCAAGAGTAATGGAAACTTGCAACAGAAAGGTTTTAGGTGAATCCCTGTTTTTTTACTGAATTTGGCAATTTTGTGGTTCTGATACTACGACCGTCTTACAGATCTGTTTGGATGTCAAAAATGTGTGCAAGCGGAACTAATAAATCTGACATTAAAATCAATTAATTCTCTTTGTTGGTGAGAAATTGACTTCATTCATGGAAACACTGACTAAAACATGCCATTTTGCAAGTTTTTGTTGTTTTCTGACAACTGAGGTTTTCAGATTACAGTTTTTTTGGCAGAGCATGCTTCAACTTGAGTTTTTGCGAACTTACAACTTCATTTTCATCCGCATCATCTTTGCTGCGTCCAACATCATAAATCCTCACATTTGATTCATCGATGCCACTTATGTATTCGCCTTGATTTTCTATGATTGCAATGTTGGTATCATATTTGTTGACTGCTATATGGTAAATATTTCTTTTTAAATCAATAGTAGCTGTAAAACAAATCAAATATTTGAATGAGATAAAAATACGAGGGGATATTATTTGACGCAGAATTTTTTTTAACCACTTCAAATAGCTCACAAGGGCTAATCCTGCGCTTTTTAGGCCCTACTGAACAACCAGTCCCAGGCAACTATTGTTTAAGACCATCAAACTCGGGTCGCGTGGCCGGGAATCGAACCCGAGACCTCCCGATCATAGAGCCAGCGCTACAACCACTACAACACAGGAGGCCGACAAATTGTATTCACTACCGGCCTAAAATTCCAAGATAATTTGTGAGTTATTACACAAAGTGAGATCTATTTCCTCTCAGATCTCAGAAAAGCGATGGTAAAGTTTTGAAAGTTCAAAAATTTTCAGAAATTGGACAGTTCGACTGAATTACAAAGATTATGTGCTCTATTTACACAAAAGTACTGAAGTCAAGAAGACCACAATGCACCTATATGACTTGAGTCTTTGTTTGTGTCTTGAGTCTGAAACTGTGGATTCAAACTGCTTAATTTGCACTCTGTCAAGCGATACATTACGAGAAAATCTTCAGTAAAAAAAAGTGAATGGAAAAAGAATTGAACATACCAATACTGGAATAATCATAAGAGTCAAATGTTTTGAAAGAAGTATCTAGGGGGATATCATCATCTGGTTCCCTCGGCAGGAGAGGTGCAGCATAAATGACTGAGGCAGTTGGAGAGAACATAATAGAACACTGATCCAGAGCCGGCACTGTTTTTAGCAACCGAAAAGTTCGAAGATCCCAAATTTCAGTGTTTGAAACAATCTGAAGGAATACCAATGACAATAAAATTAACAACATATTGATGATAATGGGCATGTTTTTTGAGGGGAATTCAGGACAAAAAAGTTTCACTGTTTCGTCAAAAACCTATGTTCATAGTAGAAAAAATTAAACTTTTTATAATATTAATCGGAAATGAGGTTAAAAACCAAAATAGATTCTTGAAAATTATTAGTTTTGATTGAAGACAATAATTTTGTGGAAATGCTTTTGAATATAATGGACAATGTAGTGTCCAGCAGGCTGATTATTTTCCGCGTCGATATCCGCGTCGATAAGTTAGCGACTCACGGATAACGACTGAATTCTAACGACGTCCTTTAGCCGAGTGATCATTTACATCGAATTCCGCTGATCGTTATTCATCGTTCGATAACTTAGCGTCGTTAAGTTAGCGATCCGGGATCCCCACGTTGCCGACGTAAGAGATAATAATCAACCAATCAGAGAGCGTTTATGATACAAGCAGCGCTCCAATTGCGCGGCGGCGTAAGTTGGAAACAACACATCTCTTTTCTTGACGTCACGCGGGTATGTTTTTAGGTTAGATTAGCTTGCCGCGAATCGTTAGCTTAGAGGTTGCCGTAGAGCAACCTTTAACTTATCGACGGACTCAAATATCCCGCCACGGTTTAACGATCGGCGCGGAGTGAAATAATCGCTCGATTATACTTTTGCCGCTAACGACGGCGTTAACGTAACGATTTCAATATCGACGCGGAAAATAATCAGCCTGCAGGATGACAAAAAACGGAAATTTTAAAATTGTCTTAGAAGATATTATACTAGACATAAATTATATCAATATTTTGTGATTGTATGATATATTAAACCCATACATACACTTGGAATTTGATTAGGATTACTATTTGATGAGAGAATTGAATTTAAAGAAAGTTGTCTTATAATGCATGTCCAAAATAACGCCTGTGACAATCTCTTTTTCAGTGGAGCTCTTCCTAGTGGTTTCTTCAATGAATGAAACTTTGAGCGAAGGGAGAGGATGTCTAAGAATTTTTCTACATTTTTCACTCCAAATAATCAACCCTTCATGACACTTGAAAGTGCCAAAGTGTAACGTCCGTGACAAAAAATGCCCAGAAAGTGCAGAAACGTGTTTCTCGGTTAACAATGTTGTAGAAAGGAATAGCTTTGAGTTTGAACCTTAAAAGTATGGGATTGCAACTGTAGAAAATTTCTATTCGGACTCATCAATATTGGAGAGTAATAGAGAGGGTACCAAGACTTACTTCAAGACCATTTGGGTGAAAACGCCCACTGATTGACTGATTCAGCTTATCAAATTTGTAGATCTGCTTTCCTGAATTCACATCCCAGAGAATACCGTCAGACAAAACCAGTTCATCTGTTGGATTAAAAGTGGCTATGTTGTGGTTGTACTGATTTGAAAATTTCGGAGCAAGGACAACAACTTGCTTTTTGGTCTCAACATCATAAATCTACGACGATAAACAAAGAAAAAATTGAGTAAGTACAGTCATATGAAGAGTCTGGCGAAAGAAAGTTATAGTTTTCTTCTTCATTTCACCAACTTGTTTCCATAACAGTTCAATTTATGGCGAGGCATGTGGTTTCAAAGACTATTGAAGTAATCTTGTTTGTAAAATGATTTTATTGAATACTAAAACAAATCATGGCAGTGCAAATCAATTGTCTTATCTGAATTTTTTCTTTCATTGGAAGGTTTTGAACATTTTTTCCCCGCTGCTTCTTCTAGAATTTCAATTTGTAATCATGTTTTAGCAGAAAGTATACAAGAGCAAAGCATTCTTACCGTTGCTATTTCAGAATTTGTGCCAACTATCCTATCTTGCGTTAATTTACTGAATTCGACATGTTCTTCATTCTCAAAAGAGGACCTGAAAATAAAAATTTAAAACTTTATAATGTACGGCGGACACAAAAAAATAACTGAGCAAGCCATTAATAAGTAACTGTCTCAATCTCTTTACATAGGAGATCAGCAGTGCAATGCAGTGACGAGCCAAGTCTCTAGCTTGTAAATTTTACAAATATTTTGAAATATATGAGACCTATATTTCTGATGGCCTAGGAATCAGCCAGTTTAAATTTCGAGTGAATCATTTTTTATTACAATTATTTGATCATTTTTTACTCTGATGTAATGCTTTGGTGTTACTGTACTTAAGAGCCTTGCATTTTCTCAACTTTTGTATAATTCGAGCCAAATTTGCAATTTTCAAGATTTCAATAGCAATTATCATATTGTTCAGGCACATTATCAATGGGCCTGTTGCAAACTTTTGCTAGAGCAAAAATAAGAGTTGTTTCTTGTAGATAATGCCTCAAAAATCACGATGAGCGCATCGGCAAAGTCTGAAATGCACTCATAACTTCACAATCTGCGTAAGAAATTTGCGTTTTTTTAAGCTTCCCGCTTCAAAAACGATACTACGGCACAGGTGAACATTTTGTTAGAGGAGTCCCTCCATCGTCGGCGATATTCATCATGGCCGACGCTTGCACGCAGTTCCGCGCGTAATCCAAGGAGAGTTCAAGGTCAATCAATTCGGGCGTGGAAAATATGAACGTTAACACACCGATTGTTATCTGGTCTAATCCAGTTCAGGTGTTATCTCGTCCTATCAAACGTGTTTTGGCGGATTGGCGTCGGCTATGATGATTATTGCCGACGATGGAACGACTCCTCTTACAAAATGTTCACCTGTGCCGTAGTATCGTTTTTGAAGCGGGAAGCTCAAAAATCCGCAAATTTCTTACGCAGATTGTGAAGTTATGAGTGCATTTCAGAGTTTGCCGATGCGCTCATCGTGATTTTTGAGGCATTATCTATGAGAAACAACTCTTAGTTTTGCTCTAGCAAAAGTTTGCAACAGGCCCATTGGAGTGCATTTAGCAGAAGAAAACCAACGTTATTTCAGTGTTGTGAGAATCAAGCATCCTCTTCTTTATCTAAGAAAATGTCTGGAATAGCAAAAAGTTTTGGTTTTTCTACCGAGAAATTGTTAATTTTAAAGACAAACGATCATACAAACTTAAAAACTGTACATATATTTTGTATTTTTTGAAACAAAGAAGGTGGAGCACAGTTTGGAAAACACTGTAATTGGGTTAGTTCTTTTCTGCTAAATACATTCTAATTGTGAGCTTTGCAGAATTCATTTCAAAAATATTGAGAGAATTAAAGTTAACAATTAAAGCAAAATTACAAACTGATTTTGTGCTTGTACATGAGAAATTTCAAGCACATGACAAAGAGGGAGAGTTAATCATTAATACAATTGCGAATTAATTTTGCAAATGAACAAGGGAAATTTGTCAGAGGCAATGACATAAGATATAATAATTTGTTCGTTGGCTTTTTTTTGTTTTTACTTTTGACCAAAAGAAGCTGAGGCTACGCCAACTGGACAACTGCCGCAAATCACAAGCCACAGCTTCAAATACTAGTTGGACAACGGCCACTGGCAGGAGGCCACCATACAATGCTATTTAAAAAATACTTACACCTGTTCAAACACCCCATCGATTTTCCACATAGCAGACAGAGGTTGCCGATAAGGACTTGAAGTTAACAGTAAGTTGTTCGTTCGATTACATTCCAGATTTGAAATGTAAGATTCGTGACAACTATATGTGACATCATCCTGAGAAAAGGGGGAAAAAATGCTTTAAGTTTGACTCCAATTTGATGATATCAAAATGTACCCAGTTCTCTGTTGGAGCAAGAGAAAGTAGAGAACTATACTTTTGAGTCCACATACTCTCACATCCTTAATTGAACTTCATTTTGCGAATAGGAATTACAAAATCTGGCTCATCCATAAAAACATTTATGTACATAGGAAAACTAATGGTGCATACATTGTTTCTAAACTAGGCCAGAAATTGTAGTTTTGAACTGCAAAATGTAGTCTGATTGAACTTTTAAGCAGATCAATGTATTGAACATAAAAAAAAAAATAAAGACAAGCTAATGCAAGAATATAAGATATTATTTCAAGGTGAAATGGAAGCATGTAGATGGTGAAATAAGGCCTTACGAGAAAACAACAAGCTGTTTGTGAATAAGCCATTTAAATGTGACTGTCCATGGGAAGAAGAAACTCACTGTCTAACTGAACAGCTACAGACTTGAAGGAGTAAAAGTCTCAGACTTTTTTAAGGTTTTCCCCGACCAAAATAATCGAAAATCCTTGTTTTTTACAATGACAATGGGTACTCAGAACTAAAAATGAACAATTTTGGGCATTCATTTCACTGCAAATGACAAAAACATGAGATTTCCAAACTTCTCGTTAAGTGAATCGTTTTCTACATTAACTTTAGAAGAGATGACATCTGACGTTTATTTCTACTTCAGACTTGGTGTGGTAGTCCATTGAAAAGATGGAGAAAAGACTACATCAAATTTTATTGAAAGTTTGAGTCTCTGCTGATTAATTTTCAATCAAAATATTTCGCGAAGGTGTGATAGTTTGAAAAACTTACCACGCCAGTATTGATATTAAAGACTTTGACTTCTCCTCCATACGTTCCAGCAATTACAAATTTATCACCCTGAAACATATATAATTTATTGTTATGTTTGCAAAGACAGGTTGGTGTAATTTTGGTGACTGATCTAAACAGTGCAATTTCTAGGGCAATTTTTATGTGATTCAAATCTAACGCAAGTCAACTTTCATCAGTATGCTCCAGCTTTCAAAAGAATTAGATTACTTAAAATTAAAACTGAAGAATCAGAAAACTAAGCTATTATAAGGGTACTTCACATTATGTGAGGAAAATTGATGTGTGATACTTCTTTCTATTTTACGAAGAATAAATCAGAGGAGCAAACAGCAACAATAAAACACATTACCAGAGGATGAAACAATTATGATAAAAAGAAAATCTTCTGTAAAATAGAGCTAAAAGAAAGTCTTGGAAACTCAGAAAAGAAAAAGTTAGAGCGTTCATTAGATAATTAGGCAACTGTTTACTTTAGACCGTTACTTGCAGTCAGTGTTCGAAACTCACCTTTGAGTTTTAGGAGCCGTGTGGCGCATCAAGCCCGATTTTTAGGCGCCATTGAAGATTTTTTAGGGGCCGAATTGACTTTTTGCCTATACATTACGGCACATTTAGTGACAAGGTAGACGCAAGATGTTTTCGTAACAGAACAAGTAAGTAGCTGTAACTTGGGGGAGGCAAAAGCACCGCCGCGCCGCGACGAAATTGTCCGTTCAACAAGGCAAAACTGCTTGCTTTTTGCGAGTTCAATCCGGTGCTGTGCGTCGAAATTTCAAATAATCACCTAATATGAACATTCAGATTCTTAGGGAGCAATTTTTAAGGGCCATGTTGGCGCAGAGCCTTCATTTTTTAGGCGCATTTGGCGCGTTGGTGCCTGTGAGTTTCGAACACTGCTTGCAATTGACCTAATCTGCACATGGCAGCACTGTAACTTTCTGACAATCCTCCAAAAAAGGCAGCAGCACGGTTATCAGTAGATAGAAAGTAAAAAACTGCAAAATTGGCTGACAGGAGCTCTATTTGTTTTTTTAAAGGATACTCATTTGAAATCGAACGTTACTTACAAAAAATTCACAGCAAGTAAAGTAACCACCATCATCTTCATCATTAGATTTCAAGGTTTTGACAGGGCAAAATCTACTGTGAATTAACCGCTGATCTAGCCGTCTTGAATTAATGCCTCTGCAGTAGCGTAAGGTGAAATTACAAGGCGCTGACTTGTTGGGTTTTGGGTCCGGACACTTATGAGGACTGAAAATTTGAATACATAACGGATGTAGCAGAGATAAAAATGCAAACGCAAAGGAGACTTATTGATTAATTGATAAGACAAGTGGAGTGTTAAAACTAGCTAACCAACAACCGCTGGCGCTGAGTTGGCAATTTTATTTGGGAACTGTCAATTCAGGCTGCGGTAAAGGCAATGTGAAAGAAATCGCACACTGAGTGCCTATAGTTGTTGGTTCACTAGATTCAGGGCTCAACTTGCCTTGTCGATGATTTCCTTAATTGGGTCCCTTCAGGAAAGCTTTTTGCAGTACCTTTTTTGATTACTTTTCTGCACACTTTCAGATTCTGGAATCAGATTTTAAAAATTTAGGACTGAAAAATTTACAGCTATTTTAAGACTCCTGCTGCCTTTACGGCCCTCTGTCCTGTTGTTAGACATTTTGCATGTGAAATTTGAGAGCATACTCAATAACTCCAACTTCAACTACTTAAACATTCCATATCCATATAAAATCACAGTAGTATAACCAGATCGCTGTATTTTTTACTGAAAATTGTAGCAGCAAGGAAGGGCGGGTAGGTGTATTTTGGCATTAGTTCATGGGAAAAAATGCATTATTTTTATCTGACAGATACATCCCTGAGTTTTTTCCTACTGAACTCAGACACTCGGTCGAATACTTTCTCTCAGCTCTGGGCTTCTCTTGACTTTGAAATTCAGCTGCATACTTACACAAATAAATTAAACTGCGGACAAACAACCATTGGATTTTTACAAAGGGCATGTTGATTGGTTAAATATTCTGTGACGATAGAATCAAGAGTAATATTTCTTCTTTCTGGCTTCAGAAGGGGTTGCTCAAAGCTGGAACTTGATGGCAATGCTCTGTCTTTAGATCCGTGCTTCCGGAAGGATTTTTTACTAGATGACTGAGGGGTTGACCAAGTTTGTTCTATTCGTCTATAGTGAGAAAAACAGAAGCATAAATCAATTTAATATTAGTGTATGGGCCATTGATTAAACACAATACATAAAGCTTTTCCTAACAAATATTGAAACACAATTTATAAAACATAAAGGGGGATGTTCATAGAGAAATGCAGAAAAATGTGCTCAAAGCAGAAATACTGAACAACACAGTGGATCCAACTTCCAAAAACACATAGATGGTCAGAGTGCGAAATCACGTATATCCGTTTGCAAAGTTGCAGACTTCCTTTCATACTTTATTTTCTTCTCTCGGAGACTAATCAAGGTAATTTCTTAATGTTTCTTCTCTACTAACGGGAAATTCTGTATACATTTTGAGCTATAAAGCTGGCTTGTTCTTTGGTGAAAAATAAAATAGGGATGGATATTTTGAAACACTGCAATGGAGATAAGTTGTTTTGCACTTTGGTCAATGACAAATGGATGAGGAGCTTAGATAAATATTTGTGATGACACCTTTGGAGAAAACGATGCTTGAGGCTCTTAAAAAATATGAAGGCTGTTCCTATTGGAAAAACACAGCGGAGGAGGGAAGAATACAGTAAACAAAATGAAATTCTCTGACATTTCCCTGATTTCCCCGCCACATTTAAGTGAAATTCTCGGATAACTGAGGATATTCCAGAATTTCCGGATGGCTAAAAAGTCATCAGATACAATAGTTTCCCCACAAAGTTTCTTTCTTGAAGCTTTAAGCCCATGCTGGAAAGCAAATAAAGGTGATTTGAAAATGTATCCCTGGCCTTATCATCTCCTTCTCTGACTTTCCAGATTTTCCAGACATTTCTTGGTTTTCCCTGACTGTGGCGACCCCGTTAAGGAGGCTCTTCGCAGGCATAGAGGAGGTTGCCACTCGAAAACATGATGGATGACACCCTGGAAAAATATGGAAGATGGGGCTTTTTAAAAAACAGAAACAGAGGCTTTTAGAAAAAAACCCAAGGAGGCTGCCAATTAAAATCCTTGATCAACGACTCGCAAGAAAAAATACAGAGGCCAATGCTCTTCCAAAAGAACCTGGTGCATGATGCTATGAATATACTGGTAGTTGAGACATTTTGAAAAACCCTTCGTAAATCCTGGTTAATGCTCCTTAGGAAAGGCACTGTGGTTGACAAAAAATGTGTAAAATGATTTGCTATAAATACTATATTGCAGTAATACTTACTTGATTTTGATTGGAGTTGATTTACTAGAGGAAGGTGTCCCTGAGGTTAAATTCATATCTACGGGATGGTTGAGGTTATTGGGCCGATGAACAGGAGAGTTGGGGGTGGCACTTCGAGCCTGCAAAAAGCGCACCAAATGGTACTTTAGAAGCTGATTTCGCCCTGACACTTCAAAAATCATTTGACCTTATTAATGAAAAAGACATTCATCTACAATGAGTTTTCTATTCAGATAGACTTTCCTATTTTTCTGACTTCTCAGACACATGTTCATTTTCTTGATCAGTTCAAGACACCTTTGATATATCCTATCCAATAGTATCCTATACCATATTTTTACTGCTTTCTCTTCCAAGTTAACCCATTCGCGTCATGGCATTATCTTGCCCACCGTGCTAGCAGTACAAGCACCTGGGAGGGCAACTGAATTCTCTTGAATAATTTTGAGAACAAAAGCTGCGCGTTACCTATCGGGCAATTCAACAATCATGATCAAAAAATTGCCCAACAACAACACCAGTTACCTCGTTTATAAACAATTGCAGTTATCCCAGGAGAGCTCTGATGAATATTTGTCTGGGTTCACGAATATGTTAAACAAGTAAACTTCACTCAAAACGCACATGCGAGAGGAAAAAACAAGATGGTATTATTTGGAGGAAAAAAATAATCTAGACACTGTGATTTTCACAGTCACATTCTGTGACTCAGAAATGAGAGACAAATCACTGTATAATAAAAAATCTGAAAATTGGCTATAACTCTAAACTTATCTAAAAGGAATGTTTGCTGTCCTTATATTTGCGGCAAAATTCCGCAAAGCAGCATTTTTTAATATTTAATGTATCTATGAGTGCGTACCTTTCCTTGCGCAATTGAAAAAGGTGACAAGAATGGGTTCTGGGAATGAGCTTTAGATTCTGGTAACTCCGCTTCTTTTTGCAATGCTGCAGCTGCCACCTTCATACCACGACTTAACAGGTGTTGATGTATCAGTGTCAACAGTTGCTTTTCATTGTACTGAATTTTAGTTTGCGCAATAACATTGGCCTGAAAATTTGAATGAAGAAACATGAAATGAGTCGAGTGATGGCAAAAAAAAAAAAAAATAAATAAATAAATAAAAACTATTGGAGATTTTATTTTTAATTATATAGATAATTGGTGGTATGTACCAATGACTGACAGCGGTGCTGTGTTCTAAAACGGATCCGTCAGAGGTGAAGGAAAAATTGGTAGCAGACCAACCACAGGGTCCTAGACCAGCCATCAGTGAATGGAGATTCCTTTGTTACATCTGCTGGAGGAGCATCTAACTTAAAATTCAATAATACTGTCAACAAATGTCTAATCTGAGATAATAGTGTTCTAAAATAAGGATAATAAAAGATGTATTTCTGTTATTGGATTCACAGATATAAGAAAGAAAACTCTAATGAACACACCCAACTAGTGTATCTTGTGGTATATATCTCCTTTTCTTCCTCACTACAGAACACAAGAAAAGTATGCCTAAAATTCTATTCATCACAAAAAAATCGAAATAGGAGGGGCAAGGGTGATAGAAATTTGTTATTTCAACTGTTTTGTCAAACTTTGAAAATTAACTTAAATTGTACAGTCTAAATGTTGCAGAAAAAACCGTTCATGTATGTGCTAACCATTTTTACCGAGTATCAACTTACTCCTGAGTTTATTACAGCTTATTGAATTGACTGATGTAGCGACAAAACAGGAAAAAACCTGATAAATTATCTGGAGAAATGTATGATAATAGAAAATATTCCTTTCAAAACTTGGGCTAAGATGGAAATAGTGCCCCCAGAAATTTTTAGTTCTCTTTATGAGTTTGTAATAAGGCATTAAGGTATTTCAAAAACAACTAGATATTCTACAAAAGGAGAAAAAAATGCATGCCCTGATACTTGAAAACCTGATTTAAGTGGCTTTGCTGAATATCATTGCGTAACCGAGGGATGTGATCAAGTCAGTGATAATGAACATTACCCTATGAATATTGGAGAGAGAAACTTCCATTTCTGAGCCATCTGGTTTTTTCCCACAAACTCGCTCTAAGAGGAACAAGGCATGCTGCTGGAACTTAACATGTTCTTGACGCTTTTCTTGCAAAATTGGATCTCGCATTAGTCCTAAAATAGAAAAAGATGACAAGGATTACTTAAAGGTTCAAATGAAATGTTTCTTCAAGGCATTTTGACTACATTTTCTTTATTTTTAAAAATTTCATGATTTCATGTGTTTACAGGCAAATACGCAACCTTTTTTAATATTTACTTGCTATACTCGAACGGTCATTTTCCAAGCAAGATCAGCAACAGCAGAATTGTGATTCAAAAGTTACAACTGATGGACATGAAACACATGTTCCTCTACAAAATGAGACGTTAGGCTAGACACCACAGTTCTTTCCAAAGGCAAGGAGGAATTTGTTGGTCATTTTTCGGGAATTTACATTTGTTAAATAGCATAAGAGCTAATTTTGTGCACTGTAAATTACATTTCAATAAGACATAGTAAATTCTATCAAAACAAGCTCTAACAACTTAAAATTGCTTTTTTCTGCGCCAAAACTTCAAAAATTCATATCTAAGAGAATTTTTGAGCTGGCGAGCTGTAATTTCATCAATGTTCCTACTTTGATTCACATGGAAAACATGCATGAAAAAAAAAATGTCAAGATCTGAGATGGTAGATTGCTTGGTTTGGATAAATTGGCATAAAATAATCCATTGAGGAGGAGAATCTGGTGAGCCTTTTCTCACAGAGATTCAGAAAGTTTTCGTTTTTCTCATTTTGAAATAATCTTTTTCCCCAAAATTTTCCATGCTGTGATCATTATTCGGTTCTTGGTGTGTGTGTGTGTGTGTGTGGTTTTTTTTTCTTTTTCTTTGTCTCATGAGACTGCATGAACATTGTTAGAATATGTACCCACTTGTTAATTCTCCACTGGTAAAAAGAGGTAGAACGCTCAGTATCTGTCGCACAGTTTCACTCCTGGCGAGTCCCACAAGTGCTTGGCAAGCCAGACATCTAATACTATCTGCTTCTGTTAGAGGAGTTTTCACTGTCAAAAGTGATAGTAACAACTGAAATGAAAGAATAAGATACTTATAAGTTGAATAAAAACCTATTTGTTTATATATGTATAAGAGAGAACATGTTTATCTTTAAAAGCAAAGTCACTAAAAAGTTTGTTCTGACAGTTTTTTTTCTGCGATAATTAAAAAGACGTACCAATAATTGAGCAAACGAATCTTAAGATAGAACTTGCAGTCAAGTTAATTTCACACTAAATAAATTTTTTCACTTTCAGTATGCAAAATAGGGTGAATAAATACAAAACTTTGACCTTATCAAGCCTTCAGACAAATATGCCGGGGGTCAATGCGAATAGTTGCCTAGTTTTATTGGTTAAAAATCTCTTTGGGCACTTCTAGGTACCAGATGCGCCCTTTCCAGCCGTTTGGGTCTCCGGATGTAACATGTACTATAGTACATAACCTTTTGCCTTGTGGGTAATGACGCCATTCTGGTACACGCGGTAAAATTTGGATTTTGTTCTTCTCTGGTATTTGTAAAAATTTTCGTGAAATGTTTTGCTTTTAACATAAGATCCGCGCACGGATGTATTACCTAGTTAAATTATTTTAGGGCCTCGTTACGCTGAAATGCTAATATCCGAGGCAGTACTTTCAGATCGAACTTGAAAATAGTACGAACAGTCGCGTGATCTCTTCATTTTAGTGACGTATTACTGTGCTATTTTATGATTGGTTCATTTTCTTGGCGCAGCATCGTCAAGTGTCAGCTGTTTGCGGCTTTGGGCTGAAGGTTTAAGGTTAAGTCAGAGAGTATAGAGGGTTAGAGGCCCGACTCAATGCTAGGTAATTGAACCAGAAGCGCTCGCAGCGCGCTCGCTGGCAACATACGCGACTACTATTTTCTATTGTTTTCCAGTGACTTAGCGGCAGGTACATTGCTGCCGGACCACCTCCACATGGGCAATTTTATATACATCGTCCGTCCGCAACTTTCGCTTGGCCGAGTCAGCTGTTTTATAGTTTTGTTTTTCCAGTCCCCTTTTTGGATCTCTTTTTTAGTTCAGTTCTGTCTGCAACCTCATAAGATATAGGTGTATGAAAACGTCCCTCACAGTGTTAAAGGAGCACCCTCCAACGCTTTGGCGTTGGAACTGCTTGTTTTATTATTAAATACTCTCTCTTGCAAGATACATTAGATACACAAATGTGAACATAAGAATGAACTTACCATGATACCATTATTGACGCGGATGCACTCCCACACTTTCTCTAGCAACATTTTACTAGTGAGACCTCCAACAGATGAGCGTCTTTTATGGGATCCTGTTGGGCTTTTTGAACCTGTCTGAAAACAAAATTATTGGATCAGTTTTTACTGCTATTGAATATTCCTTTTTCTTTTGATGGACCATTAAACAAGGTGCGAATTTAAGAATAATGGGCGTATTGTAATAATTTTGATTGGAATTGGTTCATAATTTGATCGTCTATCGAAACCTGCCGACGAGGAACAACTGTCTCTGGCTCATCCACTAACAAACCTAATTGCATGGGGAAAGTAATGGCTTGTATGTTGGTCTCAAATGAGCTAGAAATAGTAGCTTCAAATTGCAAAATGAAATCCAACTCAACATTTAATGCCATGAAAAAAGTTCAAGAGTACAGTTTTTAATTTTTGACTAGTTTTGATATATTGATATCAATGGTTGATTGGAAACTAACTACATACCTGACTTTATTAAAAGATAATTTTGGTGAAAAAATATCTTAATAAATGATCTAGAGACAGACACTTCAATTTTTCGAAAATAATCCATCTGACAGTTGAAAGTTGAAATATATACCCAAAATAAAAGGTCCAAAAGCTGAGCATCTACCTTCTAAAACAAACAATAATGACACACAAATGCGACAAAATTCGAAAATCAAACTTACTCTATTCATGGGAGCACAGACACAGGTGATAAGGACATTGAGAGCAGCTTTTTGAACTTCAGGGTCAGCGACAATCTCACCTTCTGCTGCACCTAAGATCACATTCAATCCTACATTGTTGGCTTCGTCTGGGGGCTCGATCACCTCACAAAGTTGAAGCATTACTTGTGGTATGGTTGCACAAATATTCAGAATATCTAGGATACTTCGAACTGTTTCAATTCTGTAAAAAAAAGAGAGCAAAAACTTGAAGGACTCAGAACTAAGAAAGACTTTTTAAGACCAAAATCTGGGGCTATAAAGAAGTTTAGACTGGTAAAATTAAGGACTCCTAAAGCAAGCTCAAAGATGTAAAAGGAAATTTTAAGCCTCAATGGCCAAATTATGAAAGTTCCTCCTTCTTACTCTTATATGCTCTGCTGATTGTGCGCATGGAGACGAAGGTGCTACAGTCAACTCTCGGTAATTCGAAATTCAAGGAACCAGAGAAGTCCAATTGAAAAAAGTTTCGACTTACTAATCAAATAAGAAGGGTTGAGCTGAAAAAATTCTAATGAAAGAGATTTTTAAGAAATGAGAAGGAAGATTAATTCACAAATTTGGTTAATCCTTATTTATGTAAAACAATGAATGAAAAGTGTCAGATACTGTAGCTGAGCGTCGTCCAGTGTGTGCTGTGAGCCACTCAGATATCTTTTCGATGTTGACCTGCTAGAGATATAGAATTATAGGTAGTCTTTACATAAAATTTTCAATTATTGAGGTAAATTATGTGTGCTTGGCTCTAAAAAATTCGAATTATCAAAGTAGGAGTTTCAAATTACTGCCAGTTGACTGTACATATCAAATACATAACATATTCTTAGCAACTAACCTGCCCGGATAGTTCCACTCAGAAGCAAACATGATGACGCGTAATAACAAAGTTATGGCACCATAATCATATAGTTTGTCCACAGGCTCCCACTTGGATTTGAACGGAAGCAATTCCAAAACAGTTTCAATTTGTTCAGCGACACTTTCAGGCGTTGCTTTGCAGACCTGTTACAGAAACGTATGACTGATTATAAAAAGGTAAATTTACTTAATGATTAACAAATAATTGGTACATATAAGCCATACGGCCATGGCACAAGTTAAACGGCAAAGTTGTTGAAACAAACAGGAACTTTGACAAAAATTTACAAAAATGTGTCCAACTACTTAAGTTCAAATCTGGATGAATATATACTCCTAGAAAATGTAATAACAGCCATCTATCATTATTCTGTGAGCTCCTTAGTAAAATTGTGAAAAAAAGAGGGGAAATTCTAAATGACAATTAATCAGGTATTGATCAGTGGCAATATTGTAAAACTCCATCTTCCATTGTCTTCTGGATCTTCTTACTTTAAAACAATTTTTTTTTAAAGTGAGCAAGATCAGTAACGGCTGAAGAGCTTGTGGGTTCATTTGGGTCAGATTATCATACAGACATTCACTGATCTTTGTTATTCTCTCAGCAAATCTGGTTGCTGGTGACTAGAATAAGTGCCCACAAGCTTGAGGATTGTAACATTTTTTGAGAATGTGACTGTTTTTCATGCTGCTAGTTACGAAAAAATGTTTATCATTGACGTTCATTCCTTTGTTTATTCATTGGATTTTATTCTGCGATTCGGAACTACAATTTCTAACTCAGTTTAGAAACAACATATGTACTACTAGTTTTCCTATGTGTTTGTTTTTACGAATGAGCAAAATATTGTAATATGTATATGTATATGTATGTATTGTATATGTATATTGTTGTATGTTCCTTATTGCAAAATTAAGTACAATAATAAGTCTCACATAAGAAAGAGAAAACTGTTGGAGACTACAAATTTTATAAATTGAACGACCAGATTACTTTTCCACTTCAGGACAAACAATTTGACTCACCTTGAATGTAGGCATTTCAGAGTTAGACTGGAGTTGCTGAACTTTCAGGAAAAGGTGCGCCTCCAGGTAGCGTTTTAAGGCAACACAGACATGACGAATAACTTGCCGGGATGAGGATTCTTCATCCTCGTTCAATAAATCATTATCAGGGTCAACCAGTAATTTAACTGTGCTCATCTGAAAAAAGAGGATTCAAATGTTTAATAAATAAAAAATTTGGGAACAATGTACTCTGGAAAATAATTATGCAACGCTGGCCTTCTGCCATAACTTGGATACCTCCTGATAATAAACAAGTTTTATCATGGGTAGAAGATCATTTGTAGGACCATTTCAAAATTTCTGCTCAAACCTTCATAATGGGTCTATTATACACTAAAAATACAACAAATTAAGTAGAAATTTCAAGAATAAAATTGCTCAAAAATCACACTAAGTACATTATAAGAGTTTATAAGCCCTTAACGCAACGCACAATTAAGAAATCCGTTTTGAGCACATTTTTTCATCATAGAGCACATAGTCGTAATGCAAGTGGGAGAGCTGGCGCCACTTTTAAGCATTTTTCAGGTCCTGAATTCCGAGACTCCTGTGTGACGCCGGGTCACTTTTTCGATACATGATCGATTGTTTGCGATACACGGGTATCCGGCCATCCCAAGTAAACAAAGAAGATAGGAATCACCACGTATTCCAAGCTGCCATTTTGGATTAAACATGCATCGAAAAAGTGACCCGAACTCGGCGCACATGGGGCTTGGAACTCGTCGAGCAGAACATGGCACCAGCTCTCCCATTTACATTACGACACTATGTTCTTTATGTTTTTCATTGGCAATATGGTAAACTACCTTTGGTACTTGGTGGTATGGTTTCTTTGCCACAAAAATGGAGCGCCAATAAGATCTTAGGACACATGACACATGGGTAAAATCAATAAATAATGTATAAACAGGGTTAGGATTTAGTGGTCCAATTTTTCACATCAACAGTCAAAGTTGAGATGAACAATTCAAAATAGATCCGAGTAAAATATCAAGATCTGATGAGTAATGATCCATTACAATTATTGATACTAAAATTCAGAAACTTCAAGTACTGTAGGTACTTACAACATTATAGAGATCACATAGGCCATTGTGACGATCAAACTCATTTAAAATGGTCAAGAATAGGAATGAAAAGCCGAAAAACATGGTTGCATGACACCTCCCAGAATCATGCCGATATTTCAACAGCCAAAGGTTGTAACTGTAGGAAAAAGAAAACCAATGTAAAAATACTGAAAAAAAGAAACTTACAAACAATGCACATCAAAATTCAATTTTAAGGAGGGTTTCGATAGAGGGTTTGGAGGAGGACCAAGTCTAGAGATAAGTATCATCGCATGAGTTACAAAATCAAGAGGGGAACCTGGGGTAATCTTTGCATCTCATCATGGGAAAACTGATACTGATGAGCATAAAAACATTGATGATCACACTGGTTGATCATTGCTAAAATAATAAAAGTAAAAGGTAGAAATTGAAGGTTAAAGGTTGTAACTACAGAACATTCCACTTTTTAGGCAAATTTCATGACTCTTTCACTAATTGTGAATTTCCTACCGTTCTTTGATGTAAAAAATTGCTCACAGCCCTGTAAGGAGTATCTGAGTTAGCCCTTGGCCCAAACTTGTCCATATATGACTTGATTTGTTAGCACAGCCTTGGAAAAAGTGAACGTGGAAAAGTAAATTTACACCGGAAGAAGGCGATTGTTTTGGTAGTCTTTTTCCAACTTCCCCATAAAAAGTATGATGAGCATCCTCAAAAACATTGAACTACTGAGAAATCAACGCATTTTTGACTGTGATTCTTTCCTTTCATGTGGTAGTTTGGTTTCCGCATAAAATAATACTTCACTTAACTTCATGTTTTTTGTGCTTTGCGTTTTTCTTGATATAGGCAATTGAAAACGTACAAAATAAATGCTCTTCATGACTGTTTTTTGTCTTTTCTGAGAAAGTGAAGTGTGCATGCCAAGAATCCCATTTTTTTATCATCGTTACATGAGTTCTTATTCAGGTGGTCTTAGTTTCTGATTCTGGCAACATTAGCTCGGATTTCTGGATACAGCAAGCTAAAAAATACCTACATGGTGGTAAGTTAACACCTGGCTAAAATACCAAAGTAAAACTTATTCACAGTAATAGAGAGGTACAGGGTTGAAGATTCGAATATTCATACGGTCACTGAAAACTGAAGAAAAAGAGAGCATATATAGTTCAAAACAAAAGGCAGGGTCATAATTGAGGTAATTACCTGACCAAATCTAATAAAACGTCATTGGGCAATAAGCAAACTCGCTCCATCGAATCCTCACAGTAGGCCAAATAATAGAAACAAACAGAGGCTCCTATGGCACTGAGACTGGGTCTTCGAATCTCAAGCAGGTGCTGAAAAATACAATAAGCATATCTTAGCATTAACCCTCTGAAGGAAATATTAATTTTACTTTAAAATCCTAGGATTTCAATAGGCATTAGTGGCATTATGTGTACGTGTGGAGGTACTGCTAATGGTGCTGTAGAATGTGAGGCAAGAAGTCCAGGGGGGTAATTTTGACCCCATATTGGATTGTCAATAAGACGCGGGAAAATACGGTGTTTTAAAGTTTCAAACTTCAAAGTTGTTTTCGGAGGAAACAACGGCTCATGAAAAAAGATCTGAAAAAAATACTGCGTGATCAGGACACAATGCAGTTTCTTAAGATGCAAGAATTAGGAACAAGTTAACAAGCTCATTGGTTTATTAACAGAAGAAAGCTTATCAATTTAAAAAAAAAACCAAATTTAACAAACCAGAGGCTGATTATCCATTTGCTTTTTACATGATCTATCTTTAGAAGAGTGTTGGTCAACTTGGACATTCAGGTGGTCATTAAAATTATTTTCAAAACAACTTTTGAGTAAATAAAGAGAACCATACCTGAACACCACCGACTCCAATGAATTCTACTGCAAACTTTTTGTGACACAATAGCGCAGCAAGATATTTGAGAGCTTCAAATGAAACACGTGTATACTCAGATTCATGAGGATTTACCATGCCTAAGATGAGGTCCAAGGCATGCTTCTCAAAAATGTAGACCAGATTCTGAAACATCAGGAAATAATTTTTTTCTTTCACGAGAAAAGGATAGATTACGGAAAGTGTAAAATCCTCAGCCTTCATTCAATGTTACTAAACATTTAAGGTAAAATTTGCGACTATTTACTGAACAGTCCACTATGAATAGTGGATTTTCCAGTCTTGAATCATCTGTGTTCTAGGTAATAAATTCAAAATAAAACCACAATAAAAGAAGGATACAGAAGAGGTGGTGGCTAGAGGAATAACAAAGCTTAAAAACTCCAAGTAAGTCACAGTCATGCTGAAAGTTTGTTGCTAAATCTAAATTGTTGAACAATTTAATTCTATAAAATAAGAAATACATTTTAAATGTATACAAACTGCACTTTGTAATGATGCGAATTTAAGTTTAAACATTATAAAGAGAAAGAAGAAAAAAATTCAACATTAATCATAGAAACAAACTGTTTAAAGTCTGTTTCCTGCATGCTGAAAGACAGAATATCTTACCTCCTGATATTCTGCCATGGATGTTAGGTATTTTAGAATAAAAATCTCCTTCGTTGCTAGAGAGAGAGGGTTCACTTTCCACAAGCCTAGGACAAACGGCTCATTATCTTGCCAAGAAACTTTAGTGAAATCGCTCATTTCAAAAGGACTTGTTGACTTTGAGCTGGTTGATCTTCTACCTATAAAATAAAGAGTTTCAGTTTGATAATCAAATTCAAAGAAACAAATGACAGTATAGAAAATTCATGTAAAGGTGTTAACTTTTCACTATGGTGACAGGTGAAACAAATCAAAATTCCCTACTTTATTGATTTCATATTACATTCTAATGATTGATGTAATAATTTAGATTGGTATGTTCATTGTCTGTAAATCTAACGTTACAGCACTGATTTTCCATCAAAAGTTTAACAAAGAAGAAGCTTGACATGCAAGCGCAGTGAGGGGTACACCGTTGAATAGTTGTTTCTCAGTTATAAGATGGAGAGAAATGGCAGATGTCTTAAAACTCTCCATTATTACTCAGACTCACTTTTACTTAGTGCTTTTAAATTAGAAAATAAAAGAACTGGCTTTGCTGATTCAATTTCGAGATCATTTAGGGATTCCTGGCCATAGAAAGAGACTTCAATGATACCAGAGAACATGAGAAGACGAAGGGAGAAAAAAATCCTATTACCTGAGCTAGACGCTTTTCTTGAAAAAGAATTTGCTTTACTGGGAGACTTATTGGTTTGTAGAGAATTTTCTTCCAAGGGAGGTTTCTTAGAATGTTGACGAGAGCTCCTTGCTAAAAAATAAAACAATAAACAAAAAATTAATGATGTAAAAGTTTGCTCAAAACTGAGGTACGTAGATAGGATAATGCTTCCTCTATTGTATAAATATAAAGTTTTGAAATGACAGAAGAGTACTAATTGCCAAGTTTAGTCTCTGATCATCCAAGAAAAATCACTGAATGACAGATAGCTAAGGTTACAGAAGGAATATCACTTGACAAAAAACAAAATCACAAACTTTCGAAGGCTTCTCAAGGAGTTTCGCCGAATTGCTCAAATACTTTTCAAGATGTACAAGATTCTTTTAAAGGCCTCACCAAGTACATGATGCCCTAACCATTTTAGCGGGCAATTCAGAGGTCTCTTTGAGAAAAAAAAAACTATCAAATTCACTAACAGTCCAGAACGATAGACAAGATAATGTATAATTTAAGGACTTGCAAGTACATTTTGATAGGTCTGATTCCAGATAAGTCAAAGATTTGACGAAGTTGGATTTTTTTCAAACCCGCCATTTGTCCTCTTTGAACCATGTAAATTGTTTCAGAATAAATTAGGATTGAGAATTTTGTCAAAATCGGAAATTTGCTTCTTCGGATAAATTTTTCAGTCTTGTCGGTAAATTTTACCGTAAGTCAGACAAAAATGTTGAAGTTGATCACAATGTTTTGCTGACATGAGGTCCAGATGGTTAAGGCATGCTTTGCAGGCTGTTTTGAACCCTAGGTATCAGGAAGCTTTCAGCTTGACTTGAAATCTAGATATAATTCAAGTCAGATAGAAAACAAAAGTCAATTCGAAAAAACAAAGAAAGTCACCTTTTTTATTGGGTGTAGGCTCACAACTGTCCTTTTGTGGGCTTGAAGGATCAGGACACTCATCACCGTTTGTAAGCGTCAAACTCTTCCTTTCATTTTCTAATTGGCTGAGTCTATCTAGGAGAACAGGAACAATGCGACTATTGTCATCCCTGAAAAATTAAATGAAAAAACAATCTTAAAGGAAGCTCGTGATTACGACAAAAAGCACACTACAGACAACTGTAAATATAAAAAAAGAGAACACAAACGCAGAGAACCTTAAAAATTAAAAAATAACAAATTCCTTTGCACGATAATTTAAGAGATAACCAATGCATTTTGAAAAACTCAACCCTTCCTTCAGGGTTGATTCTAAATAATCTTGCCTTACCCTTTGTCAACCAAAAATTTGGATTCAGCACTTATTCATTCTTTCTGGATCAAAATACAGAAAATCTTTGCATTTTTGGAGTATATCCGTCATTTCAGTATTTGGTACAAGGTTATTTTAAGTTTTTTTTAAATTTATTTTGAGCAAAATAAAGGTCCCTTCATTTCATCTTGAGAAACTTTTGGTTGCACTTCTATCAAAATCTAGGAGGAACACTACATGACCTCCTTTTGTGAATCAAAATCATGAAATAAAACTAATTTGAGAAGGCAACAAGAGAATGAACAAATGAGACATACCGGTAATCTGAGGCCATATCTTGATTTTCCATCACAGATGATAAAAAGCCGATGGCATAAGTCTGCAGAGGGTCAGGAGCATCCGTACTCCATGCGAACAAACGCTTGATTAAAGTATCAGAGTGTGACTGCAAAACAATTTAGTTTAAGATAGATTATTTTGAATGATCCTTTAACAGCGTGATCTATACCACCCACCACCCATACCAAGCTATTTTTTATGTGTTTTTTTTAGATTGAACAAAGCGAGGGACCGCAAGAACTAGAAGAGAATCAATTCCAAAGAATCTGAATGATGAAACCATCGTTATTCCTTTAACTTTCAGACCAAACGTGTGATGCATCACTCCCACAACAAGTCCAACCCCACATCATAGTCGCTCTGAGGAACTTTACCCATAATTGCCATCTCTATAAAGAGAATGAAGACAAAGATTCATCGATTCATTGCTTCTTTGAAGGAAGACTGGGCCTATATATTTTCATAAGAGTCCCGGAAGCACAGCGTTACGCAGATAAGAGGGCTCACTTTGAGTGTATAGATAAGTCCTTACATCAGCAAAATGAGGAAATAGGCAGACTTTACTATTAAAGTTCTTAACTTTCGCTGAAGACTTCAACTCGGTGAGGTTTGACAGTAGATCCACAGCGCAGAACTATCTGCTGGGTCACTGATGTTCCAATATCATTAAGTCCTTCATTTCAACATTTTTAAATATTTCTTTCTTTAAATTTCTAGTATTTCACTTTTGTCCCATTTTTCAAAACCATAGAGAGAAGTCCTTAAACATATGGGAAAACACAACCTTATCTGTCAACCTTTCACATTCTACAGTCTATGATGGTGAAATAAATCATTTTTAGGTAACTTAATGCAAACTACTTCCGGAGAGGGAGGGGGGGCGGGAGGTTAACAAATGAGGTTTTTGGAGAGATCCCTCCTTTTCTCCTAAAATAAAAAGGACAAATATGACAGCAAAATTAACTTACTGGTCCTAATACAGCTGCAGCTTCCAAACCAAGCAATAGATTCACAGTCAATCGACAAGCAGCAGTATTTAATGCGACGTAATCTCCATCTCGATGATTTCGAGTGAAATAATTTTCTTTGAGGTAATCTGAAACTAACTAAATTTCATACAAGATATTACAATTATCATAGTGATTTCAACCTGAAGATATCTTAGGTTCATCAACTGAAAATGGACTGGGTAATCCATTACTTCCACTATGAGCCCATAATCTAAGCAGCTTGCATACTGTAAACATATGATAGCATAACATAAAACTGTGTGCGCTGGGAGGGTTATGTAAAAAATAATATAGCTCTTGGTATATTAGAATTGATTTTGAAAAATGAAACTCAGAGGTCAAAACGAGTCGTAAAACAGTGAGGTAAAATCTGAATACTAAGGTAAGCTTAAACGCTAGAACGATTTTGGAAAATTGTTGTTGCTACAACTTACCTTGTTCATGAAAGCTTCCTTTCGGAAGATGATTTTCAGCATATTTCCAAAAGCACAAGTTGGTCGAATTCGAGATGGATGTCTTTCATCAAAGGGATCTGGATTTGTCTCAAGATATTTGGCATATTCAACCTCCAGCATATCTGATAGCCTGCAGGATTGAGTTGGATCGTAAAGATTACATTTTAAAAAGAACATGCTCAAAAAAAAGAGAAAAAAAATTAAAAATAAATTCTAATCTTCTTGTGAGAGAATCAAAGGGAAATGACCTTTCTTAGCAAAGGAACTGGACGGTGACTTCAAGCTTTTTCTCCATTTTTTTAAAGAAATTTTCATTAATTTTCAAGCCACTGACAGAAAAAAGTCATTGACACTTACATGAAAGATCAGAGAAATAGTATAGACAGTGCGTGAAGAGGGGAAGGGGAGCTCAGCAGTTGTATATACAGTGCGAGAAGGTAGAGTATTTACGTTAAGATGTATAGAGTCTTCTCCCTCTCCATTTTCCTCAGAGAAATGAATGAAACCTCTGGCAGTTCATCAGTTTTATGGTCCTTCCAGGTTGGTGGCCTGCTCACCTAGCGCTCACCTGATATTAGATTCTTTGGAAAGTTTTGATCTGAACCATTGATACTTTTTAATTATGCAGATCAAATTGAAGAAGCTCTTAAATTTTTCTCTCTGTTGCCTGATCGGATTAGTAATCTTGCATCAAGGGGTTTTGAGAAGAGAGCCACAGTATTGACCAAGGAAGCAGGTCACCATAGATGAACAATGATACAATTGGACCACATTTTGCAATTTGGAACAACAATTTCAGGCTCATCCATTAGAGAACCTAGGGGTGCAGAAACTTCCCAACCACACGACCGGCCTTTCGCGTGCCGTTCGTGTGAAATAGGGGCACCCATGTGAGGAAAAGAAAAATGGGGGAACCTTTGGGGGGGGGGGGGGGTTGTAAGTAGGGGGAACTGCACTGTTGAGTGCGCTACTTTGAGGGAACCTAACTGTCAAGTGAGCTATTTTTGGGGGAACAAAACATTCAAGCGCGCTGTTGTGGGGGGAACCAAACTGCTGACCGCGCTGTTTTAAGGGAACCCAACAGTCGACCACGTTACTTTGTGCCGGGCAAAATCCTGCGAAAACTTAAAATAGGTGAACCTAAATTTATTTTGGGGGAACCCTTGGAAGTTTCTGCACCCCTGAGAGAACCTACCTGCATAGGGAAACTTAGAATGCATATGCCATTTCTATCATAAGTTAGTTACTGTGGTTCCTGATTGCAAAATGCAGTCCAATTGAATCAGTTAAGTGTGACAATCATGTTGTTACGGATTCCTCAGCAAGCTGAAAGGTTTTTATTCTGTGGTGAGAAAACCCTACAATAAAGTTGCTGTCAAAAAAAGCATGACTACTTACAGGGTAAGGGTTGACGTAGGGTCATAATCTGATCCAGAGTGGGCCTCTTCCCATTGGTGGATGATGTCGGATATTTCCTTTGCAGGTCCTTCCGTTGCCATGCTGAACAATTTATCTAAACAATTAAGATTTGAAAAAGTAAACTCCATGAATGAGAGAAAATCGTAATAGGTTGCAATGCATTTTCTTTTATCGACTAATTATTAATGCCCACATTCTCAGAGACAATGTATTTAAGACAAGCCAAGCATAGAGAAACTATCTAAGAAGGAAGAGGTTGAAAATAGTGACAAAATATTTATGACCAATAAAAAAAGCGATTCACTTAGATACTTTCAATTAGAATGAGGTAAAAGAATAGAATCCACTAATCTAGCCTTAGTAACGTCACTTTTTTTTGAAAAAAACGATAAGAAACGATTCAAAGCTTTAGATATTTCAACGCAGTTACTAGTATTCTGGACGTGTATTTTCAATAGTATCTTGAGTAAAACTTTAAGAAAATTGATGAGTTGAGGAAAATCAAGTAAGGCTGCTCCGGCAATTAATTAGGATTATTAATTTTTTTAATCAGAAAATACATCGGCTGATTGATTTGTGTATCAAACAGATGGATTAGTTTCAGTTACCTATGCCGTTCTTTCGTTTGTCCATGGTTTTCTATTTTTTTTTTTTTTTTTTTTTTTTGTAATTAATCTATAGAATACACGCTCGAGAATCAACCATCTGAGTCATTGAATTGGTATTGGATGGAGCGTTCATAAGGGTTGAGGTTATGACTGTTCCATTGGTTTCCCCCAAAAAATTAGATTTGCCAAATTCTATTGATCAAATGAATTTAGGCAAAATCACTTCATTACCTTGCCATTGCGTGGTCACAGAGAAATGGCATAAAACCATGAGCCAAGCAAAACGGTCAGCAACCGCTGGGGCTCTTCAGGTTGATAGGCGACTTAGGGTCACCCATGCTCTGCAGCTTACCCAGCGGGACTCGAACTATGCTGCAGTAGAAAAGCACTGCAACCTGATGGGCACTTCGACCAATTTAATGGAATTCTACCAGCATTGAAGGAATAGGAATGACACAAGTGTTGTTATAACACACTTCATGCTTCATCTGTACTATTTCCATTTTTGCACTAACCATAATATTTTGCTGTTTCCATGCACTGCCTCAATGGACAGTGATAAATTGTGGTTTATGCTCATTCATGCTGGGAAATTCCTGCAGTTCGTACTCGTCTGCAACCTACGCGATGAAGGCGATAGTAAGCCAAGGCAGTATTTGCTTGAATCTGGACTGCAACAGTCCAACGGGGGTCGAACTGAGGGATTTTTATTATTTCAGGATAGGTCAAAAGTAAGAGTGGAAGAGACTTACCTGTGAGTTTCTATTCTAGAGCAGAATCAGGGCCTCATGAAAGCCTCATGGAAAGAGACACGGCATGCCGACATGCCACTCTACCAGTAGTTGGTAGGGTTATGAGTCCGGCGATCGGCGAAGTAGGGGCGAGTTGGAACGCGGACAACCTCAGAAATACTGAACGGAACAAAATCGAACTAAAGAATTACTAACTGCACGTATGATAAAAATTTTAAAAAGAACAATCTTAGGAAAAAAATTTGATTAGTGATTCAAGGCATCATCAACATCACATGGCGAGAATTTTCTAGGTGAACTGCTGACTGCTTCTTCTTCTTCGCTTGTTTACCTGGCACGCAACGTTGCCAAGTGCCGAAAGCCATCAAACAACAATAACACACGTGGTGTAAGTTGAGGTTATGGTTATCAATTTTCTATGCAGTGGCTTGTGTTTTGAGTTTGTGTCAGGTGTTCAATGAAATACAATGGCATATCAGGAGGATTTTAATACTTTTGTTGGTGGATTAACTGGTGCTTTCAAAGGTAAATCACTGTCAATTAGCACATACCACTTGAATAACCTTTGAGACAAATATTTTGATCAAGTGGCTGCGCTACTCAGTTTCCTGCTCCGTTAGCTCTATCGTAATTTTTTCACCACAGTTCAATATGAACATACATCATCGTTTGCCTGTGCGCATAGTTGTATTAATCTAAACTAGGTACTTAGGGAGATGGCGTTGATTTGTCAATGGAACCTCAGATAATGAGGTGCTGAGCGATATGCACGCCCTAACGCAGCCATTGTCAGGGGTGCAAAACATAATAGAGAGTTGTCACAAGAGAAACTGCCTTGCCTCTCTAAGTGAATTTGAATCAATGGATAATTGAATTAATTAAATTATCTCTTGTCAATTGCAAGAAATAACCTGACGCTCTTTGATACACCTCTAAGAAAAGAGACCAGTATTCAGAAAGTGTATCAATGGTGAAGGCGGTAAAACATATTGGTTACTTGAGGTTAAATTCACAAAAAACTGGACTAATCCTTTTCAAATGATATTCTATCTACCAAGTAAAGCTGACAACTTTTTTAAAGCTTGAGGAAAGGAAGCATACACATTTACCCAGCTCTGTGGTTTGGAAAACTCTTTCCTACCATATCCATCGGTCGGTTAAGACGGATGCGTCTTGATATGGCCGGTTGTATATGACCGGTGTAAACCATCAACAGACAATAAGAGGAAGAGCTGTTTTTAAACCATGCGACTGGATGTAAATGTTAAGAAATGTTCCAAAACTGTTTTCAATATCTTTCACCATTTTGCCAATTGGCCCCCTACATACTTGTTGCATTGTTCTCTACTCTCATCTCAGACTTACCTCATCTTTTCTCCTACCCTATGGTCAAAATAATTTTCTTGTCTTCATCGCAATTTTTTTTTTTTTTTTCCCAGGAATTAAAGTGACCAGGAAAGGAAAAATTATTATCAAAAACCTACAAAACACCAAACACTTATCTAATAAAAATCAAATCACAGCGTTGAATTGGGGAGATGATGCAGAACGTGATATATTGATGGGACTCAGCGATCAAAGCGTAAAAGTTTATGATACAGAACATAAACAATTCATCAGCAGCTTTGAAGCGAAACATGGCAAAGGACCCATCATAGGATTAGCCAAATTTAATAGGTGTGCATTGCCAGTATTAGCTCTTATATCACTAGTTTTTAAGAAGTCTTGAGGATTTGCGGGTGATTTTATAGTAACAGGAGCTGTATTGTCCCCAGTTTAGTTTTTATTTTTTCACAGACTTCAAAAAATCAAACGCAACAGAGTACAATGGTACATTAGACAAGGCACAAAAGGAAGCACTTTATCATATGTTTCTCCTCGATGTTAAAGGGGGAGTCTCTTACAAAATACTTTTTTCCCCCTGTACACCCACCTGTAATTAAGATCCACAATTTCTGGTTCATCTGTAAAAATACTCAAGTGCATAGGGAATGTAACTGTTTATATATTGTTCTTAAACCAAGCCAGAAATTATAGTTCAAATTGCAAAATGTGGTCCAATTAGCCTAGCTCCGAGTCCACATATGAAGTTCATGCTATCAATAGTTTGTTATCTTTCATCACTAGGCACATACTGGCCGGATACAAGTCGGGAGACGTCAAATTTCTGAATTGTGACAACCACAAAATGATGAGAACCGAGTGGAGAGTTGGACCCTCCCTGGATAGTATGAAAGTCAAGAAGCACTTAATGGCGACAGGAGGCGAAGAGAATCAGCTGAAACTGTGGGATTTAAACTCAACCAAATTAATCTATCATGCGAAAAATGTAAGTGAGCGCTATGTAGTACTTATTAAATTTGGTGAAACCGTTATTTTATAGATTTACAGGATGTGGAAATCAATCCGTTGTTTTGTGATTCGATAAATTGAGGTCTTACTGTAAGTCATAGAATATGATTACAATAACACAACGGTTTTCAAAATTTTCATAAGTCATGCAAGAGACAAGAATTATTGATTCCGATAAGAATTCGTTTTTTTTTTTTTCATATTCATCAATTGGACTGAGTTAAGCAGAAAGGAACCAACCCACATATTGGAAAAAATTGAGTTATGAGTGGTTTCAAACTCAACCACTGCTCTACTATCTATCGCCCAAAATTCAAAGTTTTTGTTGGAGCAACTTTTGCAGAAATTGAACTTGAAGTTTATCTTTTACATTGAGTCTTATGCAGGAGCCAAACTTTAAATCTCTTTTTCTCAGTTCGATCCCGATGTGGCTTGGTTCCTTTCTGTTTAACTCTGTCCAATTATAAGACATGAAAATAGCAAATTGTCCTCTCTCATAGAGTGAGCCTAAGAACAATAAAATGAAAAAGAACGACACACAAAGACACAAGACAAAAGAATTTGCCTGAAAAAACTAAAATTGAGTGCCGACCAAAATCAGCCTAACTGCATCACACTTGTAATTTCCTATAATGTTTTTATTTTACAAAAAAAGAAATGCGCTACACTCACCTCTAAATCTCACTCTCTCACTCATCTCTCTGAAAGAGCTGAATACTTTATATAACAGAACTCTTTTACTGGTTGCAGTCATGCTCTCTTGTTTGTGATATCTGACAGTAGTAAAATAGTGAATAGATATCAGTATTTCCTGCACCCTAAGTCTGATATGTATTACCAAATAATGCAATACATCACAAACGATAACAAGTAGTTGATGTAGTGATTTGGAAGAAAACAGGAACTCAGAAACAGAAAGTTGATTGAAATTTTAGTCGAGTCTAAAGGACTCTGCAAAAAGGGGAATCGGTCTTTTGTTAGACATTATTCAGACAATTATGAAGCATTGAAAGAATAGTTGAATTTCATGGGGAAAAAATAAACAGCATTGATTTGTAGTTTATAGAGGCAAGCATCTAAGAAGTCAAGGTTTCAAAGAAAATCCAGTTAAATCTGTATTTCATTATCTTTTCTATTTTCAGGTCAAACCAGACTTTTTAGACTTGAAGGTGCCAGTTTTTATATCTGACATTGGATTCTTTCCTTCCAATGATAAAATCGTTTACTGTTCAAAGCATGGACATGTAAGTATCTTTTTATTTCTTAAATCGTCAAAGTTTTTCCAAAGAATTTGAAAGACAGCATCCGATTGAAAAAGAGTGTCAACAGTCCTTATCAAAAATATCACAGCTTTGTCTCCTCTTTATCAACAGTTCAAATTTTGTGCTAGATATCTCTCATGAGGGGCAGTTTTATACCTACGTTATAAACCCTTGAAAAGTCAAAGAATCTTTTTTTATAAATATCTAGAAGTCAAAAAGTTCTAAAATTCAAGGAAACTTGTCACTCTGTTAAAGTCCCAAAACTCTTATTAGAATCTCGTTCACAACTTGTGATGTAAGAACAATGAGTATTATGATCGCCAATTTTAAGGCTTATTTCCTTGAGAGATATGTAGTTATGTCAAATTGATTTATTACAAATTTTATTTTTGGATACAGTGGCTGAAAGGTGAGTTCAGTTGGCACGCTTACACTCAAGTGGGAACAACGACTAGTCTTTTGTAAATATGTAAAATAAGGCAGTTATGTTTTAAATTTTTTGTCTCCCTACCCACAGGTGCGTATTCATGACCCAAGTGTATCTCAAAAACGGCCAGTTCTGGATATGAGTGTGAAAAGTAATAATGGAGACCCGCATGTATTAACAGCTCTAGCAATTGCACCAATGCGAGAACAGTAAGCTTTCAAATACTCTTTTTTGTACTTGCAAATAAATAAATATCTAATTCATGCAACTGAAAGCATGTTGGTGTGCCACATATTTAGACTAAAAGAATAGCCATCAAAATTTGTGAGTGCTATGCTGGTGCCAAAAATAGCTTTGAATCAAACATACACTTGTCTAAATATCCTACATTACACCTTTCAACAATGCAGTGCAAATTTTTCATCCACTTAAAAAGGGGTTTTTGCACAGTTTTTTTTTAAACTCATTTTTTGGAAAGTTTGTAGTAATGAGAATTTCTGCATTTTTCCATTTTTCATTCAATGAGATTTTTTTCATTGAATTCCAAAAAAACTTTTAAGTTGTCAAAAATCCAATCATGTTTATAACAAAAAAATTATGCCCCAACAAATTTTGTTACATCACAAGAAAAATTGACCACCATGCAGCTGCCACCTGAGTTAATATATTTACTCTCAGGTTGTAATCGTAACAATAGTTTACCTATCTCGACCAAGCTTGCAATATTATTGTTGTTTGAAGTGGGTATTTTTGTCACTTTTACATTTAATTTTTCATTTATTTTTTGAATCTTAAGACTAGCACGTTGCGTTGGATTCAAGATGGTTGAAACTATGTGTTGTTGCCTCATATGATGTCATTAGTTTCAAGCCAGTGACAAACTCTCTTTTTATAACTTCAACTATAAGCTCTTTTCTCAGTCAATTATTTTGTAACCGCACTCAATGCTGATTGGCTGGTGCACTCAATGAGGGGCTTGAAAATCTCGGGCAGTGAAAATTAATGCAGCATTAATATGTACTTTAGGATGCCAGTCGTGTGACCTCTCTTGAAATGAATTATCCATTATTTGCATAAACGTAGTTTTGTTTCTGGTGAGCCTTGTGAAAATTTTTTTAAATCTTTTTTTTCCCTGTCTTTAGGTCAACAAGAGCTCCACCAGTTGCGTTCTGTTAGTTCATCAATCTGACCAAATGTGCAGTTTCTAGCTGTTTACAGCTTGGTAATGTGTTTCTTGCTAACATATTTCCTGGGCAATTTTTGGATCTTGCAACAACCTTAATCTGTAGTACTTTTACTTTCAATTTTATCTTGTCGTTTTTTTCTTTAGGCATGTTGTTGTTGGAAGTGCTGCCGGTCAAATGTCCCTCCTTGATCTGAGGCATAAAGGAATACCGATCAAGAAATACAAGAGTTTCAGAGGAAGTATCAAAGCCATAGCTGTACCAGAGACTGAACCTATAATTTTGACTGTTTCTTTAGATAGATTCTTCCGCATACACAATATGTTTAATCATGGTTTACGATATCAGGTAATACTGCAATGTTTCAGTTTCAGTTCCCATGGGGATGTTGAAATTTAAACTCATACCAAAATTTTAGAAGAGATATTATTTAACTTCTGGAATCAAAATTTTTATATCTAAGTTGAATTTCATTAAAAAATGAGGTGCCAGGTGCAAGAATAGCACCTCTCTATCGTAACAATCCAAAATCTTTGATAATATTTTTTTCATCATAAGGAAAGTGAACGCATGTATTACTTCCACTGCACATTTTTCATATCCTAAAGTGCTTTACAGATCTAATTCTGAGAAATCTTCCGCTAGATTTTATTTATGTAAAAAAATATAGAAATATTCCGTTGAAAAAATAAGGCATGCTTGAGAATCCCAACCTGTGACCTCTTAGTCGGGCTGGGTTGTCACGCTACAACTGGTAGATAATAAGTCAACCGAATATTACCATGGCAGACCATTAAAGAGTACTCTTGAACAATTTCCGGATGGTTTTTGTTAGGCCGATTGGCAAAAACCGAAAAGTACCAATCAATCTACTGTGCTTGAACTTATTCATTGCCTCAAACTGTGCAAAATCGGCAGCAGCCATTTCGGACCCTCCTCTTTTCTGTTTGATTCCTTATATTGCTAATTTGTAGATTTTGGGTGTCTACAGGTCATATAATCATAAAATTGCATGCAATATTGCCATATTTTTATTTCAGTCAAAAAATTATTTGAGTCACATAAAATTGCCATATGTTTGTTTAATTTTCTTTTCAAAGTAGAGGAAAGGGACTATTTCATCGCTTTTAAAATCATCAAATCTAATATTGCTAATAACAATAGATTGTTATTTCTATTAGTTTATAATTTTTATTCTTTGAAATCCTTACCTTCTCCCAATCAGCAATGCTATTATGGTGAGATGTTTTCCCTGCAAGATATTTTTAATGGGGACTGAAAGATTTTTTAATAGCCTTTCAGTCAAACTTTTTTTTTTAAAAAAAAATGATCAAATAAAGAAATGTGAATGTGCCATATTTTTGTTTTTGAATTTCTGTAGACACCCTGTGGATAGACCGTACTTCCTTTCAATGTGCAAGTCTCAGTACTGGGTCACATTGTCAAAAATCAAACTTTCCCTTTCCTTTAATTCTTAATTCTCAATATCTATGTTTTCCTAAAGTAATCTTCTTTTCATTTTTCATTTTCAGCAATACTTCCAATCAAGACTGTCATCTATACTCATTCGATCAGATTTTTCCATGAGTAGTAAAGGCACAAAGGAAGACGTTGAAATTCTTGATTAATTTGAATTCACACCGGCGATTTTAGATCTACCATAACTATAACAGATTAATCTCCTTGGAATCTTTCCTTCTTAAAATCAGTTTTTAAGAGACCATGAAAGTATTTATTTAATTCTTTCTTTTAAAACATATTTTCATAATGAGCAGCGTGGAATGAATTGTCAAATAGTACCTCAACTACTGTAAATGCACAACTATTTCCATTTATTTACAAAATTACAATGAAGAAATCACGTAAAAAGTTGTGATGGTACACTGTACGCCTCCATGAATAAGCATATTAAACTGAGCTCTTTTTTTCTCCTACAATCCTAAAGGCAAAATGACTTAGGGGCAGGAGCAATGTAAATTGATGTATCTATTATAAATTAAAGAGATTTCAGTTACTATAAAACGCTCTCTGAGAAACATCATCATTCAGAAGTCTGTGCATCATTACAATTATACATATTATGTTTTCCGAAAAAGTATCTCTGAGCAATCCACTTAAGCTTAATTTAACAATCACTTTCCAAGAAGCAAATTTTTCTTACAATGACCTATGAACATATTTGCTTGATATCAAGATCTCTTTACTTTATCAGCTTATCTGCTGTTACCAGATTTTTTTTCTACAACATAGCATCAGCATTTAGCAGTATGCCAAGTTGATAGCCATCTCTTTTCAAATTCTTTGATTGCGTGGATGAAAGATTATTACCGACGCCTGAAGATTACAGGAGGCTGTTCCAAATTGTACGTAACATAGAATTCTGAATGTGAAGCAAAACACAGTGATGAATGACAGATTGCAACCGTGAGGAACTGCTCAAGTGTCAGCAGTGCAAATATACTCTCAGCTGATTGAATTAAAAAAAATTTGTCTTCTCAAATCATGTTTACAATAAGATTTATTGTAGAATTCGTAATTTTCTTCCTACATGAGAATAAAAAAGTTTATTTTTATCTGGTTGTATACTTCCTTTAACTTCATGATCCCCTTTTTTTATAGGCATGTACATAATTTAACAACTTCACAACTGTTCGACTTATCATCAATAACAGGCTAAGTGCTCAAAAGTTGATTTCGAGTTATTCACGCTTTTATTTCCAACAATTGCCACTAATTCTACCCTCATCACAGATGATAGTGGCATTTACTGTAAGTAGCATTTTGTTGTAGATGCTTAGAGCGAAATGTCATGTCTTTTTATTTTTCGATATTTTAACGCTAAGCCTGTTATTGACGACAAGCTTTCAATTGGTGTTGATATCATGATTAGTGCCTAAAAATTTAGAAATTTGATTTCTCACACAAGAAAAGGCAAAATTTTCAGTTGAGGAATTTTTATCATCGAAAAATTGACGTATGACTTTTGAGATTTCAATAGAAAACATTCTCTCGTGGTAAAATTTGAAGGGGAACTAAAAGAGATTCAGTTTCTGAGCGATATGGTGCTCTAACCGTTATGCTGTAAGTAGCACCACCATCCCTATCTTGCAATGAAGGAGAGTTTGTACCTTGGAGGTTAAAACTAGCTGTGCTTCCATGCCAAGGAAGAACGCCATCTGAACTGTTGGGTATTGAAAAATCTCCATTGAAAAAACACAGATTTCTCTGGGGAAATTCTAACTATTTGTTTTCCAATTATTCAGAAAAGTTTGCTCGCACTTTTATCGCCGTAAATCGTCCGGAACCGTTGAAGAAAAATATTCATTACTATTCATAGAAATAGTTATTTTTCGAGGTACATTTGGCAACATTTGCATGATTTTGCATACAACGTTCTTCCTTAGCATGGCTGTGCGTGCCTGTCAATGTCTTCGAAGCATAAATGAAAAAAAAATTGAGGGCACTCTGTCAATTTAGCTCCTCGCAGGAACGCCCACCGCACAATAAAACGAGTTTTCAAAGAGGTTGGACTCGAAATTTTCGACTAAGGTTGCAATTTTTTTTTTTTTATTTCTCCATTTTATAAATTGTATGGGGTACTTCTTGATGGAAATATTACGAGAAAATCCACTGAATGCACGTCTAAAACCTCTTCGTTCCGTATTTCCACTGACATAAGCTTGTAATGATTCCACATTTTGTCCAACTCCTCTCATGGATCCGCTCCACTGAGCGCCACTGGTGACTGGTGAGGCGGCTAGTGTCTGAAGTCAAAACGCCTTCAATCCCGTGCGTATGCAACACGGACATCCATAGAGCCCGAATAGTTGCATTGCATCCCGGCGTTATGATGAAGTACGTTCGGTATCCGTCGCATGCTACTTTACTGTACTTAAACTGTAGCTTGGATTATTTTGCCTCCCCCGTAACTTACTTCCAGTGTTGCTTATTGTGGCGATAAAGTTAACCACTGGCTTAGATCACGACATTGTCAATTTTCCGAGAAGCGCACCATTTAAATACATTAGTTAAATGCATTACAGCGTTGCTAGCTGTGGAAATGGCAAGAGATTCGGTATTCGAGCATGATATGTATAGAGTTTCCCTATACGTACTTAAAGGAGTCGTCCTTCGGGGTTTTGTTTTTTCTTTCTTTTTTTTTCTTTTGCACCTTTGGGAAAACTTAATTTTGGCTCAAGTGCAAAATTTTCAAAGAAGAATCCTGACAAATCGCAAGTTTGGAACCAAAACGATGACCAATCGTCTTTCGAAAAATGAAATGCGATAAGAAATGGATATCATTAGAAGCCTAAAATACACGTTAATGATTTCATAGGTGCAATGACGAACCTATAGCACAATAAAATCTATTAAATACATAGGTGCAAATTATATTATGTTCTGCTCTTTCCTTCTTGAAATGTGGGCTACGCCCAGTTTTTTATTAGGTAGGTATCTTGTTTGCAAAGCATATAATAGAAAATATCAAAATGAGGTCCAGGTCCCTGGTATTTTTGCTAGAAAGTCGTCAAATACATTTTTTCAGAGTTTTTCTTATGAAGTTTTTGAAAATCCTTGATCCTGTGTTGAGAAATTTCCATGATCGTGAAACCACGCCAAAGCTCTCCAAGAACAAGATTTTACCCGTGAGCTTATTAGACACCGAGACTCACGTCCATTTTACCTTTCAGTACTTTTAGTGCGTTCGATGAAAACCCACATGATAAAATCTTTACTGCTGAGTCGACCGTTTGAAGTCTTCAAAATTCATGAGTCGATGAGTTAAGCACTATCCGTAAGTATGAATAAATTTTAAAAAAAAAGAATAAAAAAAAGGGTCATTGAAAGAGAGAAGTATTCAGTAGGATGATCCCACCACGCTTTCTTTCACATTTCATATCGAGTGATTTAATGATATAAAGAGCTATAACGTGTCGCGGCCAGTCATCTCGAACGTAGCATTGAAATTCAACGGGCCTTCATATTTCGCTAATGCAAAATGGTGGACACTGTAGAGCAGGAATCGATGGTTGTCCGCCGTATTGCATTGACGAAAAATGAAGGGGCGCTGATTTTCCGGACTGCGCTCGAGATAATTTGATGCTACACGTTATTTTATTTAAACTATATTTTTTAAGCAATCTTGAAAAAATTTAAGTGCGTTTCCGATGCATTTAAGTAGTATGAAGATGTCAATTATTTTCATTGAGTTTTCTGACGCGCAAAATTAAAAATTTCGAGTATCAGTCAAATTATAAACCGCAAGGGTACACGTCAGCCATTACCGCTCGTTTTTAATTTTTATGTCCTCCAGATGGAATACGCATGTAACTCAGTTTGAAATTTAGGGAAGATTAGGTTCTTTCTTTCTTCTTAGCGGATTCTTTTTAGCGGATTTGATCACAAATTAAAGGCCTGGAAGAAAAGACGCAAAAAGTGCAGTTTTTGAAAAAATTGAGATATTATTGATGTCAACCAAATCCACTCCTAAAATAAAGAAATTTCGGTGAAAAATTCGCCGTTAAGATTCAATTTTTAAGCATCAAAAAGTGAGTTCGAACTTTTTCTCCACCATTCCATTTCATTTTGAGACCCTGCATGAACACGTACCTATTCCCCGAAATAGCAAAAACTGCGCTTATGTGTTTTCTCCTCCAAGCCCCTCAAATAATATTGTTATATGTGCCAAGGCTATCTCCTAAGTTTCTGCCGAAATAAGATCTCAAGATTATGCTAGGAGCTATAATTTTCAGCACACTTATCTAATCTTCTTTTGTAAGAAGATGAAAATGGATTTGAACAGGAAGCCTCTTTCTCGCAGTGGGCGAATTTTTGATCAAATTAGGTACCAATAATGTGTTCGAATAAGTGACGATGAATGAAAAAATTATACACTTTATTACAAACATATCGCAATGTACTTACAAATTTACAAGAAAAGAGTCTGACAAGTTACACATAGGTACATATTTTGGATGTCGCCTTCGCCTCGGTAGTTCTTACTCGAACTGTTGAAGAATATTAACGGTATCAATACAGATCTCACAACCAAAAACAAACTGTGTCAGATGATAACTTCAAAATTACAGACAACGAGAAGAAGAGAAGCGGGGAGGGCTGCCTCATCTGAACCTACAATCACCAGAGATACCTGGGTATGCTTTTTTGTGGATTATTTTAGCAACATGAGAGACAATAAGGCAAAAGTATAAAATACAAATAATCCTGCATCCAATTTTTAATCCTACGTTATTTCAAAATCATGGGTAGGTACATAATCTTGACTTCATATTTACCTCTGAGGCAGGACTATTTTTTCTAGTTTAAAAATTCCAATTTATTATTAATTAAAATTCATCAGGACTCTATTTTAGTGATACCGATAAAAGAAATTAGTGTAGAAAAAAATGAATAAGTACCTAGATAAAGCAATAAAGCCTCTCATATCGTAAAATTCAATTCGTAACTAAACCGGAACTTCGTCACAGTTTCAACCAAATTAATCTCGTCAAAAAATTAAGCGCAGAACCATTATACTCAAATGCTAAAAAAGAAAAAAGAAAAAAGAAAAAGAAAAGTAAGTCTTCTCTTTAATTTAATTAGTTTCCTTGGAAGGTAATTGGTTAAAAAAAAAAACAGGAAAAAAAGTGAAATGCCATGTATAAAATGCAGTTTGGCTAGAGGTATCAGATTTTTGTTCCGTAAAAACATAGGTGCAGTGCTATTGATGCAAACCTAAAGTAGGTACGTAAAGCAAAAGCTGGCTTAGGATTTACGTCACCGCTCACCAAAAATGTGTAGTGTTTTTTTGAGTTACTTACAAGAAAGAAACAATCACTAATTTTTTAAACATTCTCAACCCATCGGTAAGTGAAAGTTCAGCTTAAACATATTGTGCCTCTTCTACTTTCTATTTTACAACATTTCTTCAAAAAATCTCCGCCAAAATAGAAAAGAAAACATTTTTTACGAACAGCAAAGAATCTTATATGGACGGCATTAACCAGTCACCTAATTTGTTGACATTTTTAATCTACATGATACCAAACGAAAGAGAGATATTAAAGCTGTAAAACTTCCTACAATGAATTGCTCCACACGGAGAAAAAAACTTCGTGCGTAGGACCCGAAGTTGAGGTCATATGGATCTCTGGAGTTTTCGGATCACGTATCTAAAAACTTGAGGTCCGGCTGCCAAAGTTCGGGTCAGACATCTGAAGTACTTCGATACATACCGAGGGGTTCGGGTCACACATCCGACGTACTCCGGTACATACCAAAGTGCCACAATGTCTGACCCGAACTTCGGCAGCCGGACCTCAAGTTTTTAGATACCTACGTGATCCGAAAACTTCAGAGATCCATATGACCTCAACCTCGGGTCCCACGCACGACGTTTTTTTCTCCGTGCAAGGTAATAAAAAATACTTTTACGAGATTCCGCTCTGTTGAACAATTAAACCAAAAGAATAAATTAGGCAATAATGCCTGATGTAGCCGGGTCGATTCTGCTTGAATCCGTACTAATCAGTGTATGAAGTTAGGTTCGAATGATTAATCCGCTGTTTTCCCCCGGATGTTCTCGGGCGCTAAGTACCAGTGGCGTGGCGTGCTTTGCGATACATCGATTGTAATGCCATTTAAACCTATGGAAAAGGATCGATAGACAGCGAACACCTTAATAATCGATTCTTTACCATAGGTTTAAATGGCATAAGAATCGATACATCGCAATTCACGCCACGCCACTGGAAGGACATCTTTGGCGGTAAACAGAGTGCTTTGTCTGAAAAGCTCTAAGCTCGGAAGAGGGAAGGGGGGCTGTTGGAGCCCTAAGCGTGGGATACGGCGGCTAGAGGGAGGAGCGAGGTCTCGTAGCCATGGCAACCGGAAAAATGGTAGTTGGCTGCGGAGTAAAGCACTTGGTTCTGGTCGTTGGAGCCGGCGCGGAGGGTCTCGGTGCCCCCGACGCCGGCGACGCCCCCGTAGCTGAACGTCGACTTCATCGACGCCGTTGAGGGACTGCTCCCCATCAGCGAAGACGTCGGCAACAGGTCCTCCGAGCTCCCTGAACTCCTGAAACATAAATAAAAAATCCCGCTCAGCCATGGTATACGGACAGATACGCTGATTGAAATCACTTCTGTGTTGAGAAAGTTTCACATAGAGTACATAGAGTCGTAATGTAAATGGGAGAGCTGGCGCCATGTTCTGCTCGACGAGTTCCGAGCCCGGTGTGCGCCGAGTTCGGGTCGCTTATTCGATACATTTTCGATCCAAAATGGCGGTGTGGAATACGTGGTAATTCCTATCTCCTTTGTTGTTGTTGTTGTTGTTGTCATCGGATGGCCGGGTACCCGTGTATCGCAAACAATCGATTATGTATCGAAAAAGTGACCTGGCGTCACACAGGAGTCTCGGAATTCGGGACATGGAAAATGCTTAAAAGTGGCGCCAGCTCTCCCAATTACATTACGACTCTATGTATTCTTTGAAGTTTCATAATGTTTCATAGAATTATCAGGGGTAGGTTATGCGACCCTTACGCAGTGTTCGAAACTCACAGGCACCAACGCGCCAAATGCGCATGAAAAATCGGCCATTGCGCCTGAAAATGAAGGCTCTGCGCCAACGTGGCCCCCTAAAAATTGCCCCCTGAAAATCTGAATTTTCATATTAGGTGATTATTCGAAATTTTCAGCACTACAAGTAAAAGCGTTTTCCATTCTTCACGATTTCATCCTTAGTGCTTTTGTCTTCCCCAAAGTTACAGCTACTTACTAGTTCTGTTACGAAAACAGCTTGCGTCTAACTTTTCACTAAATGCGCCGTATATATGGGCAAAAAGTCAATTTGGCCCCTAAGAAATCTTCAATGACGCTTAAAAATCGGGCTTGATGCGCCACATGGCTCCTAAAACTCAAAGGTGAGTTTCGAACACTGCCCACAAGGGATAATCTAGTATTCGGAGAGGAGCTCTGTATGACATCATGCATATCGACGGCTTAAGTCCGCAATCACATATCTCGTTTGCGGTGTCTGAAAATCTCCGCCTCTATGTTACTTATTTTTTTAAAGGAGAACAAATAGACATCATTCCTTGCAGTTTTTGTAGAATTTTCTTCGCGCAGAAAAGAAAAATCACGGCAGTTTTAAAGAATTGCCATTGAGTAGTTTTCCGTTTAAAAAATGAAGTGTGACAGGAAGTCTGCGACGTCGCAAACCGAGTTATGTGATTGCCGACTACCACCATCGATGGTGGTCGGTGCGGTTTTTAGGCGTATGCACCCTTTACAGAGCTCTTGAGAGACCTTTGAATGTATTTCTTCCTTTTCAAAATGATTATTGATTTAGACATACTATAGCATATTTTGAGCAAACTTAACCTTAACTCATCTCAAATTTCAAAAATGAGAGACATCTAAACGCGATACAACTATTCGCGCAAGATGGATGTTTAAGGCGCGATGGCGTGAGTCGTAAACTCTCAATGCTCTGCTTTATACTGCTGGTGAAATTCAGGAGAAAAGTTGAAAAACGAGGCCCAAATACATGTCCCCTACCTTCGGCTGTGTTACTCGTTCGTGAGTAATAACTGCATTACTCACTTAGTGCTTGAAGCACCACGACAAAGAAGACAAACGGAAACGAACACAATATAGAAATAGAGCGAGGGAAAGGATATGCGTTTACGACGGCGCAGAGATACAACTATTCGTGCTTGCTGGACGTCCGTGCTGCATCTGAAAAATTGAAGGCGCGATGACGCGATGCGTGAACTCTCGATGCTCTGCTATATGCTGTCAATGAGGTGTCGCTCAGATTCGGTAGAATAGTTAAAAAAGAAGCACGAATACGTTTCTTCCGTCTTCGGCTGTGCTGATTCTCGATTCTCTTTTCTTTTTTCCGGTTCATGTCTAATTCTTGTTCAGGATGGATGTGCAGACTCACGTCCATGGCCGGATTCACCTACTTGCCGCCCATGGGCCGCGCCGCTTGCATTTTGCCGTTCCCTTCTCATTCGTTTTGAAACTTGATAAAAACCATCAAATGAACGTGGGGGGGGGGGAGGGGTTCATAAGACGCATTTACTTGCGTTGAACACATTTTTTGGGAAAGCCCTGTCAACACTACTAGCAAAAGTTCACGGAACTTTGCGTGAAAGTTAAGTTCCGTAAACCTATTTCTGTGTGCACAAGGCCTTCTATTCATAAGAAATGAACGAAAAAATTCTGAAAGAACAAACATAAATGTGGATCAATGATTTTAACATCCGCCGCCACGGCGCGCAGACCGCACCGTGTTTGGCGCAATGCGTGAAGTATTCCGACAGTCTCGAAGGCGCTATGCGTTTCACGCCGACCGCTGCTAAACGCACTGTAATGGACGCCACGTGTGAAGTATTCACGCAGTCTTGTAGGCGCAATGCGTGAAGTATTCGTGCATTCTTGTAGGCGCTATCCTTTTCACGCTGACCGCAATGACCGCACTGTGTTTGATGCAATGCGTGAAGTATTCGTGCAAGCTTGTAGGCGCTAATATGTGTTACATGCCGATCACCGCGCCGAGGGCTTCTCCTTTTCATCTCAAGTCCTCGTTATCATTTCTCTCTAAGTCGCGCCGTTCCAGGTCAAATTGCGTGTTTCTCTCTCTTAACTCGACTTATTGAAGGTGCTGTCTCTTGCATCACTAAGAGACGACAAAATTAGAAATTACCATACTCTCAGAAAATGAGAGATTTTGTCGCATTTTCTCGTCTGTAATTTTGTTTTTATAAATCCGATTTTTTTATACCTACACTTTAAAAAATTGCAAATTTTTGCCGCCCCTTACATTTGCCGCCATGGGCCGCGGCCCATGTGCCCACCCCCTTAATCCGGCCCTGCCCACGTCTTAAGCTCGTGTAAAAGCTCGTGCTCGAGCACTGGCTCGGTTCTTTTGAAAATAATGGTGCTTAGATGCGTCTAGCGACTTTCATCTTTTATTTTTTCTTCAATTTCAGAAGTCTATCGGTTACTTGAATACGTTCAATTTGGAAGTTTTACTTTGCACGATTAATCGACTTTGAACCTGAATAGCGTAAACTTGCTGCTTTCCCAAAATTGTCTGAACTCCCCTCCACGTAGGGGATGCCCTACCGGGAAATATCACATTACGCCCCTTTAACCAGCCAAGGGTCTACGCCCTCAGATGCGAGTCAGTCCTGGATAAGTTATGAGTATCCAGGTAGTGAAAATATATTGGATTGCATTTTGCAAAAAGGAACCACTAGCATAATTCCAATGTTGCTAAGATTGTGCAACTTCTTTTGTCTTGGAGGAAAAACCCGATTATCCCTTTATAGTTTCTATTTTACTCGCTAAAAACTGTAAATTTAAGACAAAAATTGCCATCTAAAATTTCATAGTTTTTCACAATTTGCGCAATTTTAGTGCAAAGGATGAAGTTGCACAATCTTAGCATCATTGCAATGCTAGTGCTTTCTTCTTGCAAAATGCAATCCCATTATCTTTCAAACATATTACTTTCGAAATAAAACTTTAAATAAGCCATCTTAAAAATCGACCTCGTTGCGTAGGAGTCCCCGCCAAGGCGGCCTCAACTTTGAGAGCTTTTTTTGAGCTTTGGAGTTGATTTCAGGGACAACCAGTGGCAGCATCGTTATTTCTCGCGAAATTTTACAAGAAAAAAAGTACTTGAGTCGCAAATCCCACTCGCATGTAAGAGCTCCATTCTCCATTGGCCTCGAGGGTCCCCAGGGATCCCCCTAGGGGATGATCGACTCTTAGCTCCCTAAGCTAGTCTGCCTCTGCCTAATTTATACCCCAATATTAAACGTATTTTACTGATACTAATTTGTTCCTACTCGTCGTCCTGTTATTCTCGCGTGGCGAGGGAAACGACCTTGCGTGGCGCTGTCACGCGCTTTCGCGTTTCGAGCGGGATCAAACTTGAGCGACATCATCGACCGACGCGCGACGCGGCGAAGCGCCGTCCGTATCAGCTGATTCGCGGCGTCAAGTTTCAATCGGAGGCGGGAGGGGCCGGAGGGGGGCACTTTCCCGGCTGATCCGGGACTCGGGAGCCTGGGAACCTCTCGCCGCGCTCCTGGCGACGTTTCGCGGAATGCCGCGCTCGCCCAACGCCACCGGGGTCTGAGAAAAAGGCACGGGAGACGTCCCCCTTCCCACCTGCCACCCTCCTCCTCCCCCCTCCGCGCCGCTGGGTGATATGGAAGTCGGCTGAGCGACGCATAAAAAATGACGAGTGGCTTTTGCGATTGTCTCTCGATCGGAATCGTCGTCCGATTGAAAATTGGATTCGATGAGACGAGATTCCCTGGAAAATTGGTACCTATGCTGCCGTGCTAAAGAAGAACGCCGTGTGAACATTCGGGTGTTGCCAAATTTCCCTAGTTAAAACATAAATTTTTGACGACATTCATGCATATTTTTCATTGAAATTTTCAGAAATTTTAGATTAAATTGCGTACAAAATTGTATGAAAATTTTGGAGAAACATATTCACAATTTTCCTATGAAATTCAGTTTTTATCCAGGGAAACTTGGCAACGTCTGAAGGCTCATACTGCGTTCTTCCTTAGACTGCCGTGCTAAGGAAGAACGCCGTAGGAACATTTGGGTGTTGCCAAATTTCCCTCGATCAAACATGCATTTTTGACGCAATTTTAGCATATTTTTCCTTTAAATTTTCAGATATCTTAGATTACATTGCGCACAGAATTGTCTGAAAATTTCGGAGAACTATATTCAGAATTTTTCCGGTAAATTCGGTTTTTATCGGAGGAAACTTGGCAGCGTCTGAAGGTTCGTACGGCGTTCTTCCTTAGCACGGCAGTATGGAACGCAACATCCTGTCGATATATATTTCTTCATCGGATCTGTCTCTGAGAAAACCGGAATAGGTATCCCGATGAGCAGAGATAGAAAGTGAAATTTCACAGGACATAAATAAATTTCAAACAATTTGAAATTGGTCAATTTTTATCGCAAGTATAGTCAAATTTCAAGTCCGGAAAGCGTTTTAAATGGTCTTTCGATTGATGCGGCGGTATT